TATATTGACTACACAATGTGTATGTTCATAATGAACAATTCAATTTATGAATTCTAATAATAATAATAATCTGCACTATATATATATCTAGAATCATTAAAATTGATATATAGAGTCAATCAAATCAGATTGATTGGAAATTATTTTCAATATTTTTATTATTGGTTTATTTTGTAGAAAATAATTTCCAATCAAATGAATATGAATTCGATGATGAATCTTGATTATTAGAATAATAATCAAATTGAATTTTTTTATTTTGTCAAAATTTCGAAAAAAAATTATTTAATTTTTCGTATTCTGCAGCCAAGTAGAAAAAAAACTAATTTACTTCGTTCATCATCATCATCATCATCGTCATCATCACTGGGATTTGATCATAATTGAATGAAATAATTTAGGAAAATTCCATACACACGCACATAAATTTACTTACCAAGAAATTATTCGGAAAAACCAAAATGATGATGATGATGATGATATGGATGGATACCGTATTTATGCGTCAATATCCCGCGGGTTAACAATTTAACGTTTTTACACAAAAAAAATGCACCTGTGTGCGGGGTATGGCCGTTTTTTTATCATTTTGATTTTCAAAAAAATAGTGTATGTACGGGGTATCGGCATACACTACTAATATGTTCGAGGATTTATTCACAAGATAAGAATGATTAATGCCTCCCCTACATCACCACTACGATAATCTAACATGATCAATGTTCATGATTATATTGGACATTGATCATCATCATCATCATCATTATCATTAAATACCACACACACTTGAAGATTGATAAAAAAAAAATTCGAATGATATAATCCTCTTGAACAAAAAAAAAATTCATTATTATCAACCAATCCATTCAAATATGTCGTATTCTCCATATAATATTCGAATTTTTTTTTCTTCCAATTTACAATAATAATCATCATCATCATTTTTATTTTATTTTGAAAAAAAATTTGTTAATAATCATCATTATTATTATTAATAACTTTTGGATACGGGCATTATGATTTTTACATTTTTCATCATCAACATCATCATCATTATTATTGCCATTGCCATTTGAGATTAGATGGTCATTACATTCCAGATTCGTTATTTGAAGAAACAACAACAACAACAAAAAATCAAATCAAAAAAACTCATGTTTAAATCTAAACGAAATGGAAAAAAAAATTCGAATCAATTACAATCAATGAAACATTTGTTACAATGGTATGTATTACTTGTGTGTGTATTTGTGGTGGTCAGCCAATATTTGGCTTGAATTTGTTTTTTTTTCTTCTTACCATTAGGATTACATTTCCAATCATTCGGTTTTCATGATGATGATGATGATGACCATGTTGTTTTCGAAGTTGACGACGATGACGACGATGATGATGATGATGATGATGATGGAAAACGAGGAATTTTTTGGTTTTTATTTCGTTTACCAATAATGCACACGGTGAAAAAAAAGGGACGAATCGAAAATCAAACAACAACGATGAAAAAAAGAACGAACGAACGAAAAAATCATTCGAATCAATAGTGTGGTGTAGCACATGGTATGACATCGCTATCGTCATAGTCGTCGTCGTCGTCGTCATTGTAACAGATGGTTTAAGGTTTTTTGTGTATTATATGGCCATGGTAATTTATATATCGTATATAATGTGCTTGTGTGTGTGTGTGTGTGTATGTATGTAATTAATCAATTTAATCGAGCCTCATAAGTGTCAAATAGCATGTTCTTTTTTTTCATTCTCTTTTTTTTCATTATTTTCTGTTCGTTATTTGGTTCGCCATCATCATCATCATTATCATGATGGCCGTAATATCGATATTTTGGTCGATTTATTTGATTTTATATATTTATTTATATTCATCCAAATGTCGTATATTTTTGATTTGAAGTTGATTGAAGAATCGGTACCATAAGAATTGAATCTTTAAGATTTTTTTTTTCTTCTGATGATTGTTCAATGAATCAAAAAAAGAAAATCACGAAAAAAATCTTGTGAGAAACAAAACACACACACACACATAATCATTGGATTAGGATGAATGATCCATACCTTATTATTCATAATTCATTGATTGATCAAACATTCATTTGAGCAGAGGGGAAAAAAATGGAAAAATTTTTCTTTTCATTCACAGCATCATTCACACATTTGGATTTATTGAATATCGAATAATATTTATTGATGGATTTTTTTTTTTTTTTTTTTGAATGCTGCTGCTCCTGGAATTAATAGATATGCGTAATATATATGTAAATAAACATTGAACACACACACACACACAGAATAAGTGTGTGACTACGTTTTTCTTTAACGATCAAAAAAAAAAAAAAAAAAAATTCCAAACAAGACAACATATCATATATATTTTTGATGGTGATAAACTTGTCGTCGTTGTCGAGGTTGACAATTTTTTTTTTTTTTTTTTTTTAGTTTGAAAGATTAACTTCATGTAAACAAATAATAAAAATATATACGACATACACACACACACACACGGACAAACAAACATTCGATTCGAATGATTTATAACAATGATTCGATTAGATTCTATTCTAACCTAATCGGATCTAATGATATCTCCTCATCATATTATATACACTGTGATAAATATATATATATATTGATTGATTATAGTGTAAAAGCAAATTTGGTTTTTCATTATTGTTTACCTAAGGTCTAATAAATGTCAAACAATCAATATTATGATGATGATCTAATCAGATTAATATTGATCAAATCGATCATCATCAATTGAAACACAAGTGTAAATGAGAATTGAAGCGAAAAAATTTCTTCAATATTTTTTTTGTTTTGTTTTCATTGACAATTGAATTCAAGCTCCACACAACAAAGTAACCAATAATATTTTCTTTTGTCCACGAAAAAAAAAATATGAAGAAAAGAAAATTTTCAATCAAATAAAGTCAATGAAATTGAAATTGAAATTTTTTTCATTTCATCTGATCAAATGACTTCTTACTTACACTGTATAACACACACAAAATAAACAAACAAAATCACAAATAGCTGACCAACGCAAGCACATGATTGCAGGTGTAACGTATATAAAAAAATTTTTTGTTCTTTGAACAACAAACACACACAGTAAAATTTGTTTACTTTAAAAGGTAAGGTAATAATAATTACCCTATATATATACATATTTGAAACATTCCAATTGTGACTTGATTGATTGATTCGGCCATTGTTTACCACAACCAAAACACACACACAGGTCAATTATTATCATATCATATCAGTTTATTTATTTGATATTGACACCTGCATTTTTATTTCTATGCACAGAAAAAAAATTCATTTTTCGAATGCGAATCAAACAAACCAGAAAAAAAATAAATTTTGACACCGGAAAAAATAATATGGAATATCTAACGACATCTATGGATTCATATTGGAAACAGGATTCATCAGATCATCATCATCATATCATTTATGTACAGTTCATGGATTTATTCGGCGAAATTAAACATGTATAAATATAGGCGGAGCCTATATCAAAATTGTGTGTGTGTGTGTGTGTGTGTGTGTGTGATATTTTGGAGACAAAAACAAAAAATTATTTTTTCTATTTCCAAAATGTGTGTGTGTGTGTGATGTGTATGTCTCTGCTGTGTGTGTGATACTGATGAAATTTTTTTTTTTTTTTTTACGAGAAAAAAAAAGAAAAACAAAACAAAAAAATTCTTATTATCCAATGCGTTTATTTTCCCCCCTATGGCTTGAATCATTTTGAAACAATTTTTTTTTTTTTCTAAAGCATTTTTTTTCTCTCCAATATACAAGTGAATGAATGAATAGAATTTCTTGCAATTTAATCGAGATCAATAGTAGTGTAAATAATTCGATTTTTTCATTCAAAAAAAAGGTGATACATTAAATTTTTCTTTATTTATCAATGAGAAACAAAACAAAACAAAAAAAATGAAAATCACATTCATCATCGAGAATGACAAAGAAAAGAGAAAATGGTGTTGACATTTCTTTTTTCTCATTTCGAAAATTGAATTTTCACTTTTTTTTCTGTTTTTTGTTTTGTTTTTGGTTCTAATGGTTAGAGTTTTTTTCCGATTAGTGCCAACCAGCTCAATTTTTTTTTTTTTGCTTCTCATCTATCTATGTGTGTGTGTGTGTGTGTTTGATACTCCCATATTTCATTTTTGTGCTCATCAATCATTAATAATCGATATCGATATTTTTTTTTCTCCATTCCTATTTAGAATCAATTTAATCAAACCAGATGCAAATATTAAAAACGGGTGAGGATAATCTAGTCGATGATCGATTAATTGAAAATGAATCGACATCGACAGCTGAAAATATTGACAATACACATCATCATCATCCTAATGACAATAATCGTAATGATGATGATGATGATTCATCTACAATGGAATGTGAAACCGAACAGCAACAACAACAACAACAACAACAACCACCACCACAGCAAATAAATGAATGTGAAATTAGATCCAAAAAAAATAGTGATGATATTGAAGATAATACAAATCAAAAAGCCATTAAAACAACTGTTCAAAATGAAATGAACATTCATTCTAGTCATCAGCAATCATCATCAAATCAAATCAATAATGATGATGATGAAATAATAATATTGGATCAACAATGTAAACCATCAAATGGTCATCATCAATCTATTGTGAATAATGAAAATAATGGTGATCCATCGATGACGATGATGATGAATACAAATGATAATAATACGGTGGATGAAAATTCTGCTTCTGATGTTGTATACAAAACATTTCCTGAAGATCTTTTGATTAGAATTGAAAAATTTTGCCACATGACATGGACATTACCATTATCGATTGTGCCGTATCAAAAATTTGAACAATTATTGGATATAGTAATAAATTTATTACAAACAAATTCATATGAAATGGAATCAAACTGTTTTCATTTCATCGATGAAACGATTCTAATTTTTTATAAGAAATTTTTTCAAGATAATTCCAATTTATTTATGAATCAATCTGTAAGTCTGATTTTTTTTTTGTTTTGTTTTGATATGAAGTAATTGATTAATTTAACATTTATTCACGTCACACGCGTGTTTGCAGGGATTACCAGTGGTAACCATTCATTTTAAATTGATACAATTGATCATCTTGTGCCTGAATAGACCGAAAACAAATAATCTTAAACAATTTGAATTGTTATCACAAATATTCACGCCGTCCAACCGGTATGTAATATGATGGTTTCGGATTTTTTTTCTTTAAAAATTATTGTTTTTAATTTATTTTTTTCTTCATTTGTCAAAAAAACAAGAATCTCATTTTTTGATTGTGATGAAAATATTCTTAATCATTATGGTTCAATCATTCAACAGCGACCAATATATACAACAACAAATGATGAACAACGTGCACGAAATTCATTATTGATTGCATTAATTAATTATTTTGGCCAAAATGATGGTTTCGATTTTTTATCTATCTATTTTAGTGATAATCAATTATCGTCTACATTGATTTTTATCTATCTAACGCCATTTGAAAATTGTTTAGAATTTTTATCCAAACAAATATTGGAATCATATTTCATTCCAATCATACAGCTGGTGGCTAATTTTTTTAATAATTTATCTGTTGAAAATTTTAAAAATGAGCTCAAATCATCAACTCAAATTGATGATATAATTGGATCTATTGTGAAAAAATGTAGAAATTTTGCCATAAAATTATCGAGACCAGCGATGGCAAAATCATTTGAATTTTTACGGCTAAAATTCACTCTACGTACATTACAATTATCATCATTCAGTGGAAAAATGAATGCATTGAATGAATTGAACAAGATTATCTCACATTACAATTATTGTGAAGAGAAAACAACCAACAACTATACATTGATTAATCAAACGAATGATTCATCATCTATTGAATTATTGGCTACGTCAGATGAAACGGCACAATGGCTATACGATAATAATGTTGTCGAAATTATATTAAATGATTGTCTTCATCATACACAATATGTGGAAAAATTGGACAATATATTTCGATTTCTATTGAAAGAAAATCGTCTAACACTTGATTGTTTGGATCGTATTTGGAATTCACAACTTGGAAAACATGAAATAATTGTTAAAAATATTCATGAATTAATTGCCAAACTTGCATGGCATTTTTCTCCTAATCAACTTGATCATCTATTTGTTTGTTTTCAATCCAGTTGGTCTACGGCAACAAAAAAAGAACGTGAAAAATTATTACAACTAATGCGACGATTAGCTGAAGATGATAAATATGGTTCAATGGCAAATAAAATGTTATCATTATTATGGAATATTGCCTATAATCATGATGAAATCGATATAGAAATTGTTGATCAAGCTATTGGTGCTCATTTGAAAATACTTGATTATAGTAAAACATTTGAAAAAGATAGTCAACGATTCTATTGGATCGAACGATGTGTGAATGAGATTGGCGATTCAAATCATGGAAACAATGTGATTACTGCAATGAAACATATACGAGAAATTCTTTTACTTTGTCCGGAACATTGTTCAAAACAATATTATGCTAGCTGTGAAATTCAACAACAACAACAACAACGTATTAAGCGTGAAACACGACATTATATTATTACGAAAATGAATAGTGAACTGGAATTGATGTCCATGTTGGTTCGAAATCTGTCCAATTATATGAAATGGATGCGTTCGAAAAAATCTGAACTTAATGAATTAGATGCGAATATTGCACTAGATGGTAGACGAATTTCTCATCGTCAAGAATTACATGAACGTTTAGGATTTTTACGTTTCATCATACAAGAAGGAACATGTTTATTATCTAAAGAAATGGCTACTGAATTATGGAATTGTTTAGCAATACAAGCAATATTTCCTACTGATCGTCAAATTTGTTTTCAATGGTTTTCATTATTAATGGAATTTGATTTCTATCTTGATGATGATTATTCACATGTTTTTTTGGGCTTTTTACATGCAAGTTTAGCCAAATTTGATCCATCATTAATCGATATATATGGTGTTGAATGTTTTGAAAAATTTTTCAAAATAATCAATTGTAATCAAGAAAAGCTCATTTATCATAATTCTTCATATCTAACAAATGATGTTGATCTAATTGGCCTGGATTATTTATGGAAATTAATATTGTTTGGATCGGATGAAGCGGCTTGTAATAAAGCAATTAATTTACTTAAAGAATTTTTTACAAATTTTGGACCTAAATTGATTGAATCACGTTTAGAATTACATCAAGATTTTATTAACATATGTTTTGATCAACTAAAATGTAGTTATGATACTGTTACAGTGATTGGTCATGATGAAAATGAACCAAAAATAAATGTTGAATCAACAAAAATGATACGACTATTATCGGTACTATGTGAATATATAAGAAAAGGTGATAATGATTATTATGGCAATAAACGTTTAATATTACCAATGTCACAATGTTTTCGTGGTAAATCAGTGGAATTAGTCATCAAGATCATGACACAGGCATATAATCGTAATATTGATGAATTGATATTGCAAACACATACGAACGAATCAATTTTATTTGTACGAGAAAAAATTCTGGAAAAGTAAGGTTTTTTTTTTTTGACATAGATTTTTATAAAATTTCCATTTTGACTAACTCTATTTTCCATATACCAACATAGAATCAATATGAGTAATGAAAATGTTGAAATTGAAATGTATGAATCAGTAGAAAAATTTGATCTATCTAAATTCAAAAAAGTGGCCGAACTTACAACGGAAAAACGATTTGTAAGTGTTTTAAATAAAAAAAAAACATAGTGATATGTAATGGTGAATTTCACTTTTGTTTACAATCTACGAATAGTGTTTTTCCGTACGAGTCATGCAACAAGCAAACACAATAAATTGGACATCTGATATGGAATTTTCGAATAAATTTGAAAAACTTATGCAGCCAGAAACTGTCGATCCATTACTTGAACGTTCATTGCCTGGAGTGGTGAGAAAATTGATAAAAAAAATTTATTTTTTCATAATTTTCATTTTATTTTCAATTATTTTATAGATAATGTCCGAAAATTGTCGATATGTAAATTTTCTATTCAATGTATCCGATTTAGCAATGTCATTGAAACATGATCAATTACGGGAAAAATGTTTGGAAATTTTACAATCAATGCCACCAGATAAATTCTATATGAATATGATTATCGATACATTTCTTGATCCAAATCAGATTAATGGTGGTGAAAATGTACTTGAATGTTTTGAACGTGAACTATTATCATCGCCAACAAAAACTGTTTACATGTTGGAAATTATATTTGCCTTGATACTACCATTTGATGATAATTTTTATAAAGAATCGGCTCGTTTTCAAAAATCATTCATTGAATGTGGTTATTGTTTACGTATTTTGAATTTTATTCATGATGAAAAATTTCGAAATACAATGGATAATTATTGTCTAATGTAAGTAATGTATTTTTATGTGTTGTAACATGTGAACGAAAAAAAAATCCTTTTAATCGATTTTGTTTGTTTCTTCACATACAGTCGAGCTATGCATCTAATCCTGAAGATAAGCAAATTTACATTGTTGACATTTTGTTTTCTCAATGAATACTCACATGGATTGCACGATACATTGCGTGATATTCTTCGTCATTGTCATGAAGATTTTGTATTGAAAAATGTAGCCAGTAGTACGGCACAGATTCTACATAAAGAATCACCTTTATCAAAACAATTTCTGCCCCAAAATGTACATATTAATTCATTATTACGAATCGCTTGGCTAATGGCCACTGGTGATCAACGGATAAATATTGATTATCAAAAGAATCTTGATGAATTACATGAATATTTTATCAAAAGTTATTCAGATGAAAATTTTAATAGTAGTGATTATAAATCCGATGAAATGTTTGATGTTTGTCAACATGCATTGGAAACCATAACATTAATGTTGATATTAGCACCACAATATTCGAATTTTCTATCAAAATCGGCCAATATGCAAAAATTTTTCATTGATCTTCTTTTAATCACATCGAACAAAACCATACGAAAGACAATGGCAGATCAATTTTCATTCATCACAATGATCAATTTGTCCACCCATTCGAATGTTGCATCATCCATTTTGGAGTTGATTTTCAATTATTTACAAAAATATTTGCTCAAATTTCATCAAACATCTGGTCAATTTTTTCGATTTTGTTGTCAATTATTGGAGATTTGTGCCACTATTTCGGTCGATATACAATATCCAATCATCAATAGATATGTTGATTATGAATATAACTTACTAAGATGTCCTAAGGTGAGTAATTTTTTTCATAAAATTTTTTTGAAATTTTCTTGAAAATTTTCTTTTGAAAAATATTTTTTATTTTCAATAATTTTGTTTCCATTTTCAGGAAAATTTTTTTATTAATGGTCAATGTCAGGAAACATTGTTGGAAGGAAATTTATGCATCACTAAAGTATTGGTCTCCAAATTTCTTTCACACGAATCAAAATGTAAAATTGGACTAGGTGACCAAGATGAACGTGGTTTAGTCCATATTTTGCTTGATCAATATTTATTTACTGCCTCAAAATCTTTGTGCCTTTTTCGACAAAATTCTGATGTTTTTATTGCTGATATCTATCCGGTTTGTCCCGGTACACAATCATTGATCGCAGCTTATGAATTATTGGCTGCATTCTGTGATGGCTGTCTAGAGAATTTGGAATTTATTTGCCAAAATTTAGAATCATATATGAATACGATGGTCATTTCATCATGGGATTATTTTCCCAACATTGCTATACGTCCGGAAAATGGTTTTGTTGGCCTGAAAAATGCTGGTGCCACTTGCTATATGAATTCAGTTTTGCAACAAGTTTGTATTGTTTTTTCTTTTTTTGGATTTTTAATTTTAATTTACTTTCATTTTTTTCAGCTTTTTATGATTCCAGAAGTTCGTAATGGAATATTATCTGTGATAATCGATTCTCCATACAATTTTTATGATAATAATAATAATGATTTGGATAATTTTTTTATCACCCCACTTAACAATATGGAAAATAATATAAATTCATCAAGCCAAGAAGTGGATGTAAAAGCCTATAATATTGAAATTTTTCAACAAATACAAATCATATTTGGTCATTTATTGCTAAGTCAAGTGCAATATTATGTACCGAAAGGATTCTGGGAACATTTCAAGTAAGTTCATTTATAAAATTTCAATTTTGTATAATCCTTTACTATTGAAACATTATTAGATTGTTTGGCGGTAAAATACATTTAAAAGAACAACAAGATGCATTAGAATTTTTCAACGGTTTATTCGATATACTTGATGAAGCACTTAAAGGCCTGAATCAACCGCCTATCATGACGTCTATATTCGGTGGATCATTTTCTGATCAAAAAGTTTGCAAAGATTGTCCACATAGGTATGTGAAAGTGGTTAATTGATTCATTCGATTTGAATGCATGTGCATTTGTGTTTTTGCATTTCAGGTATTTTCGTGAAGAACCATTTACAACATTGAATGTTGATGTCAGAAATCATCACACATTGAATGATTCATTGGAACAATATGTTCGTGGTGATCTTTTGGAAGGCGACAATGCCTATAAATGTGAAAAATGTGATCGTAAAGTGAATACTGTTAAACGTTTATGTATAAAACGTTTGCCAAAAATTTTGGTTATTCAATTGAAAAGATTTGGCTATGATTTTGATCGTGATGTATCGATAAAATTTAATGATTATTTTGAATTTCCACGCTATTTGGATATGGAACCATATACGGTCAATGGATTAGCCCGTAAAGAAGGTGAAATTATTGAAGAAAATTTAATTAATGATGAATATAATGATATAACGGAATATGAATTGAATGGTATCGTTGTACATAGTGGTCAGGCAAGTGGTGGCCATTATTATTCATTCATTCTACATGAAACACCAAATGATGGCCAAAAGAAATGGTATAGATTTGATGATACAGATGTAAGTGAATGTAAATTGGATCAAGATGAAGAGATGCGTAATCAATGTTTTGGTGGTGAATATATGAACGATTATTATGATCAATTATTGAAGAAAACATTACAACGTGTACAGAAACGTTGGTGGAATGCATTCATATTAGTTTATCGAAAAGTTGATCAAAAACCGAAATCATATCAACGGCCAACAATACCGTTGGCAATAAAAAAAAATGTTCAACATCAGAATACCTTGTTTATTCATCAACGAACATTGTTTAGTGAAGAATTTTATCATTTCATAAAAATATTGATCGATTGTAATGGAAAAAATTTGAATTTTTCAAATATTCCACCGGAAAAATTGAATCGAATTATTATGGAAACATTGAATATGGCTGCCAAATTTTTGATTAGATTCGGTTTTAAGGCAAAAAAATCATTACGATTCAATGCAAATGATTGGAATGATTCATTGATACCATATCTACAACACGATTCTTCCATACGATCCTGGTTTATCGCCAATCATTTGATGAACAATGCAAATAAATTGCTTTGTGATTTTCTTTTACAATGTCCATCGATTGATGTTCGTAATGCATTTGGTAAACTTGTCATGTTTTTAATACGCTATTCCATAATGGATCAACAACAAGATGCCACAGAATCAAATGTCATCAATCCATTTGTCAGTGAAATAATGTCAATATTGGTATCATTCATACAAAAAGATGTACCGGATTGTTCACGACAATCATCACAATATTTCACATTATTCCATTCATATGCATTGTTAGGCATTGATCAACGACGACATTTATTAATGTTATCTGTACCATCATTGTTCATGACATTTGCCATTGAACGAAATTTTTCAATGTCAAAAAATAATCAAACTGTCGATAATCGATTATATCAAGTGGTCAGCTATTTAGTTCGTAGTTGTGATCCAACATCGGTGATCATTCCACAATTACCTGAATCTTATCAACCAATATTGAATCCATTTATGTGTGATCAAAATAATGATGATCAATATATAATGCCTATGCCACGGGATATAATTGAAAAATTGTACTTGAAAAAATCCTATTTACGACAAATCATTATGGAAGCCATTTCATTGGATGAAAATGATGCATTGATCAAATTTTGTTGCTGGGAAAATCAACCATTTTCATTATATACATTGGAAGAATTATTTTCACAATTAAGTAATACTTATACTACATATGAATTGGAACCATATTTTCAATCATTACGTGATATTCTCATGATGGAAGATTCTTTCCAGCATTTTAGGATTCATGTAGCCATTCTTGGTAATCATACTGGTAAGTGATGTTTTATTTTTTTCAATCAAATTGATATATATGTTTTATTTTCAATAATAGGAGAACGATCTGTTGCATACTATGAGAATAACCATACAAAATGTTTACTAAAAATGTTGACAACACATTCGATACATTTTGAGAAAAAAGTCTATCAATGTCTTGAATTATTATCATACGTATTGAAACATTCGAACCGAGCTGTCAGTATTGTCAATGAAGATCCTATCAAAACTGAATGGTTCGAAGTGGTTAAAAAATTAAAAATGGAAACAAAAAATAAAACGTTTAATTATAATACCAATAATGATTATAATAATCTACAATGGCCATCATTATCAACGACATCATCATCATCATCGCCATCATTGAATATGGATACTAAAAAATTATTGAACGAAGTTGAATCATATTTTCATATGAATGAATCATTGGATGAACAACAACAACCACCAACAACACAGGAGGAAGCAAACATCATTGAAAATTCTGAAAAGGTTGTTGAAATTCAACAATCGGAAAAAGAAAATGTTGTCATTGATGAGAATCCTTTATCGGATCAAATAGAAAATATGGATATATCGTCCGGATGATCTCAAATTTTTGTTGTTGTTGTTGTTGTTCTTGTTGTTGTTTTGATATGGTAAATGGATAAAAAAAAAATTTCATCTTTTTTTTTCTTTGGCTTAAATCTATCGAACTTTATCTTTCACTTCTTATTCATTCACATACATTCATTGCCTCAATCTGTTTTTGTCTGTTTCACATTTACAAATCTGTTAATTTATAATATCGTTGAACAAATTAAAAAGATTCTGCGATCGGTATAGATATGGAACCATTCACCGAAATAACGTTGATTTAATTAATAAATGTATTTTTTTTTCTAATTTTATGATTTTTTACCAAAAAAAACCCCACCCGTTCCATTGACACACACACACACAGAGATATATTTTTTCCGATTCACAAAGAAAGATAATTTTCTATTAATGTTTATGAAATTATATCAAATCTGATGGTGATGATGATGATGATGATGATGATGTTTAATTGCCTTTTGTTTTTTTCCCCGTTAAATTTATGTAAATTGTGAAATTGTGAATTAAAAATTTTGTGATTTTTTCCTAATTTATACACAATCAAAATATATTATTTACTACGTGCAATGTATAAACTAGATATATGATGCTTTTGCCTTATGATCATTAAACCTATCGCCGGTCCGCGAAGAATTAATTCTCTTGGATTAAATATAACACCATGAGAATTCTGCTGTTATCTAATTCTCCATCCAAATGGATGATGCGAATATCATCACGTCATTTTAGTTCAATAGAATTGCCTAAATTTTATGCTACACCTATTTTCTATGTTAATTCGGGTAATTTATGATTAATTTTTGTGAAATTTCTTATTGATTCTTTTTTGTTGAAAATAAATTTTTTAGTACCTCATATTGGTCATCTTTACACGACAATCTATGCAGATGCATTACATCGATTCACTCGATTATGTCATCCTGATGCGGTTACAATTTTTTCCACTGGAACCGATGAACATGGTCTTAAGGTAATGGATGAGCAAATTTTTGCTTTAAAAAATTTAAAATCAAAAAAAATGAAATTTCAAGTTTATTCGGTCTTTGTACAGATACAAAAATCAGCTCAATCAAAAAACACTGATCTTTCAACATATTGTGATCAAGTATCGGCAAAATTTCGTCAATTATTCGATGATGCCAGTACATCACATACACATTTTATCCGTACTACGGATAATCAGCATAAAAAATCTGTGACAAATTTATGGAATATACTCGTGGAAAAAGGATTTATTTACAAATCCAAATATTGTGGTTACTATTCCATAAATGATGAAGCATTCGTACCGGATAATCTTATAAGAACAAATTCTGCTGGAGAAAAGATATCTATAGAAACTGGACATAAACTTGAATGGTATGAAGAAGAGAATTATGTTTTTCGTTTATCACAACTACAAGATCAAGTTATCGATTGGATCGATAATCGATTGATAATGAAACCACAGAATTTTCATACAGCACTTAAAGCTGATATAAGAAATATTAAAAATTTCAAGGATGTTTCCGTGTCAAGATCTAAATCACGTTTATGTTGGGGTATCGAAGTTCCGAATGATAATAGTCAATTAATTTATGTTTGGTTCGATGCATTAACCAATTATCTAACGGTGGCTGGCTATCCAAATCATGATCTTACCGTATGGCCACCTTGTCATGTGATTGGTAAAGATATCATCAAATTTCATTGTATATATTGGCCAGCATTTTTGATTGCTGCTGGATTACAGCCACCGAATCTAGTTTATTGTCATTCACATTGGCTTTATGATCGACAAAAAATGTCAAAAAGTTTAGGTAATGTTGTCGATCCTTTTGATTGTATCGAACGATTTACAGCTGATGGAATACGTTATTTTCTTCTGAAAGAAGGAACACCACATTCAGATTCAAGTATGAATTTATTTATTTATTTATTCATTTCATTGAAAATTTATTCGCTTTTCTTATCTAATCTAATGTGATTATATTCTTTTATCAAACATTTTCAATTTAGATTTCAATATAGATGCAGTGAAAACATGTTTAAATGCCGAATTGGCCGATACATTTGGTAACCTGTTGAATAGATGTACATCGAACAAATTAAATCCACAACAATATTATCCTCAAAATATTTCATTGAATGAAATGAATGAAATTCTACCCGAAAGTATGGAAACAATTGATTATATACAAAATCTATCAAAACAATGTTATCAAGCTTATTCGGATGGAAATTTTCATATCGGTATTGCACATGTGATGACAGGTCTTCGACTTGTAAATAGTTTATTCAACATTATTCGTCCATGGGAATTTGCCAAAAATTCTAATAATGAAATTAATCAAAAACGTCTCGAATGTTTATTGTTTCTATCATTAGAATCCATACGTATAGCAGCAATTTTATTGAAACCAATCATACCCAATATATCGACATCAATATTTCGTAAACTAAACATTCAGCCAGAATTCTGTTTATGGAAATCAGCTGAAATGAATGTGACGCAACATGAGCTGTATAGTCATCATCAACAACTGCATGTAAATAGAATTTCAACAGAAAAATTGATAATTTTCTCTAAACTTATTTAAATTATAAATTGACTTGTTGACTTTCGACATCTTGTTTTTTTTTATCTCATTATTATCAATGTGTATATTATAAAGCTCATTAAAATGAATGAATGATGATAATATTTTTGCAGTTGATGATAAAAATTGTGCTTTCAAATATATTCGATTGACGTATAAACTTGTGCGTGTAATTTGTGCAAATGCACATTTGTACCTCACATCATCATCATCAAACAAGTTCTACATTACTAAAAAGATGTGTGTTTTTGAACATATATCTTTATTAATAATCTATAGTCAATGTTGATTATAGAAACTTGAAGAAAATCACCATCATCATCAGCATCATCATCATCATTCAGATTCGCTTCATTTATTGCCACTTATAATTGCCACCAATCATGTTGATCATGGTTCTATCCATATTAATATTAGTTCAATGTTGCTTGTGGTATGAATGTTTATGCTATATTCATGTATTGAAAACCAGAAAAAAAAATCGAAACATTTTTCATTTAATAAAATTTTTGATAGCCAACAAATATTAATCAATCGATTGATGATTTAATCAATAATAATAATAATAACAAAATATCGGGAACCGATACCAAATTGAAAATTAAAAAACAATGTTTCTATCTAATACTCGTCATTTTTTAAATTATTCCATTCACATAGTAAGATTTTTTTTATTTTATCAAAAATTAATACTATTGATTGATGAATAATTTAATTTTTTCCATGACTCCAGAATACAAAAAGATTGATATTTTCACGAAAATTTTCTACCAAATCATTATATTTTGCTGATGAATTTGATTCAAATGAAGAGGTAGGCATTTAGTTTATATATCTATATCATTTTTACTAAATTATTTTCAATTATTAGCGATTCAATAAAGTTTTGATTGCCAATCGTGGTGAAATAGCATGTCGTGTAATTCGAACATGTAAATCGATGGGTATTAAAACTGTTGCCATTTACAGTGAAATCGATTCCCGGGCACTTCATGTTCAACATGCAGATGAAGCTTATTGTGTTGGACCAGCACCTTCTTCACAAAGTTATCTAAATGTTGATGCTATATTAGATGTGATTAAAAAAAGTGGCACTGAAGCTGTCCATCCTGGTTATGGTTTCTTATCGGAAAATACAGATTTTGCCAAAAAATTAGATGATATGGGCATCGTGTTTGTCGGTCCTAATTCACATTCTGTACATGCAATGGGTGATAAAATTGAAAGTAAATTGATTGCTAATAAAGCCAAAGTGAATACGATACCCGGTTTTGAAGGCATTATCAAAGACGCTGAACATTGTGTTCAATTAGCACGTGAAATCGGTTATCCGGTAATGATAAAAGCTTCAGCTGGTGGTGGCGGTAAAGGTATGCGAATGGCCTATAATGATCAAGAAGCATATGAAGGATTTCGTTTTCAAAAATGAAGCAATTTCCAGTTTCAATGATGATCGATTATTGATCGAAAAATTTATCGAAGAACCTAGACATATCGAAATACAAGTTTTATGTGATAAACATGGAAATGGAATCCATTTGAACGAACGTGAATGTTCGATTCAACGTAGAAATCAGAAAGTAATTGAAGAAGCACCAAGTACTTTTCTGGACCCGTCGCTACGAAAATCAATGGGCGAACAAGCAATAGCATTGGCCAAAAATGTTGGATATGATTCAGCCGGAACGGTAGAATTTCTTGTTGATAAGAATAAACATTTTTACTTTCTCGAAATGAATACTCGTCTACAAGTCGAACATCCTATTACTGAATATACTTGTGGTATCGATATTGTACATCAAATGTTACGTGTAGCTAAAGGACATAAACTAAAACATACCCAAAAGGATATCGAATTACGTGGTTGGGCATTCGAATCACGTGTTTATGCGGAAAATCCATATAAAAATTTTGGTCTACCATCAATCGGTCGATTAACACGTTATCGTGAACCAACATTCATCGATAATGTTCGATGTGATAGTGGTGTAACCGAAGGAAGCGATATTAATATCTATTATGATCCATTAATCTGTAAACTAATAACATATGGAAAAGATCGTAATGAAGCATTAGCAACAATGGCCAAATCATTGGATAATTATGTTATACGTGGCTTAACGCACAATATTCCATTATTACGCGATATAATTACTGAACCAAATTTTGTTGATGGTCATATTGATACAAAATATTTACCACGAATCTATCCAGATGGATTCAAAGGTAATCATATGAATAGTGAAAGTATAAATTCATTGGTAGCAATTGCTGCATCAATGTTTCTACGAAAATATTATCGTTCCAAACATTATGTTGAAAATGATACCATTCCATTGGATGAAGAATCAATCAAAAAACATACATTATATGTTGATCTAAGTGAAAATCTGAATATTGCCGATCAACAAGTAATGAAAACAGATATTGAATTTAATGAAAATTCTAATCAATTTAAAATTAATATTGGCGAAGAATTTATCGCTGAACTTCCATCAAACTTTTCACTTGCATCATTAACATTGGATTTTAAGATTAATGAAAAAATTTACACTGTACAATTGATTTCCTTTGGTCACGATGGATATTGCCAAATTCAATTTGAAGGAACAATTGTAAGTGATTTTTATTTTGGTGCAAAAATTTTATTTTATTTTATTTTTTTTTTACTTTTCTCATTCAATTTCAAACAGTTCAACATTCGAGTTTTGAATGAAAAATCCTATAAATATTTGCAAATGATTCCACCTAAACCAAAGATTGATGCTAGTAAGATTATTAAATCACCAATGCCTGGTGTTGTTAAATCGATTGCCGTACAGATTGATGATATGGTAAGTCGATTAAAATTTATATATAATATATGTACATCTTGTTTGAATTGAATTCATTTTTTTTTATTATTAATTGATCATTAATTACTAATAAATATATAGGTAAATGAAGGCCAAGAACTGTGTGTAATCGAAGCAATGAAAATGCAAAACAGTATGATTGCTGAATCAAGCGGTAAAGTTTGCAAAATTAATTGCAAAATTGGTGACACTGTTGAAGGGGAACAAATTTTATTACAATTGGAATAGAATCAGAGGGGCAACCAAAAAAAAAAAAAGAAGATATAAAATGTTTTGCATAAAAATTTTTGATTTTTTTTAATTACTTTTTTTCAAAAAAAAAAATTTATTTGTTATTGTTTATTTTTTGCATGAATAGAAAAACAAACAAAAAGAGAGAAATCTTGATAAATAAAAAAAAAATTCATTTTCTCTTCAAACTGATCGATGAAGGTTAAGTGTTAATTCAATATTGATCTTTTTTTTTCGCAAGTACTTATGAATTTTTTTTTTGAAAAATCCGAAAAACAAATATTGGCCTGTTTATGTATTTATATGTATTTTTGGGTAAACAACAGTGACGATTTTGTTCCGGTAAACATCATCATCATCATCATCATCATCACCGTTAACAGCCAGCCACATTCAAGGTAACCATATATACTATAATTGTATGTTTTTTTTCTCACTTATATAATGATGATAAAGAATTGTGGATTCATGCGCAGCAAAGAATATTCTTGTTTCTTTTGTTGTTATTGTTCTACATTGATATTGTATTGAATATGACGGAGTTAATCTATTACATTGATGATGATTTTGATGATGATGATGATCTATATACATATTATTCTATGATAATGTCAATACTGGATTCTTTTTTTTACAATTGTGAGTATTTTTTTCTTATTCTCTTTTTCTGTGTTTGTACATGTGTATTCAACGTCAATTCCACATATCCGACATTTTACATTAGAGTATTCGATTTCATTTTATTCATCATTAAAAGATTCTCAAAAATTAGTTCAGGTGTTATAATTAATTAATTAATCGTGTTTGTGTGTGTGTGTCTGTGTGTTGAAAGAATATTATTTCATAATGTCTTGAAGAATTTTCATTACTTGCAGTTGGCATTATATTTTTTTTTTTCGTTTGTTTATTTTGATTAGTAGCCAAAGGGCTTACAATTTTAGTCAATTTTAGTTTTGTTTAGGTTTTTTTTAGTACTTAGTGTATTATAAACTTTAATCATTTGTAGCCAAATATAATGAATTGATCTGGTGCCAATGTCAATTCGTTTTTTTTTCATACGAAATTCGTGATGATAATGATAATGATATAATGTCGATATTTTTTTTTTTTTTTAATATTTTGAATCGTTTTACATTTTTTTTTTATATTGCCAACTTTGTTTTGTCACATATATGAATGAAGACAATAGGTTGATGATTCTCACATTGTTATAAGAAAACAAAAAACCAGAATATTTCAATCACAATACAAACACACACACACATAAACAAACGAAAAAAAAAACACGTGACGTATTTTACTTTTGCTATGACAAACAAAAAATGAATTTAAATTTTGAATTGAAATGTGATGATGTGAAATTATTGCCAACATTTCTTTGAAAACATTCACATAAATTAATGTGTGCGTTCGTGTTCTCTCTGTGTGTTCACTATTTTATTCTTGTGTTTGAAATTCTCAATTCTGAAAATAAACGTCATGCAAATGTAAAAACAAAAAAACAAAAACAAAATCAAAAACAATTTCCTAACCACTGTGTGTGTGCTGATGAATATTTGTCAAACTGATGATGATGATGATGATGATGATGATGATGATGATGATCACAATGTTTTTATAGTTTCACTGCATCAAACCATCATCTATCATCATCGTCGTCATATTTTTTTCGCTGTTGCTAAGAACATTTCTTTCGATTCTCATAATAATAACATTAATAATAATGGGCTGGAAACATATATGAATGAAATTTAACTTTTTCATGTTTCAGTTCAACTCAGTTTTTTTTATCAGTGATTGAGAATCTTTGATCATCATTTTTTCAGAGGAAAGAGTTTTTTTTGTTGTTTCAAATTTCGATTATGAACGCAATGAGTTAAACTATCGAACGAAAATAATTAACAAAGAAGACTAATTTAAGTTAAAAAATGGCTAATAATAATGATCGATCATCATCATCGGCACGTCGATCATATCCACCATGTCCGGATGGTGGCTGGGGTTGGATGGTCGTATTCGGATCATTCATGATACACGTTATTGCTGATGGTATCATCTACAGTTTTGGTCTATTCTATTATGAATTGGCCAAACATTTTGGTGAAAGTAAAACAGCCACATCGATGGTTGTTTCCATTATGAATGGAACGACGTATTGTATTGGTATTTTTTTTTTTTGTTACAATTGAAATTACAAAAATTCAAATTTTTTTTTCAATAATTCAAATAGGACCGATTGCTAGTGCATTAACTATCAGATTTGGTTGTCGTGCTGTAACAATTGCTGGCTCAATATTTGCCAGTTTGGGATTCTTTCTCAGTACATTTGCTCCGAACATATTCACACTTTATGGTACGATCGGCATCTGTGCTGGTGTTGGTTTTGGCCTAATGTAAGATTTAAAAGAATGGTTTTTTTCTTTAAAAACAAAAATCTATTCTTTACTCTCAAAAAACAAATGCTTTTTTCGGCTTAGGTATTTACCGGCAATTGTAATGTAAGTATTGATTGTATAGTTATTATATTATGCGTCAAAAATTGAAAAAAAAAACATTTTAATTCCGATATAAATAGTGTCACATCATATTTCGAGAAAAGACGTGCATTTGCCACTGGAATTGCTGTTTGTGGTTCAGGAATCGGTACAGCCATAATGAGTCCATTGATTGAATATATTATCAATTTATATGGATGGAAAGGAGCAATGTTAGTGATATCTGCATTACTTATTAATTGTGGAATTTTTGGTGCAATGTTTAAACCGGTGCCATCGATTAAGATCGAAATCACAACGGATGCCAACCATCATAATATAAATGATGATGATGATGACAATCCAATCGAATTAAAAGAATCGACAAAATCAATGTTAGTTTGTATGGAAAATCCAAAAGATTCATCCATACAAAGTTCAGTGGAAATTCATTTGAATCCAGAAGAATCAATAAACGGAGAACAGTGTGATGATGTCATCAAACAACGTTCACATTCATTCACACCTGGATTTTTATATCGAGAAGATTCTTTCTACAGTGGAAGTCTAATGAACATACATAAATCTGAACAAAAATTAAGCACCATTCATCATCAACAACAACGGATGGATAAAATAAAACGAAAATCCGATAGTGATTGTTGTCTGTTTAAAAAATTAAATTTTCCCGATGAAATCAAAGAAAATCTATCCGAAATGATTGATCTAAGTTTGATGAGAAATCAAGTATTTCTCATATTCTCCATATCTAATTTTCTAACAGCTATTGGCTATCATATACCATTTATATTTCTGAAAGATTGGATCGTTGATAATCGAATCGGATCGCCGCAAGAAACAGGTTTTTTCACATCGATTATTGGCCTTTTTAGCACTATTAGCCGTTTGGTTTTTGGTTATATTTCCGATCATTCATTTGTTAATCGTCTTTGGTTGTATACATTTTCCGTTACACTTTGTGGATTAATTATTATTTCAAATACCCTTGCAACAACGTATAAATTATTAGCCATTTTTTGTGCATTTTTTGGCATTACTTGCGGTATGTGATGAATGATGATAAACTTTTTATTCGAATTTTTCATTTCAACATTTTATTCCTTACAAAATACCTATAGGTACCTATGTAAGCCTCACCTCGGTCGTATTAGTTGATTTATTAAGTTTGGAAAAATTGACCAACGCATTTGGATTGATACTTTTATTTCAAGGAGTGGCCTCTATTCTGGGACCATTATTCATCGGTAAGTTTGTTTTTCGTCATAAATTAATTGTTGTAATCTATTGATTAATTGATTATTTTTTTTAATCGATAAAAACAAGGATTCATCTATGATCTTTCTGGAGCTTATGATACTGGCTTTCATGTAATCGGTAAGTGATATTGAATATGAAAAAAAAATCAACACTGAAACCACTAATCAAAATTTCAAATTTTTTTTTTCAAAAAAAAGGATCATTAGTCACATTCAGTGGATTAATGTTGATATTGATACCGATTTGTAATAATTTTAAATCGATGAAAAAATTATTTTTATATTAATTTGGTGTGATAATTTGCAAAAAAAACAAAACAGAAAAAAAATCTCATTATTTCAATCAACCATCGTTCAATGATGATGATAATATAAACAAAATATTAATGTTGTAAAATTTTACAATTTTATCACTATTATTATCCCGATTCTCATGTATTAGTTGTTTTTTCGTTTTTTCAATAAATTTGATTCATTTTTAATTTTTTTTCTGCATTCAAATTCATTTTTGCCGTCAATTTTTTAAATTTTAATTTTTTTTACTGCGTCATTCACATAGAAGATGATAGCACGATTTTCAAATCAGCTGTCGTTTTTTGCCCTTTTCAAAACAAAGCAAAAAAATCATTTTAAAAATGATTCGTTCAATTTTCCAAAATCAACTACGTTCAATTCATACAAGTCGATTATTATGGAAAGCTGAAGATAAACGGATTATGTTGAAATCAATGCCGAAAAAAGATGAAGGTGCACATGGTGAACGTTCGATAGAAGTGGAAACAACTGGATTTAATCGTATTTGTGAATTTCCTGCTGTTGATACACCGGAACGATTGTTCGATAATATTCCGTTCAAATTATTGCCCATCATACATATTAAATCAACCAAGAATAATACATTGTTTCAGCTAACCACTCATGATGGTACGCCAATTACCGGTAGAGCTTGTGGTAGTGAAGGTTTTAAAAACTGTCGTAAAGGTACAAATATTGCTGCCCAAGTAACGGGAACATCATTTGGAAAAATTATTCTAAAAATGGGATATAAAACCTGTCGTGTATGTATCAATGGTCTTGGTCCTGGTCGTATGTCATCATTCAAAGGACTACAATTGGCCGGTATTGATATTGTTTCCATAACCGATTCAACATACATTGTTGATTATCCGAAAGCCAGACCACCGGCAGCAAGAAGTTTATAAATTTTGAATTTAAAAGCAAAATTTTATTTTGTTTAATTAATTAATTAATTTGTCAATGTAATTACATCATTATCGTTAATAAATTTTCTCTTTGCGAGTATTTTGTCTAATTTGTTTAGTATCAAAGAATCACATTGTTTATCATTGTCATTTTTATGATATTTGCGTAAAACTTTTTTCTGCAATTTCAATTTCGACATTGATCCTTTTTTGCCAAGAATATCGATTACAATTTTTTTTAATTCTGATTTTTTAATTTCCATATTGCCATTCATAGATTCATACTGATTTGAGGTTTGATCATGTTGTTTTTGTTGCTCGTTGACAGTTGAAACAATTTGATCATCTTTTTTTGGTTTTTCTTGATCACCATTTGAATGGTCATTTCGTGTTGAGCCATTAGAATTTTTGGAATTTTGATTTTTAATTGCCTCTTCAAAAATACTCCATATTTTATCGATCAAATTATCATTTCGAATTCGGAAAGAATTTCGAATGAAATTGAAAAATTTTGCCTTTTTCCTGGGAATATTCTCATATTTTAACAATGAATTCAGAATGGAATTGATTTCTTTGGGATAGGAATTTTGTTCAACTAAAGATTTAATTTTCTACATTGAATTGAAAAAACAAAAATATTAAATTATCGATCGATCGGATATCAGAAGTGCAAAAAAAAATTTATAACATACCGTAATCCATTCATTTTGTTTATTTTTTCCTTTATATTCTTGTTGTTTACTATTTGGTCCACCATATTTTTGATCTTCGCTTATACATTCATTATGAGAATTGTAATTATTCAAACTAAAAATGAATGATAAATAAATACATTTGGAATTACAAATGTTTTCGAATATTAATGAATATATAATAATAAATACCGTTTACCTAAAATCTTTAAAACAATCCATACAAGTAATAGTGATGGTGTTACATATTCGAAAATGTTGATCTACTTTATTCTTCTTCAAAGAATCACCACATTGATTACATGTAAAGAATACCATTGTTGAAGGTTTTGTTCTTCTTTCGCGGTATAAATGATTGAAAATTATTTTGAAATCAAAGAAAAAAAAAACGACAACAAATCACGTGGCCACACGTGTTCTGCATTTAATATGATGAAAGTTCTTGTGTGACTGCAGCTGCAGCTGCAGTGTGCAGTGAAATACAATCTTCTATTTGTGTGTGAAGATAGTAATACATTAGCAAACTACGTGATATGATGAGAAAAAAAAATACACATCAATCATTGTTGATTGTTAATATTGGTGGATACATAGAAAACACACTAAAAATCTTTTTTTTGTGTTTGTTTGTTTGTTTGATGTTGCCAATATTTTATTTACGACCTTGATTATCAACAACAACAACAACAACAATAATACCGACGACGACGAAAAGAAAAATTCGAATTTCATATATTTCCATATTTTTTTCCGTTTAAAGACTAAAATAATTTACGTGAAAAAAAAATGAGACTAGCCAGATTTACGGAATTTGGTAAGAAAATCATCTGTGTTGGACTAAATTATAAATTACATGTTAAAGAGATGAAAAATTCGTTACCAACCACACCGATCGTATTTTTAAAACCTCGTATGTTTAAAATTATTTATTTTTGTATTGATAATCTGACATCGTGTCAATTTGTGCATACCGAAAATAGCAACCGCTTATGTGATCAATGAAGGTTCGATTAGGATACCGAAAAATTGTCAAGAACTTCATCATGAAGTTGAATTGGGCGTTGTTATCGGACGTAAAGGATCATCTGTCAATGAGAATGAAGCTGAAGATTTAATTGGTGGTTATGTGATAGCCTTAGATATGACGGCAAGAGATTTACAATCAAAAGCAAAAAGTTCAGGTAAACCATGGTCAATAGCAAAAGGATTCGATACTAGTTGTCCGGTAGGAAATTTCATACCAAAAGAAGCACTTCCAAATGCAAATTCATTGGATATATGGTGTAAAGTGAATGGCCAATTAAAACAGAAAGGAAACACTTCCGATATGATTTTTACAATACCTCATCTTATCAGCTATATTAGTCAATATTTTACATTGGAAATTGGTGATCTTATTCTAACCGGCACACCCGATGGTGTTGGTCCAGTCAATAGTAATGACATTATCGAAATAGGTATTGGTGATATATCAAAAGCTTCATTCAAAATTGAATGAATGAAATGAATAATTTTATTTGAATATATTAAAAAAATTGATCAAATAAATCAAATCTGTGAAGCATTCTGAATCAGCTGTTTAACTATATTTGAATCACAAATTTTCCATTCAAATTCCGAATCATTAGCTTTTCCCATACTGATCGATTTATTACGATAAATCATTTTCGAATGACAAACAATTGATGCTGAACAATGATATTCTTGGACATTTGTTGCCTTCAATATTGTAGCCAAATTGTTGGGATTAATTCCAGAACCGGGCATAATAATAATACGTCCATTGGCTAATTTAACTAATTTTTGAATCACTTCTAAACCTTTTTCAGCTGTCGATGCTTGGCCACTAGTCAATATTCGTTTGAATCCTAAACCAATGACATCTTCCAATGATTGTTCCATGTTTACAGTCATATCGAATGCTAGTGATTAGGATTGATTGAATTTTTGATTACATCATGGCCAAAATACCATATCATATGAATCTTACCTCTATGAAATGTACATGGAAGTGGTTTAGCTTTGTCTAAATTTTTGTCAACAAAAGAAAATGTTCAAAAAAAAACATTAAATCAATTAGAATTATTACCCAACAGGAAACGATTTGCATCAATGTCGACAGTACCATCCGATCGAAGACAACCAAATACAAATCCATCAGCTCCATTATTTTTCAAACATTCAATATCATTGGCCATAATTTTCAATTCTTCCGATGAATAATGGAAATCACCACCACGTGGACGTATCATTGGAAATACAATTAATTCATTGGTAATTGATTGTTTTATGTATTTAAAAAAACCAAAACTTGGTGTCAATCCTCCTTCTTTCAATGATGAACATAATTCAATTCGACGGGCACCACCTTTTACAGCTTGTTCAATTGATTCAAAATTATCAACACAAATTTCAATAATATTTGGTGCCATGGTCAATCAAATAATAGAATGTGCTACAATATAACTGGAATGAGCATCAGAAGATATTTACACACACACACGTCATTCAAACAAAATTATTTTGAAAAAATTTAACTTAGAAACCAAGGTATTTTTGCAATCGATTTATTAATTTTTTTTATGTTGTACTGCAAAATTGAGTTATCAAAGTGTTTTGAAAATCACACCTAATCAGTCGTCATTGATATTCAAATGTAAAAAAAAGAGAAAAATTATTGAGTTATTATGATTAGTTAATATTGATAATTGATAATATATATTACAAATTATTATTATTATTATCATGCGAGCCAATATATGAAGAATCATTCAAACATCATCGTTCATTTTCTTCTTGTTGTTGGTGGATCCATTGCCGTAATCGGTTTCGGTGGTCCCTGATGATGAAGCTCGCTTATATAATTGATCAATATTTGTCGACGATCATCAGCAAAATCATCTAGTATTAAATATCGTTTATCATTTTGTAAAACGTTAATAATATCTTGTAAATGTTGTTCAGATTCTTCAATCAATTGTTTTGTTTTATATGTTAATAATTTTGTTTCTTGTAATAATTGTTTGAAATTATTTTTTGCTGTTGATAATCGTTCTTTTACATATTCATGATATTCACGTTCACATTTTCGGTCACTTGTCGAAAATTTTAGATATCTTGAATCATCTTTAATCAAACGACGAACCTCTTTCCATGTTGTCGATAGATTTATATCTTTCAATTCGTCCAACATTGTATGGAATTTTTCACGTTTTTTCTTGATTAAATTGGCAACATGTTTTTCGAATAATTGTTCCATTTCATCACGAGAAAGCATTTCGACCAATTCCCATCGATGATCTTTTTTCAATATCCTTTTCGCTTCACGCCAATTAACACTTGGACTTCGTATGAGATCAATAAGTAGTGCATTGAAACTTTCAACATTTTCCTGATGTAAATGATTTTCACGTTCTTTATCACGTTCACGAAAATGTGCCGCCAATTCTCTATGTACCTCTTTTTCTCGTTCACGTAGACTCGCCTCGATTCTTTCCTGTTTTTCTTTTTCCTTTAAACTTTCACTGATTTCTTCATCAACATTTGTTATATTCTTGTCCAATCGTGAGACAAATTCTTTGAATATAATCTCCTTCATTGAACTACTTTCTACTGCTTTATATCTTGAATCATTACGAATTTTTTCCTTCACTTCTGACCATGTAGTCGTTCCATTGATATGATGGTTTTGTTGTTCTTTAAGTAATTCAAGAAAATTTGCCTTTGTCTAATTTTTTTGCAAAATACAAAATTTTTAGAAAATGAAAAAATATGAAAAAAATCCAAATTACCTTTTCACGTTGTTTTTCCTTTTCAGCACGTTCTTTACGTTTCAAGTCAACCAAAAATTCACTAAACAATGATTCTCGATCGCGTGATTTTTCAATATTTTTAAATCGACTATCTTTGCCATATTTATGTGAAAATTCCAAATAAGTAGTTCTTGTTGAAAGATTTGCCTGTTCCAATAGTTGTCGATATTGTTCTCGATATAATTTTTGTCGCTGACGTTTTTCTTTTCGTTCTTCTTCGGCACGCTCTTTAATAAATTGTTCAAAAACTTGTTTTCTCTCTTTTGAAGTAAGCAATAAATACCGTTGATCGAAGACAATTTTATGCAGTTCTTTTTCCCATGTTGAAAATGCCGAAACCTAATTTTTTTTATTTTTTAAAAAAAAATATAGAAGATATAATGTGTTTGTGTGTAAATAGAAATCGAATTTATTGTTTTTACCTCTTTTTCCAATAACATTGCTTTAAACATTTCGATCCGTTCAGTTATTGGTAAGGTTTCACGTTGTTTTTCCGCCAATGATTCAACCTCGTTTTTATTATTATCACCATCTTTCTTCTCTTTACCATTGTCTGGTTGTTTATCCGATTTTTCCAATCTATTGGCAATTATGATTAGTAAATTATTTATTCAGAATCAATGATGAAGATGCTTACTTGGATTTTTTATTGACTTCTTCTTGTTGTTGTTGTTGTTGCTGCTGTTGAGGATGATGACCATTTTGCTGTTCATCAAGAGATCGTTTGTTACCAGTATTTTGGGATGATTGAGATGATTCTTTATCCTTTTCCTTCGGCGGACTCTTGGTCAATTCGGCAACTTCTGGTCGATTTTTCAGTTCGGGTGGACAATCCCATAATGATGTTTTAGAGCTAGGATTATAGAAGAAAACTCGATTATCTCCCGTCCATACCACACACCTTATTTTGGAAAAAATGATTAGCTATGAAATTTTATGAATCAAAAAAAAAAAAAAAATTCGAAACCTACCATGGAGTGCCCGCAATCGGCGTACTTGAAATGGGTTTTGATTTATCCTTGACTTCTTCCTTTTTCGGTTGTGGTTGTTGTTGATTGGTGATGTTTGTATCGCCGCTATTTTCTGTTTTGTTGTTGTTGTAGTTCTTACCTCAGACTTATTATCATTTTGTTTGGACGCTTCATTCTTTTTCACTTCCTCCAATGCCTCTGTTTGTAATGGAAAAAACAAAACATTTCAGCTTATTTTAAATCTACTATATTTAAAATGATCATTTACCATCAAATTTAGTCAGAATTTCTGGTTTTTCCCATACAGATTTTTGTGATTTAGTATTATAATAGTAAACTCTACCGTCAGGAGTTTTATATTCAATCCATTCGGCTGCCTGTAAACGCAATTCTGTGTCAATCTTGAGTACGAGCTGTTGTTTTAATGGATCGACACCTGTAGTAGTTGCAAGTAGTGATTGATTTATCCATGGATTCGTTAATGGGTGGGCACCAAATGGAAAACCTTTTGATAACAAACAAAAAAATGACAATTCATTTATTTTGAGGGAATCAATATCATAACAGTTTAACATACCAGCTGGATGAATAGGAGGTATAGCAAATGGTGGTGGAAATCGATTCGTTGCCATCAATCCGGGTGTAATACCAATCGGTGGCATTAATGGATTCGGTACCATTGGTTTAGTAGTGGTTTGTTTATCTGTTCAATAATAAAAGATAAGTTTATAAAGGAAAGCATGTTTTTTCAATACAATTACCTTTATCATTTTGATTCAATTGTTGTTGTGTTGAACTTGCCAATACATTTTGTAAAAGTTGTTCTTGTGTAAGTATTGTACCATTCTCTGGTTTTGTCCACGTTGTTTCTCTTGTTTTAGCATTATAATAATAACATTTACCATTTTCGGTTTTTGTCTCCACCCATGTATCGGCTAATTCATTCTGGATCATTTTTTTTTTGTTTTGTTTTGTTTCTACCGCCAATAATTTATGATGACAAAATTGAAAATTAGATTATAGAATCAAATGATGATACGGACCCGATAATGATGATAATTTATAATGAAATAATGAAAGAAAAATATCTAAATCAAAAAAGAGAGAAAAATTCTGAAACAGAATTGAAACAAATTATTATTAATATAAAAAAATGAGTAAATTCTCATCATCTCATTCTTTTAATGCTCGTCAATAATGAAAAAAAAAAATTATTTCTATATTGACAGCGATGAATCAACCTAAACAACAATATATTCAGTTTGTGTTTGATACGCATTCATTTTATACATTGCTGCTGCTTCTTCTTCTTCTTCTGCTATTTGCTGCTGTTGTTTGCTGCTATAATTATTGTGATCATCATTTTTTCATTTCATTTCATTTTCATCATATAATAATAACATTTAATAATTGCAACATAACCAAATTGAACCGCCATGAAATAGGAGCAATTTATATATTTTTTATCCATCAACAATATATCTCATATATATTATTGTAAATCTGTGGTCGATAAAAAATCAATGTTTATATTATCAATGATGATGATAATATAAACAGATGCCTTTTATCGTCATCATCAAATAAATACCACCACCTCATTTTTTTTACATTGTCCTCTAAATAACAACAAAAAAACAACAATCAATCGATTGCCTGTTTTTGATATTTGTTCTCGTTTCCATCGTAATGTTTCACTTTTATACGTATGAATTTCAAAGCCAAAGATTTTTTTTTTTTTAAATATTGAAACAAAGCAAAGTAATTTTTATTTAACCAACATTCCATTCATATTTTAATATATTGTTGGAACAATGTATATCGACCTTTATAATGATGATGATGATGATAATAATACTAATCGTACAACTTCGAACAATGTTCAACAGCTTGTAAATAATAATAATGAAAACAATCATATGAATGATTCGAATTTATTAATACAACCATTATCATCATCATCATCAACAACAACAACAACGCCAGCAGCTAATAATGAAGATTCGTTATTGCATAATCATAATGATTCATCATCAACATCAGCTACTATTCAAAACAATCAAAATTTAAATTCCTGCTGTATGGTTGAACGTTTAATTTCCATACCCAATGATGATGATGATGATGATGATGATCGAACTAATAATGATGATGATGATGTTATTGTTCAAAATTGTAATCATCACCATACGGATAATAATGAATCATTGATAATACCAAATGGTGATTGTATAATTGGTAATGGATGTATAACAACGATACAATGTTCAGCAGCGACAACAACAACTACAATATTACCTGATGTTGCATGTGTTTCAACATCAACATCATCATCCATTGTTGGACAACAACAATCGAATCTTCAACAACATAATATTTCAATGATTCATTCAACATCTTATGGTTCAAATCAGGATAATGAAAATCAACCATTATTACGACGTTTTGATAATGATAGTTTACAAGTGATTAATAATTTTTTTCCTGATGATCAAGAATTTAATCAAATTACACGTGAAGTTGAACAATCAATAGAAAATGGTTTCCTACCAAAACGAATTTCTCAAGGATCTAGTGGCAGTTATTTCGTTAAAAATCGTGATGGAACGGTTGGTTTTTGTCATCTTTTTTTCATCATAATCTGTTAATTGATTTTTTTTCATTTTCCAATAGAAAATTGTTGGCGTTTTTAAACCGAAAGATGAAGAACCATATGGTCGATTAAATCCTAAATGGACTAAATGGATGCATAAACTTTGTTGTCCTTGTTGTTTTGGTCGTTCATGTCTAGTACCTAATCAAGGCTATCTATCTGAAGCTGGTGCCTGGATTGTTGATCGTAAATTGCAGCTCAATATTGTTCCAAAAACAAGGGTAAATATCATTGATTCCCACTTGATTTTTATTTAATTATTTTTTTTTTACAAATCTCATGTTTAGATTGTAAAATTGGCCAGTGAAACATTCAATTATTCGGCAATTGATCGGGCTAAATCACGAACGAAAAAAAATGTAACAGAAAGATTTCCCAAAGTTGGACGACATTTTAATCGGATTGGTTTGCCACCAAAAGTAAGTAAAAGGAAATCTTTTTGTTTATACAAAAAAATTGATGTCATTTTTAACCAATCCGCAAAATTAGGTCGGATCATTACAAAAATATGTGGAAAATTATGAAGATGCTTGTATCTGGATAAGAAAAGCTGAAACACTTTCTGATGAAAATGTATTGGATAGTTTTCAACTTGAATTTGAAAAATTGGTTGTTTTAGATTATATCATACGAAACACTGATCGTGGAAATGATAATTGGCTTGTGAAACAAGAGTTTGATGATGATGGTCGATTAGTTTTTATTAAAATTGCAGCCATCGATAATGGTTTAGCATTTCCATTCAAACATCCTGATGAATGGAGAGCATGTAAGTGTTTTGTTTGTTTGTTTGAAGAATAATTGTCGATGATGATTATAATTTGAAAATTTAGATCCATATTATTGGGCATGGTTATCGTTTGCTAAGAAACCATTTTCAGAAGAAATTTGTCGATTAATTTTGACACAATTATCCGATATGAATTTTGTACAGGAATTATGTGATGAATTATGGAATCTATTTTCTGTAAGTTTTGAATTTTTTTTTTTCACAAAGATTTAATTATTTTTTTTCTTCTCATCCACTTTAATATAGACTGATAAAGGATTTGATCGAAATATTTATGAAAAACAAATGTCCGTCATGCGTGGACAGGTTTGTTTTTTTTGTGAATTTTAATTTTGATAAATTAATTTATTCTTGTTTATCCATAGATTCTAAATCTAACTCAAGCATTAAAAGATCGAAAAACACCACAACAATTGATAAATATGCCGGCGATAATCATGGAAAAAAGTCGTATAGCCGTTAAAGGACGTTTCCGTACGATGAAAGATAATTTTACACAAACTTTTCAACGAAAACACCATTCTTTTCATCGTTTTAAAATATTTTTTTTTATAGAGCTGTCTTTATATATAAATTTATGGATGTCTGAATGTTTGAATTTGAGCAAAACAAAAAAAAAAAAAATCATTTGTAAAACCAATGACTGTGATTTTTAATCGAAAAAATTTAATAAAAATTTTAGGCATTGTTATTGTTCAATTCGTTGGTTGAATCTGTTGTTTTGTCTGTCGAATGTATTGTAGAATTTGTTCCACTTGTTCACGTACTTGTGGCTGTTGTTGATAATTAGGCATTTGTGGTGCTTCACATTCAAACAATTGTATTAATGCATCGATTAATTGAAAAAATTTCAATGCCATTGCTGCTCGTTGTAAACGATTGATTTCCGATAATAATTGATCATAACGATCGGGTAATTTTTTTATAAATCTTAATAATTTTTGTACATCATTCATTATGGATTGTGGTTGAAGCCATGGATTTAGATTGGAATTCTTTTTCAAATTACTTTTGTTATTATTATTATTATTATTGTTTGATGAATTTTCAGTTGTAATTATTTCTGATGATAATGAAAAATTTCGAAAATTTGCCAACCATGGTATCGGATTAGTGCCCGGATATAATGTGAATAACATTAGATTGGATTTTTTCTTATCGGTCACCGATTGAAGTATACCATACCATTGGCCAGTGATACCGATTTCACAAAGTGCAATCATATTTGCAATTTTAAAGCTTCCATGTAATAAAACGGCAAACGATGGTTGTCGGCCTTCTTCACCAAACATTTGTATGATATCTTCATCCGATTGATCGGATTTAAAATTTAAAAATCGAATCCATTTTTTCATTTCATCTAAATTCTTCTCAGCAACAGATATGACATAATGTCGAGTAAAAAATGGTGAATCAAACATTTCATCGGCATTCAAAAAGCCACATATACGAATAATATCAAATTGTTGATCTTTCATTTTCGATGGAATATTATCTAATGGTAAATTTGGATAAAGACTAATCAAACCGGACATTTCACCACAGATGATTTTTCCGGAATAAGATTTAAAATTTTCTGAACATAATTTATGGAATAAATCCTCAATCAATAATGGCGATAATGTTAATGTATCGGGTATCCATATTTGTCCGCCATCATAACAAACATTCACTTGAATATCTGATGGTTTTTGTTTACAATTTTTCAATAAAATTTCTCGAAATGTTTGCAAAGAATTTTGTACATTGAAATTATTCAATGTATTTATGCATATGATATGAACTTTACATTTTGGTGGAAGTTTCCATTGTTCCAGATCATATTCATCATTCAAATCGAATTGAGAGAAAATATTCTTATTAAAAGTATTCGTATGTAATAATGCAATACCATCCGTTATAATAATTATATGATAGAAAAGATCCAAATTATAATTATCACCAATCATTTTTGATGCTTTGAATAATGCTGGCATAAGATTAGAACGATCAATTGTTTTTATATTTGTTAAACAATTTAGAAGAAAATCATAATCACGAGTGAATTCAGAAATGATTTGAAAACTTCTTGAATATGTTAACAATGCTGTTGATTCAAATTTACAATTATTCTTTATGAATTGAAATAAAATTCTTAATCCATGTTGAGCTAGCTGTAATCTTGACAGATGATTTTGTTCATTTACAAATCCAGATTTCGATGATGTTAATGAAACATTTTGATTCATTGAAAATGAATTATCTAACAACACTATGATGGGCATTCTGTGACATTCGATGACGGAAAAAAAATTGAAATTAATTGAAAATAAAATTAAAATTAAAATTAGATTCCCAAAAAAAAAGAATCGAATCAGCCAGAGAGTTTAAAAAAATTTTTAACAATCGATTGTTATAGCTCAGTATCGATTGTCTGTTTTTTTTTTTTTTTTGGTAAAGGTCAATTTTGTAAATACATGAGTTTGTTGGTGGTTGATTGTGTTTTAGTTTCGACTTTTCAATCATCAAGTTTTTTTTTCATTGCAAATTGAAATTTTTGTTTGATTCTGGGAATAAAAAAAATGGCTGTTGATTATACATTACCAAAATCGGAATTACCATCACCGATTCGTGTTTCACCATTCATTCGAGTATGTTTGAAATTATTTTAATGTTTGAATTTTCAATTTCATTTTTTTTTCTGTTTTAAAATTAAAGTTTTGCCGTTGGAGTCTTCTCATAGCCGGAGTTTTCTATGGAATGAAACGACAAAGTAATTTATTCGATTCAAATGATCAATTTTTTTGCTTTAATATCTCGTTTTTTTTCCTTTAAACCATCCATCAAGGTACATTGGCCGAACGTGAACGTTTACATCGTATAAAACTTCGTGAACAAAAAATCGTCTGGGATGAAGAACAACGTATATTGGCTAATCGTCGAACTCGAGGTAAAATATTCGAATATTTTTCTTACCAAAGCACATTCATCATTTTTTGAAAATCTTTTTTTGTTCAAACAGAACAATTATTGGCATTGGCCAAAGAGATTAATGTACCAATACCGGATGATTTTGATAAACAATATCCACCAGTATAAATGATGGAATTTAATGATTGAATTGTCGTCTGATTTTCAAATTAGTGTTAAATAATAATAATAATAAAGAGAATGAATAAATCAAATTAATTGAAATTGATAATTTTTCTTTCTTAATTTTCAAAATTTTTATTTATTTATTATAAATCAATTTTCCGCCAACAACACAAAAAAATACATCAAGTTCATCAATTTAATTCGCCTTATATGATACCGATTTTATTGGCCACATCCAATGCATCATAATCGGGTGCCAATTTTACATAGGCTTTTTTCTGTCCATCCGGTCGTATCAATGTATTCACTTTGGCTACATCAATATCGAATAATGATTTGAATGCCGTCTTGATTTGACGTTTATTCGATTTTAGATTCACAATGAAAACCAATGTATTATTGTCTTCGATTTTTTTCATTGCCGATTCAGTTGTCAATGGATATTTGATGATAGAAAATTTATCGAATGCATTCAATTTCGGTGCACTAGAGCGTTGAAATTTTGGATTACGAGGCAAAATCTTGGTTTTCGGCCGTCGAAATGTTGCCGTTGTTCGAATCTTTTTGGTCCTTTTCTGGAAGTTACCTTTCTTCACCTTACTTTGTACATCCAAAGCTTTAACTTTTGCAGATTGCTTCGATGCGGGTTTTCCAACCGATTGTGTTTTCGGTTTTTTCACTTGTTGTACGGTCTTAGCAGCAGCAACCTTTGCTGGAGCAGTAGATTGTGCTGCTTTTGCTGGTTTCGATGCTGATGGTGCCGATTTTGATGAACTTTGAGCTCCGGAAGTACCAGAAGCTGACGGCTTTTTTGGTTTTGGAGGCATCGTGAATCGTAATTTTCAGTTTTTCAATACACAAAATAACACACACACACAGTGAAAACGACGGAAAAGGAATATCTACAACGTGTGAAGAGAAAAGCGTGTGTGTGTGTGTGTCTGTGACAAAACCACATCAATTAAAATAAACATGCGCAATGATTTACGAACCAAGTGCCATCTAGTTTCCATTTATGGAAATAAAAATCAATATTATGAAAAAAAATATCCACATTCCATTGGAAACTATAATAAAAATATATAATTGATGAATGATACCTGAGCCATTTATGTCAACAACACGCGTATCAACACCGTTATAAGATTTTCAACGACAAATATCAATTGTCATCATCATTATCATCATAAATCATAAATCATTGATTAAAAAAAAACGATTAAATTTTGTTTCTTCATTCTGTAATATGAGAATTCATCAAACTTTGTAGATTTGTATTGTTCTAATTTTTATTTTCATTCATTCTAACGTCGAATGGAAAATCGTAATGATTCATTCATTTCATCATCATCATTATCGTCATTCAGAATAAAAATCAAATAAATTCATTTTTCATTATCAATTTAGAAATGAAAAAATTCTTGAAAAACATTATGGATTATATTTTTGTGGCTAATATTGCTGATGATGATGGTGGTGGTGGTGGTGTTGGTGGTGGTATTAACACTAATGATGATGATAATAATGTCAACATTAATCTTCATACAGTCATGAACAATGTTATCATCAACAACAATAATAATAATAATAATAATAATAATAACGAATATGATGATGGCAACTTTGATCAAACAACATTTATGTTTAATTTTTTATATTATTTTTTCATTGGTTTATTAATATCTTTGATATTGGCTTCATTGGGCATATCAGTTGGTTTTCGTAAGCTTTATGTAAAATTATTATTGAAAATATTCGATGTATGTTTGTATTACATTACTTTTTGTAATATTTATTGATGATTAATTCTATTTTTTTTTTTTATTGCAGTTTGGTAAACAAAGAATTGAAAGTGAATTGATAAAGAATAAAAAATTAACTAATCAATCAATAAACGAAGATGATAATGATGATGTTGATGATGATGATGATCAACAAGATCAACAAGAACAAGATACATTGATCGATAATTTAATGGATTATGAGAAAAAAGATTTCCATTTGGATGATATTTGTCTTTTGATTAAAAATGGTATACAGGCCATTGTTGATGATGAAGTAACAAAACGTTTTGATACTGAAGGTAAAATTTGAATTTAAAAATGAATTATAATAACTAATTTTAATCATCATCTTATATGTTAGAACTTCCATCATGGAATTTGCTCACACGTACGAACAAAAAATATACACATCTATCATTACGTTTAACAATATTATGGGGTATTGGTTGTATTATTCGTTATTTTATATTATGGCCAACAAGAATTATTGTTACAATAATCAGTGTATTATTCTTGATCATATGTACTGGTCTGATTGGTTGTCTGCCTGATAGTGATTTTAAACGTACAATCTATTGTAATGCAAGTCTTGTTTGTTTCCGTATTATATCACGTGCATTTTCGGGTATTATTACATTTCATGATCGTCATAATATGGCCAAACCAGGTGGTATAACAGTGGCCAATCATACTAGTCCAATTGTATGTTTGTGTGTGTGTGTGTGTATGTGTATGTTTTCATTCATTCATTTAAAATTTTTTCCTTATTTATTATTAGGATGTAGCCGTATTAGCATGCGATAATTGTTATGCATTAGTTGGCCAAAAACAAGGTGGCTTTCTTGGCATGTTACAAGGCGCATTACAACGTGCATCAAATCACATTTGGTTTGATCGTTTTGAAATCAAAGACAAACAATTGGTTGTCAAACGTCTAAATATGTATATTAATGATCCAAAAAATCTACCAATATTAATATTTCCCGAAGGTACTTGTATTAATAATTCGGCTGTGATGATGTTTAAAAAAGGTTCATTCGAAATTGCCAACATTGTTTATCCGGTCGCCATTAAGGTATTTTTATTGTCATTTGAAATTGGATTTAATTTAAAAGAATTTTTTTTTTGCTTCGAACACAGTATGATTCACGTTTTGGTGATCCATTCTGGAACAGCAGTAAACATGGCTATATGTATTATTTAATGTTAATGATGACTAGCTGGGCAATCGTCTGTGATGTTTGGTATTTACCACCGATGACTAAAAAGGTTGGTTTTTGTTTTGTTTGTTGTTGATTATTTTTCATTTTTTCAATGATTTTTTCTCTACTCTCAATCAATAGCCCGAAGAAAGTGCCATTGATTTTGCCAATCGTGTTAAATCTGAAATAGCCAAACGTGGTGGCCTTGTCGATCTACAATGGGATGGCCAATTGAAACGTTTTAATGTTAAAGATGAATGGAGAGAAAAACAAAGAGAAGAATTTAGTAAAAAAATTAAATAGTCATGATGATGATGATGATGATTACGATCTCTTTTATTCAACCATGGAGGCGAAGAACGAATAAAAATCATTTGATAAAATTTTCCATTTTAATTTGGAAAATTCATAAAACAAATGTTTGTCATTTTTTTTTTTCATTGTTGTTTTTTTTACAACATATTGACCTCATAGAGTTTTTTTGTTTGATTTGATGACAAATAAACGATATATTTAGTAATTTGTTCGCTGTTTGTATCGATTGGTTACTTTTTGTTTTTTTTTCCAATGAATTCGATTCGAAATAAAGAACTGATTATTGGATTGCATTGTGTGTCATCTGTTGACAGAGGAAAAAACTATTTTTTCAATTTTAACTTTTCATAATTTTTTTTCATCTTTAATAAACATAAACAAAAATAAACGAAGTTATTATATTATTATTAAAGTGTATCGAATGTATCAAATTTTTTTTCTATATATAAATAGTTTGATGAGGAATGATAAATATTGAAAAAAAATGACAAGAATTTTTATTTCATTTCCCGTTTTTATGTTATGTTGTGTGATTGATTTTTTTTCATATTTTTCTCGTAAAATGTTTACGTATTTGTTGCAAAAATTTTTGTATACCATTCATTTTATTATCACCGATATGACCACCACCAATACTACTACCACCAGTAGTACCATTATCACCAGAATCACTATTGCTTGAATTACTTGAATCTTCACTTGAACTATTTGATCTTGGCCATATTGGTAATGATCGTTGCTGTTCCATTGATGATTGTGTTGATGATACATCAAAATGAAAAAATTGATGATTAATATTATTAAGATGATCATGATTATTATTTCTGAATACCATAATGGGATTATTCATTTCACGATTATCCGTTTTGCTTCCATTACTATTCATTGAACCGGTATTTAATTTTTTTCGATTAGCTAAACGTATTTTTACCTGACGATCACTAGAACTTTTCTGTATCAATGCATTATCTACTTTTTGTCTACTACTAGCATGTTCATAGATGGCTTTTTTCAATTGAAATATAATATCAACAACAGCTTTTGCAACATCACGTGGTGTTGCATCTGTTTGTGATAATACGGCCCAACGATTTTCATCCACACCGATTGGACATGTAAACATTTTCTGTGGTACTTCGAATTCACCACCAGCTGCACCACCAGTCGATTTTATCGGTATAACAAAATGATCATTCCAAATGAATTCTTCGATTTCTCTTGCAGCGTCTAAATGAAATGAATTTTTTTGATTGTTATCGAATTCTAGAGATTTTTTTGTTTGTTTGTCTACCTTTATCGCCACCAATCAAAAGTGCTGTATCTAACATACGTGCAATAACTGAATCTCTTTCTTTTGTCGATTGACCAAGAAATATTGTTTGTCCATAGGATACTTTTTTCGGTGTAACATCCAAATCATCTTGCCTTTCCGGTACAATATGAAATACCGAACCAATAGATTTTTGCGTTGTCTGTTGATTTGTACAACGTTCCTGATAGAATGTATGTGCAACAATATCACCTGCACCATATGTACCATTGGTTATAATATTAATATTCTTTACGATTTTGGCCAATTCTTTTCCAATTTCCTGACATATTTGATTTGTTCGTGGATCAAGATTATCCGTATTCGTACTACCGAATACAAATACACATGTTTCCTGGTCGGGCATATTTTTTTTCATCATATCTGCTAAACATTTAATCATATGATCATAATATTTAATCTCTTTACAATCTGGATCCAATGTACGACTAACTCGATTCAATAGATCGTCATCAAAAGTGGAGCTTTTATATTTCTGAATTAGAGAAAAAAAATATTGGTTAATTTTTTTGAAAAAATTGAATAATTATTCAATTTACCAATGGATGGTCATGGCTAGTTAATTTAGTGAACCAAACCGGTGATGGACTATCATCATATTGTACATGTATAGTTGCTAATCGTTGTCCACAATAATAAACATGTTCTTCAGATGTTTTTGATTTAAAATACTGTTCTGATGATAATATAATAATTAATGATGATTGTGAAACTTTTCTCTGAAAACATTGTAAATGATCCAATTTATCTGGACTAAATGATGAATGATGTGTTGTTTCACCATAGGAAAATACACGACTTAATTCTTTTTTTTTATTTATCTCTAGACGATCATTATTCGGTACAGATTTTGGCCGTTGTTTACAATTTTCAGCAATATGACGTGCATAATCTTGTGTTGGTCGTGTTATCGTGGAATTTTCCTCACTAATTGTCGTCAAATCCTGATCAAATCGATTTCTATATGGTGATGATGATGATGATGATGATGATGTATTATTATCTTTGTTCACTGTTTTTGTGCCAACATCAAAATCTTTAAAATCATTACTACACCATACATCATATTTGTCTGATAGAATTGATTTAATTCTTGCCGACGCTTGTTGCTGTTCCGGATGTGCACTAATTACAATCAATTTTCTATTCGTTTGTTGTCGATTATTATCAGTATTATTTATCGTTATATCGTCAATAGCCGTAGATTGTATTCTTTGTGATAATTTATAAATTCTTTCTTTAATCAATTTTGTTACTCCATATATTGCTTCCGATGGCCATGTTTTACCATCATAACGATTATTTGGATCATTTGCATCTAATAATATAATAAAGATTAAATAAGCAATGGAAAAAAAATCGACAAACAATTCATCAAATCATACCTGATTGTGGATTCCATGAAATGTATTGTGTGGTTGCAAATTGTATTGCTAAACATTCAGGTGGCCATAAATCAAGAAAATTAATTGGAATGATATGTTTTTGTTTAACATCGGCTAATTTTATCTATTATGGGAGGTTTGATTTAAACAAACTTTTAAAAACGATTAAATCTATTTATATCAACAAAAACCAACCTCTCTATTCGTCCATTGTGTACGGCCATAATTCTGTGTGATTAACGGTACAAAATAGTTACAATTCTGTACTGCAGAATTCAATGAATCTTGCCAATCACTACCCATTTGAATTTCATGAACATCCTAATGATAATTGAATTGATTGATTGATTAAAAAATTTTATGAGTACAGAAAAAAAGTATAAAAATTTTACCAGATACACTGAAAATCCACATTCAAGTAATGTTTTTTTCAATTGTATTGCATGATCGGCCGCTTCATGTCGTACATAACTAATCATAATCTGTGGTCCTTTTCTTCTTTTCGATGTTTTACGTCGAAACAATGATCTTGATGGCCGATTTTTAATCAACACAGAATCAGTTCGTCCATCAACCATATTGGTCGATACTGTATCTTCAATATATTTTTTTATCGGTCGATCCTGATTAACTGCATAATATCTTGTTTCCATATCGATTTGTTTTTCGAATTCAATCATAATATTTAAACAATTAACTATTTCAATTAAAAATATATTCGATTCATTGATTGGATTAATAATACAACCGGAATTTTGTCGAAAATAATAATTAGTATTCGATAGTTTCATATCATTAACCGGTTTCATATCTTTCAATTTATCGTCAATAATTTTTCTTATTGTTTTTAAATCTAAATAATAAGTACCATAAATATAATCAATAAATATTGATGATCGATTCGTAGAATAATATCCAATCAATGAAAAACGATCTGGACAATATTTCCTTCGAAATCTTATCGTATTTTTTTCCGTTATAAGATGATAGGTTAATGTTTGTGATTCTTGTTCAACGGTTATTGTACAACCGAATGGTGTGAGAAATGCATAATCATCATCCATTTTAAATATAGATTCTTGTTGAATAATTTTACGTAAAGAATCCACATATGTACAATCATTATATTTAGATAATAAAATTGTACCTAAACATATTTCATTTGGAAATCTTCGACTATCATCACCAGTGATCAAAGTTTCTTGAACGAATATGATTCCAATCATATAATCAATATATCGTTGTTGTTGTTGTTGTTGCGGCTGCTGCTGCTGTTGCTGTTGATGATTATTGAGTTGATTATTATGTTGTTGTTGCTGAAACATCATTGATTGTTGTTGTTGTTGTTGTTGTTGTTGAGTTGGAATATTACGGGTTGTAATTTTTGTTGAAAATGCCATTGCATAAGAATCGGTTAATATTAATGATGATGAACGTGTTTCGTGATTTCTTGTTGTTGTTCGTTGTTCAATATTATTATTATTATTCGATGATATTGATGTTGATGATGATAATGGATTATGATTAACGATATTCGTATCAGTGGTATCTGGTTGTATAACCATCATGATTGTGATTTAACTATTTTTTTCCAATGAAAAAAAAACTAATTGATTATTATTCAAAAAGATCATTCTATTGATAATCATCAAATGATAATACAAATACAAATACAACAACAACAACAACAATAAACTCAACACATACCAAATTGTAATGATGATGATGATGATGATGATAATTATTATCAAAAGTCAACGTTTTTCTTTTTGTCTTTGCTGCAAATATGAAACAAAAATGACAAATTTATTTATCAAAAAAAAAAAAAAAAATTTCTTTCGATGATCAATATGATTGTGATGATGATATGATGTGTGTGTTTGTGTGTTTGTATGTTTTTTCTTTTATGTATATAAATAACGAATATCAATTTTGATTTTGATATATTATAGACTAACTCACACACAGAGAAAGAGTGAAAACAAACGCAATGATAATGTTTGATGGATGGATTGATTGATTTGATTTGAATATAATGTTTCATTCAATGTTTTATACAACATTTAAGAAGAAGGACACAGAGAAAAAAAAATCCACAACAAATACATAATGATAAAATATCATGTCACACATATGTTAGTTGTTGACATATTTTATTATTATTCTTCTTCTAAATTCTTCTATTATCAAAATAAAATTAAATAATTTGGTTTTTCTTCTTCTTCTTCTTCATCAAAAACAAAAACAACAACAACAACAACGACGAAAAGATGACGCCATTTGAATAAAAACAATGAAAAAAAAGAGGATATGACGAAATGATTCGATAAGGTTTCGAAGAAAAAACAAATGTAGTTTTGTTGTTGTTGTTATTGATCGGTGGATGAATGATGGTAAAACGAATGAAAAATTAAGTTAAAAATTTGTTTTTTTTCTTTATAAATCAACAATGATGATGTCAAATTCTTTACAACAACAAAATGGATTGATGGATCCGGCATATTTATGTATGTCATTTATATATTCAATCATCACTTGTTGACAAATTTCCATTCCGGTCAAAGCATTAAGTAATTATTAATTGATCAACAACAACAACAACAACAAAAAAAATGACGACAACGAAAATCATTGGGAAAAGATTTTCATAATAATTGGAGGAACTTTTTGGTTTTTTCTACATTTTATAATTTTTTTTTTGTTTTGTTTTGTTTGTCTTTGAATTCGTTTTTTTTCAATGATGATGGTGTTAGACGTCTTTGTTTTGTTGGTATCGGATTATTCCGTCTTTTTTTTTTTTTTTTTTGTTTTGTTTTTTGTTGTCCGGATTTATTGATTCACAAATACAAGTAAACAGCCGGATGTTAATGTAGATGACGTTAACGGATTAGATGTATGAGCGAGAAATAGTGAGATTTTTCAAATATTTTCTTTTGTTTTACAAATACAAGACACACACACACACACACATAGACAACAGGATTGAACAGTTACCATATGGATGGATGGATGGATCTATTTCTTACATTTTAATGTTGAAATTTCTTTATTATTTATTATTTACAACACACACACACACACATATTTTTGGATGGATTTTTTTTTTAATAAAATCCACCATTCAAACACAAAACAAAACGTTGATAGTGAGAGAAAGAGAGAGAGAGATAAATAAAAAAAAAAAAAAAAAAATGTCTCGTCAACTTGATATGAGATTTGATTGAAAGAAAGAAAGAAAGAATGTTGGTGTGAGTTTGTAAAACATTATCACAATAAAAAAAATTATTATTTTGTTGTAAAAAAAATAATAATAAAATTTTTGTTACACAGATAAAAAAAAACGGCGATATTTTATTTTTTTGTCAAACGTTGAAAATAAAGAATTTATCACATAGACAGACACACATAACACTTGTTGAATATATGTATTTGGAATGTTGGATATAAATGGCCATAATCATCATCATCATATATTATATATGATTATATGATCACATCACAGATCCATAAATAAATATATAAAAATGTAAATGGCAATGATTTTTCATTTTACATTGGGTAATCTCTTTTTTTTTACTATCATTAATTAGATTGAATTAATCTGCCATCTCCCTTCCCCAAAAAAAAATCAATTGATTTCACTAATTCAATTCATTTAAGAAAAAAATTTTTTTTTTTTTTAAATTTCATTGGCAGCCAACGTTATGTCGGTAATGGCTCAATACATACAAAAACACACACACACATGTGCCATCCACACGACGATCACGATGGTTTTTTTTTTTTTTTTTGCTTGTTTGACAATCAATCAATCAGTAAATATAAGTAAATAAAAAAAAATCTTATGCCTATGGAAATTATCAATGACAATGATAATAATGATGATGATGATGATGTGATTCGATGCTTAGAATGGCAATTTATTTTATTTTAGTATATTATTAAATACAGAAAACGTCGATGACAACAGAAACACGTTATAGCACGGTGTTGAACAAACAATGCAATTTTTCATTATATAAAAAAAAAATTTTTTTTTTCATACAAAATGATCAACATTCATACCATTCCATTCAATTCATTCAATTCAAAATTGACTGTGAATAAATCAACCGGAGGCAAGTATTATAATGTTTTTTTTTTAAATCTACCAAACCACTACCGTCGTATTCGTCGTTGCTGTTGTTTATTGATGTTGATGCTGTCATCATCATCATCGTCATCACCATCGATGTCGGCGTCACGACGACGCCGACAACAACAACAACAACAACGACGACGACGACGACCATGATCATGATCAACATTGTTGTTGTATTAGAACATTTTTTTTTCTTTTGACTGGTTTTTAATTTTAGTTGATTTCTGGTTTTTTGCACTTGTTGCTTTTTGAAGGTTCAAAATGTGTGTGTGTGTGTGTGTGTGTGTGTTTGTTCAGGTAAACCTCATTCTGTCTGATGTGTGTGTGTGTGTGTGTGCATGCGGGTATGAGTCATAGTTATATCGATCAGACATGCTTTTGTAAATGTAATTTTTTAAATTGAGACAAAATAATGGAAGTTAACATTTTTTCCGGCATTCTTGCTCAATCATCATTTTCATTTTTAATTCACCTGTTGCTCATATATTTTTTTTCCATGATTGATTGATTAATTGATATTTTGTTTATGTTTTTTTTTTGTAGTTTTTTCGTAGTAGTCTGAAAACATTTCAAATTCTAAATAAATAAATATAGATCAATGTTGTATGACGGACGATGATGATGATGATGATGACGATAATGTGTGAATGATTGAAATGAAATGAAATGAATGGGCCAACAAAAAATTGAAAATTGAAAAAAAAACCGCGTTAAATTTGATTTTCTATGCAATAATTTTTTTGTTTTTTTCGCCATTTTCCCCATCAATTACTATCACACACACACACACCGTTAAATAATCATACGTGATGATTATGATTTCAATTTTTTTTTTGAGGTACCACTACTGTTTGACACATTTCTTGTTATGTTTAATTGTAATGATGATGATTTTGTCATCATGATGATTATTACACACACAATTACACAGTTATACGCATATTATCTCTATTTATATATATATAAAAACATTTCAATAAATAAACACAATGTATTTGTCCATAGATAAAAATAATAGTTTCTCTATATCGGTTGTACATTCTTCCAAGAAGAACAACAATAACAACAACAACAACAACAACAACAACAACAAAAATCAATTTCCAATTTTTTTATCGGAAATCCTAAAAATATCAATCGAATAATAATAGAAAATATTTTTGGGATATGATTCACACACACACACACACACACACACACACACCGAAACATAAAAATTGTTTCATTTCCAAATTTTTACCGGAAAATTGAAATAATCTTCTGTTTACCTACTCTGCTTGTTTTGTTTATAATGAAAAAAAAACACACACACACACACAAATAATTTTCAATTCAAAATTTTCCAACAACAACAACAACAACAAAAAACACAGGAACAAAGATGGTTAAATTAATTTTTTTTTTCAAAAAAAAAAAAAAAAAAAAAAATAAATTAAGTGCAGATAGAAGTGTTTTGTTTATGTGCTTCTAATCAGCACGATATAATTGTCGATTAAGATTTTGTTTTGTTTTTGTTTTTTTTTATAAAGTTGGGAAGTTTTTTTTCTGTTTTCATCGTTTTGTTTTGAGAATTTTTTTCCCAGAAAAAGATTCAGATCATATGTGTGTGTGTTTGTGCGTGGGTGTGTTGTGTTTTCAATCCATTATTCTTTCCAAAGCATATAATCAATATCGGGGAATGTTCGACAATCAATCTGTGCATTCAATCGTGATGGATAATAGAATGGTTTAGCTTGTACATATTGTTGATAACGTGAATTACGACAAATTATACGTGACATTGTTGCCGCCTGTTTAATATTGGCTAATTGAGCTATGTATTGTTGTTTGGTGACGAAAAAAAAATGAATGAATGAAAACTTTGAATGAAAACAAAATTTCAATTCAAAACATACCCGAATGAAATGATCCACTTTGATTACCATGTTCATAGAAATATCGATCACCAAATTTCAAATGATAATATTGAATGCCAACCAAACAGCCAAATGTTGGACCAATATTTGCATCGATAAAATGTCGTTCAGAAACACCAGCAATATAAAGATCAATATCTTCGATTGTGCTGATTTAAAAAAAAAGAAAAATTAATTAGTTCAAGCTAATATGAGTATTTTTTTTCCTCCATTTACCTATAAATCCGTTGCAATTTGAAAAGTGTTTCACGTGGAATAAATTTCTCCAAATCTTGCCATGATTTTGCCTATTTTTAACAACAAAATAAACAATGTTTAAAATTCAAATCTGAAATTGATAAAATTTGTTACATCATACATCATAATTAAAACAAGCTTTTAGATAATAAACATAGCCCGGTAATCCATGATCTCTACCACGTTGTATGTTGAATGCAACCAAATCAAAACCATGTGGTCGACTTTTTTCTTTCATCATAAATTGTTTTACCACATCACTATAATATGGATCAACTGTATTCGAATGATCACCGATTAATCCACGCATTATTTCTTCAGTCTTTCAGTTAAAGAGAAGAGTTTTAGATTACAATAAATTTTTATAAATTATTTTTCAATTTCCGAAAACTTACCATACCACTGTAATGTAGGGTTGGATCGAAAAAACTATCTTTCAATGGGAAAGCCGTTTTGTTTGTAAATGAATTCAATGTATAAAGATTTTTAATCTGTGAATGGCCATATCGACTAGCAGCGGCAATAAATTCATTCCATGTAGATGGATCAGTATAACTTTCATAATAACTATTACCGTAATTTGTTTTGGAATATAAACGATAATAATCCATTAATAATGGACCAAGAATGATTGGTAAATATTCATTATAAGTTATATGTTGAATTTCAGCTATTGTAATTCGTCGTGCTTCTTGAAATAATTTTTCATCATTCCATTGTGGGTTGATCTGGCTTAATCGTATGGCATGATTATTGTGATTACGAAGCCATATTGTATGCATTGTCATCAGCAATGGTTGTTGATTGACACGATTATCACCGGCTTTAAAACATTTTAGTCCAGATGTTTGTGGTTGACAAGGCTGTGCAGATGGATCAAACGGTAGAATTGGATTACCTTTAGCATCAGCTATAGCAAGTAATTGTCCTATTGAATTTTCAAATTATTGGAAGCCAGAAAAAAAATCAGATCAAAAATCACTACCTTTTTGAAATGATCGTAATGAAGTGGAAATTTTCATTGTTGATCCATAAATGGTTGAACCATCGAGAAAAGCAGTCACGGTATTCATTTGTTCACGTGGACCTGTTGATTTACAAAAAACGATTCTTAATTACAATAATCACTTGTTGCATCATCCACATTTTTTCACTGTGCCAAAAAAAGACGAAACTTACCCATTTTACATAGTGGACAAGATTGTGAACGTATAAAATTCATACATTTGGTTTGAAAATTTGTTGCTATAAAATCATTAACCGTATCCATCATGATAGCTTTACATCTTTGATCAGGACGTTTGCAGCAATCAATATCTTGATTTTGTTGTGGTCGAAAATTTCCCGTATTTGTTATATCATGATTGATAAATTGTCCCCATGCAACAATCAATGTTGAATAATAGGTTTTTAAATCACGATTTGATGTAACATAATTGGAGATTGTTCGTGGATTCGGTAAACTATTGCCAGTTTTGGATAAACGAAATTCATTCAAACCATCACCATAATCTGGTGGCAATAAACGTATATGACAACTGAATGATCGTCCCCAATATGGTGATCGTAAATTATTGCATGATCCATCCATTGTTCGATATTTACTTGTTCGATATGGATAGCATTGATATTTTTCATTCCAATATGGTAAACAAGACAAATCACCTTGTTTGTTCATTGAATAATATTGATTGCTAACCGGAATAGTTGGTAAATAAATGGCCAATTGATATTTACTGAGACATTTGCTAAACAATGCAAAAAAATTTGAATAAAATAAACAACAAACAATGGGAAAAACCAACTTACTATCTAGCAAAATATTCGGAAGCCATTTCCATCATTGTACCTTCAATTTCTTTACGATCAACATCAATATAATTACTTTGATTTGAATATTCTGGATATCTTGTTTTCAATGCATTATTTGCATATACAAATGCTTGATATAAATCAGCTTGTGTTATATGTTTACCATAGCCATATGTTTGTTGACAATAATTATTATTTACACCATAATAATTAGGATTATTATTATAAACACCATTTAGATAGCTTGAATAAATGGAAATAGCATTATATGTACTATTATTATTATAGCCATAATATTGATCATCATTGGTCATTCGATATGTACCAGGCATCACCTGATATGGTGATGTCAATGGATAATGTAATGGTTTCATTGTTAATTTTTTTGTTGTTTTATAATTATTTAATTTTGGATACAATATCGATGATGGTGATGATAATTTGTTACGATCAATTATCTGATCATCTGCATTACCATTGCCGAAATACGCAAGAGAACGTCGTTCAAATTCATCTGAATCCAATATTAGACTTGAATCAATTGAAGATTGTGTTCGAATCGATTCGAATTGGATACAGGCAATGATTATTATTAAGTTCAAAATGAAGACTCTGTTAAAAAGAGAAATAAAAAATGATTTGTAAAAGTGAAAAAAATTCAAATTTGAAAAATTTACCTTTTCGTCGCCATTTTTTTCCAGGTTGATAGTGAGGAGGTCAGTCAGTCAGTCAGTCAGTCGTTCGTTGTTGTCGTCGTCGTCCGAATTTCTTACAGGAAACAAGAAAAATAATTTTCACCAATAAATCAACTATAACAACTAAAACATACAATCCATATCGACACCGAAAAAAGTTTTTTTTTCCTGTAAAATCCTACCCACGCACACTGGATACTTGTGAAATTGATAAGTCAAAAACAACAGAAAAAAAAATTTACCGAATAAGCAAAAATTAATTATCGAAACGATAAAAAAAATCGATAAAAAAGAAATCAATCAATTCTTCAGAAATCCCATTGCTACAAAGAAAAATTAAATGCTTTATTATTTTCAAAATCATTATCATGATAATAATTTAAAACAAACAAACAAACAAAAAAAAACAAAACAAAACGAAAAAAAAATCCAAAAATGAAAAATACAAATCAAGTGGTGGTTCCATCTTTATACAAAACAACAACAATAATAATAACTTAGAGCGGCAACTAATAATAAAAGTCTCTTGGAGAATAAAGTGATGATTGATGATAATTTTTGGCCATTAGGTCAATCATTTTTTTTTTCATTGCGGTGTTTCGTTTTTTGTTTGTCTGTCTGTTGGATCCACCATGTAAATCATCAAAAAAAAAAAAAGACATAATCAGCAACAGTGGATAAAATTCAATCACATTTAATCGAATCTAATCGATTTATCATCACCATCATTATTCTTTCCATGGTCTTAGATCAATGTCCGGTATATTTTCGCATGATTGCACTTTTAAATCAGGATTGCTTGTATTTAGAAAACGGAGAAAAAATGATGAAAAAAAATTATCGAAAAGTTTCGAAATACAAGAAAAAAAACGTAAATAAACGCTAAATAAGCGAAACAATAACAAGCACATAGAAAAAAATGAAAAATTTAATTTTGCTTGAAAAGGCAAATATTTATCCACATCATCATCATCATCATCATCATCCTTTCAGCCCATTTTAATATATTGCTTTCATCGATGATAAACGACGATGACGATGAAAAAATGAAAACAAAAAAAAAATTGAATGCATGTCCACACACACACACACACACACACACAAGATAACAAACGAACAAACGAAGTAAATCTTCAAGCAATGAAAAAAAAAGTTTGCCCAACCAAACAACCAAATAGCATCATTGATATATGTCTATCTTTCTTTTTTTTTACTTACCTTTCACTATTGAGCAAGAAAACTTTTCGATGAATTCGTTCAAAATCATCACCATTTTCACAAATTATCTTTGAAAATAATGTTTGTCTTATTGATTGTAATTGTTCTATTCAAAGGAAAAAAAGGAAAAAAAAAAAAAGGAAAATCGAATGATTATGAAATTTTCTTGGTAATATAAACAACAATGATCTGTTACCTTTCGAAAATGATCCATCTTGATTTTCATGTTCAAAATAATAACGATCACCATATTTTAGATGATTAAATTGTACGCCAATTATACAGGCAAATGTTGGTCCAACAACACCATCGATTAATGGCAATTCAGAAATACCACCAGAGAATAGATCAATATCTTCAACTTGTTCATAATTCTGTTGAAATCGTTGCCGTTGTTCTTTTGGCATATATTGATCTAGCTGTTCGAATGTTGTGATTTTATCTTCAAAACATAATTGTAGATAATGTACATAGCCAGGTATACCATGATCACGACCACGTTGTATATTCATTGCCGGTAAATCTGATCCACTTAATTCATTTTTTGATTTATACAAATGATTACGTAGATCTGAATGACAGAATGGATCAAAACGTTGTGCACTTTTTCCCACCAGACCACGAACAATTTGATCCAATTCACCATTACGTAATCGTGTTGGTGAGAAAAAATTATCTTTCAAACTAAATGTTGATCGCCTACTATCGGCACCAATCATTGTAAATCTTCCGTTTATCAAACTATGGCCAAAACGAAATGCAGCACTAGAAAATTCACTGATTATTGATGGATTTACATTAGAATCATATGTTGTGACTCCATTTTGAAGTACATTTAATTTATAAAAATTCATTGCATTCTTTCCAAGAACAATTGGTAAAAATTCATTATAGGTAATCATTTGCATTTGTGCACCAATAATACGTCTGTAAATTTTTAAAAAAAAATGAATCAATCATTCAATCAAGTTAATGTTTTTTTTTTTTTTTTTTTTACCTAGTTTCCTGAAATATTCTTTCATCATTCCAATTTGGATTCAATTCACCTAATATAGATGCAATACGATTATGTTGTCGAAGCTTTGTGAATTTAATTGAATGAAAAAATAATAATAATTATTCCAATCGATTGATAAATCATTCACATACCCAAACAGTATGTAAAACCAATAATCCAGGATGTTGATTAACACGTGTATTATCACCGGCACGAAAACAAATGGAATTTTTTTGCGGTTCTGAACATTGATCATTGATTATATCATTACTTTGTGGTAGAATCATATTATCACGTCGATCAGTATCGAACATAAGCATTCCTAATTCAATTTGTATGAATGAATGAATGAATGAAAAAAAAGTAAATGTAATGATTCATAAAATTCATTACCTCGATTGAATATTCGTAAATTTCTTGTCTCTTCCAATGTATTTCCATAAATATTTGATGCATCAATAAATGAAGTTAATTTATTCAATTGTAATCGTGGTCCAAAACGACAGGTTAAACAAGATGTTGATCGAACAAAATTCAAACATCGTTTATTTTCTCGTCCGAATACAATATCATTGGGAAATACTTCGATGGGAAAACATTCTGGATGTGTTGGCCGTGGACAACAATTAATACCGACACGATTTAAACGATTTACAGGTGATAATGAAATATCATGATCTAAAAATTGTCCATATTGCATTAACATATGTGTAAAATTGCCCTGTGCATCTTCTTGTGGATGAATACTGCCAGATAACATTCGTGCATTAGGTAATGGATTACCTGATGCCGATAAACGTGGTTTGGAAATACCTTTTTTTAGGTAAACAGAAAACAGAAAAAAAAATTGTAATCAATCATTATTTTGGTTTTCCACTAACCATCAGAATAATCTGGATCCAATAAACGAATCACACATTCAAAAGATTTTCCCCAACGTGGATTACGTAAATTATTACAGCTTCCATCGGCAGTACGAAAACGATTTCTATTGCAAAAAATCGGCGGTTTACATGCCTGTCTTTTAGATCGATGATGATGATGATGATGATGATGGTCTATGGTTAGATTAGTCGCATGTATATGGCTTAGATCACGAATCTTTTCCAAGCTCAATGAAAAACTATAATTTTGATGAAAAATAAAATCAATATTTAGAGTTCGATTATAATAAATTTGAATTCAAAGTTTTTTTTTTTTTTTTGTTCACATTGGATACAAACTTTTTGGCAATAATTTTCGATGCTTCTTCATATGGCCGTTGTTCATGATGTAGATCAAGAATTTCATGCTGATGTTTAGCTGGTATTATATGACGAGCTAATGATGTTATCGTTGTCGTATTGATCGTATCAACATGTTTGAGATCCAAATCATGTTCAAGATTACTGATACGATCATGTATGGATAATGCTTCAACGAATGCTTTATTTAAATGTGTATCATTAATCCTGTTGATTAATTTTGAACATTTTTCATCATTTTCAAATGGTGCATTATTCACTTGTGGATGGCGAAATTTTACTATATCACGAAATAATAGGCTAGAAAGAAAAACGAAAACAAAAATATTCGAAAAATGAAATTCAATTTTTTTCCAGAACAACGGTTCACATACCAATGGCAAAAATTTAGGAATAAGAAAATTAAAATAATTAAACAAAAATTATAATGAAGAACATGATGATGATGATGATGATGGCAAGCCATCATGTTTTGCATATAATGTTGGATTTCGTTCGAATAAATCGAAAATCGATTCGGTTGTCGGTTTGTTTGTCGAATGTTTTTGACCGAATGAAATGGACGACAAAAGCAAAACAAAAACAAAAACAAACAAACAATAAAGGTGACAAGATCCAAAAATATTTTGTTTGTTGTTTGATGAACGAAAAAAAAATGGGAAAAACCTTTTATTTTCACGTCGTTCTGTTCCAAAGATGATGATGATGAATAAGTTTAAACAAAACAAAAAAATGAAATGAAAAGATGTTTGTGTGTTTCGATGATTTTTCACATTTGTGTGTCATGATCATCATCATCATCATCATCATCATGATTATGGACCACCACCACCACCACCACCACCACCACCACCGCCGCTAACAATTATTATAAACATCAACAACAACAACAACAACAACAATGACAAAAAAATATATATATGAAGAGAACAATGATGTGTGCATTTTAATTGTGAAAAAAACTATTTTTCAAGAAGAGAAAAACATTTTCAAACGGAAGGAAGAAATGAAACCTTATATTTTATTATTAAACGGTGATTTTTTTCTTTACTTTCTTTCTGTCTTGTCCATCACCATTTATTTATTTATTTTCAATATCGAATGTACGAGAGAAATTTTCTTTCATTTTTCTTTCAAAAAAGAAACTTGACGAAAAAAATATTATTACATTTGTAAATGTAATGTGTAATGGTTAAACGGGAGAATGAAAGAATGATGATGGTATGTAATATGTTAATTTATATTCAATGAAAACATTATCATCATCATCATCATCATCGAACACAACAATTATATTGACATTGAACAAAATTCACATGGACATTCTCACATATATATAAATATTATTATATTTTTGTTTCATTGAAGGTTCCATTTTGTTATCCACAAGGCACACACACACACACACACACAATTATATAATTTCGTATATAATATCTCTTGTATAATATGTGTCCAAAAAAAAAAAAATAACATTGATGTTGATGGTAAAAATTATTCCCATCATCATCATCATCATCATCATTGTCATTGTTGAACATGGATATTCATGGACATTATATAAAAAAAAAAAAAAAAAAAAAAAAAAACAGAAAACAAAACAGAAGAAGAATTTATTTAAAACTAAATTTTTTTTAATCAACAACAAAAAAAAAAAATTCAAATTTCATTTAATACATTCATTCAACATTCATTTGTTAAACAAATTGTCAATTCGTCCAGTCTTGTTGTTGTTGTTGTTGTTAGTATTTCGTTGATTTTTTTTTAATTATGGCTGTTATAAACATAATTGATTGATGATTGATGCACAAAAAAATCGATTGATCATTAGATTTTCTTTTTTTTTCTAATTGTAGAATCCGAATTACACACTTTCGTTTGTCATTGGAAAAAATCAAATCAAAAAGAGAAATTGTTAAGTAGAACATTTGATATACATGATTCGATATCAAGCCAAAATCAATCAATCAATCAATCATCAAACGTAATATAAAATGTGTGGAAGGTTGAAAAATTTTCTTCTTTATTTTCTTTTTGTTTTATTTTGTTTTTTCTTTAATCTACAAACAATCGATTGATTGCCTATAGGTCGAGGATCGCATCAATAATCGTGTCGTTTCGGATACGAGGCCAATAAATGCTATGAATTGAAGATGGAGAATGGGAAAAGAAAGAGAAAACAAAGATGGAAATGGAAAAAAAAATTCAAAGAACAAAAACAAGACAAACACATAATAATATCATCATGATGATGATGATCAAAATGATCAATCAATCAATCAATCAATGTTATATAATATATATTGGATAAAAAGGTAAATATATGCCAATGTCAACACAACACATATACACATTTACAAACAAACAAAAAACATGTAAATTTAACAAAACACAAGACAAACAAGCCAAAAAAATGAATTATCCATGCTTTTTTTTTTGTTAAAACATAGAAAAACACATAGACAGTGAAAAACTTACCTGAATCAGCTAATCCATATCCAAAATTTTTATAAACTTTTAACAATTGCATAAACATCCATATACGAACAATAATCAATATTAATGCAGAAACCAATGAACCATATGATAATAATAGTATTGAATTTATACAATGATCAAAACGGAAACAGGTTTCCAATGTAACAAGCTATATTTTTTGTGTAAAAATAAATCAAAAAAAAAAAATTTTAAAGATAACCACGATATACAAAAAATAGTCAAAATTTCGATAAAGTTTTTTTTCGAAAAAATTTTCGTTGTGCCCATCTCACACGTTCGAATATTTTATTTTATTTTTTTTTAACAAAGAATTTAGTGAGACCTTGATTCGAAATAAAAGCTAATTTGTAATTAAAATTATCGTCAATCTAATCATCATTATCAATGTCTTGATTTTTTTTTCTTTGAAAATATTTTGTTTTTGTTTGTTTATTTAAAAATGATGATGATGATGATGATGAAGATGATCATTTTTTATTTGATTGATTGAAGGTCTGAACTTTATTGATTTGACAGATGATGATGGTGATTACATCACACATTATTATACATCATCATCATTTTGTTATATTAGGTATTGTTGTTTGTTTGTAACATTTTTTGTTTTGTTTTGTTTAAATCCTCAATTTTTTCTCCTAACTATCTCTCATTGATCAATTCAATTCCATTAGATGATAATTATTAACAAAATTATCTACAAACGTAGTTATTTTTTTTCGTAGATAATTTGATGAAATGCAAAAGGAAAAAAAAAGATTTCATTGCTGCTGTTTAGCCAAGGTTAATAGCCATTATGTAAAATATAAAAATTTTTTTTTTGTTGATGTTTATTTGTAAGGTTTTGAAGGTTTCTAAGGATGAATGATAAATGAAATTTTCGTTGTGTTCATTGTCATCAACTCTTCACTTATAATAATCATCATCATAATAAAAATCAAATCAAATTAAATCTAAACCTTATTAATGAGTGTTTTTTCGAATTTTTTTAGATATCAACGGGTTTATAAGAAAAGCAACTATATATTTACCTGTAATGGAATCCATAATAATGATAACGTTGAAATAGTTATAAACACGAGTAGAAACGATTGAATCTCTTTAATTACCTGAATTATCAAAAAAAAAAAAATGATTTTTAGAGGAAAAAAAGGCAAAATAACAAAAAAACAAACATACAGCATATCGGCCAATAATCCAATGAATGATTGAGATTAAAATGAAAATTGACATGGCTATAAATTGCCAACTAGGTTCATCACGTGGTACACCAATATTGAACAATGCAAATGAAACCTGTAAATGATGAGAATAAAAAATAAATGAATTCATTTTTCCAAAAACAAAAAAGAAAACTCGACTAACCGCACAAAGAAAATCAAATTTCAATAGAACAAGAAAAAAACATTGCAATTTATACATTGAAAGCAATGTTGGTGATACACCAATGATTGAATATTCTTCCGAATAGATGGCAACCGTTTTTGATGAAATCAATAATATTGATGTTAATGATAATGCTATACATAGACGTGCCTGAGTAAAACAAAACGAGAAAAAATTTTATTAATTTCAAGAAATTTTTGCAACAAATAAATCATACCAATTTGATTGTAGAATTATATTGAACAGTGAAAGCAAATTCGATTGCAATATAAAAACAACATAATGACATTGCCAACAGGAATAGGCAAATTTCATTCTGTTTGAATCCAAAAATTCCACATGCCAAAAATGAAATCGATATTACTTGAGTGGGCAAAGAAGAAAAAAATTTCAAAAATTAATCAATTAATGAATCATTTAAACATTGAAAAAATACCACATATGATTAGAATGGTTGCATTCACCACGAATGATGATGACATTAATTCTTTGAGATCGATCAATTCTTTTAAATTGAGTAATGTGAGAACAAATATTGTTATCAATTGTGCCGATGCTATTAGAAAATAAAGCCATTGCCAGGTATTGTAGCCAAATATCTTTTTCATCTAAACGAAAAAAAAATGAAAACAAAATTGATTAGCAAGAGAAAAACGAAAAATTTGATGATCAATATATATTCATTTATAGAACACCATCACCAATAATCATACCATATCACCTGTACGATTTATAATGATCGAATCAGGTACAATAATTATCATCGGAAATGAACGAAAATAAAGAATTTTTTAAAGATAACAAAAACGGCAAATAAAGGCAATGGCTAATAATAAAAAAAACAGAAACGATGCACAACAAAAATGGCCGGCTAAATTTTTGTTTGAATCATTTCACAAACACACACAACCATATTTTGTTGTTGAATGTACAGTAGAAACGAAAATTGTTCCGAAATGGTAAAATATGCAAAGGATAAAATACGAATATTGATCGAATCGTTTTTTTCATTTCATTTCATTTTCTTATTATCGTTATTTTTGGCTTAATCTGGTGGTTCATTTAAATTGATTTTTTTTATGTTTTGCTTTTCTACACTTGAAAATAGCCAAAAATCTCACTCTCACTACTTTTCTGAATGTATTTTTTTTTCTCGGCTCAAGTTTATCATTATCATGATCATTAGCAAGAAAAAAAAATTGATGGCGGTGATTAGAGACCCGCAATTTTGAATCATAAACACACACATGCACACACACACCACTCACACATATAAAAACATATCGTTATGTTGACGTTTGATTATGAACAGATCTTAGATCTGAAATCTGAATCTGAATCATGATTGATGAATAAATCGAACTTCAAAGCAATGCAAATCAATGTGATGATTAATTTCATTATTAAATTAGTGAGATAGTGATCACGATGAACAAAAAAAAAATAACATATGGCTATGGAGAAACGACGCGAAATGAAAATATTTTTCTGGTGATGAAACCGAACCATTTTGTTGTCTTTAAAAAGAGAGAAACATTTTTTCGGTTCATTATCAAGGACAAAGACAAAGTTTTTTGGGGGTTCGAATTTAAAATATTAATTAAAAGAATTACATAATAATTGGACAAACATTTTTCGATTGAAAACGGTGATGATGACTATTGTATAGTAATGAAAGTGAATAATAATTTCGTAATCGATTATGGCCATCAAAATTTTCATCATCGAAATCTACATCATCATCATCATCATCATCAGCATTATAATCATGATCATTTTTCGAATAATTACAAGGCATGATTATCACACGTGCTTAAATTGTTTTTACTTGTTTTGTTTTGGCCAAAAGAAAAATGGCAAGAGAAAGAAAAAAAAAGAAAATAAGAAAAACACACCACCATCAAAAAATGGATAAACGTTCGATTCAATATTTGTTATCTTATCCATAATAGAGCACACAGATATGCAGAAAAAAAATCGTCATATAAAGTACAATTTGACAGTAATCTTTAATAGAATTGTTGTGAAAAGAGTAGTGATCCAAAAATAAAATACAAGAAACGTTTAGATTTTATGATAGGTATGTTTATTGATAGAAAAATGATATTTGTGGTTAAAATCTTGAGTTATTGTTTGAATTGGAAAATTTGATGAATAGTATAAACAAATAAATTAATCAATCATCGATGATTATATTGGCTTTTTTGATCATAACATTCTGTATTGGACAATCATTTTTATCGGTTGGAATACGACCCAATTTTTGTACGACATCAAGATTGGAAAAAACACGACCAAAAATAGTATGTTTACCATCCAAATGTTGTGCTGGTGCTAATGTTATGAAAAACTGGCTACCATTTGTATTTGGTCCAGCATTTGCCATGCTTAATATGCCAGCACCAGTATGTTTTAATGATGGATCAATTTCATCTTCAAATGTTGATCCATAAATACTTTGTCCACCACGACCAGTGGCTGTTGGATCACCACCTTGAATAATGAAATCTGGAATGATACGATGAAATTTTGTACCATCATAATATCCACGGCGACTTAATTCGGCAAAATTTTGACATGTTTTAGGTGCTTCATTCCAATACAGTTCAACATCAAAAGTGCCTAAACTATTGATGATTCAAAATCAAATCGATATTCAGTTTGTTTAGTAAATATTTACCTTGTTTCGATGCGTACTTTCGATGGTTTTGATTCAGTATCATACATTTTTAATGTCAATTTTGAAATCAAAAAAAAAAAAAAATTCAATTTCAAATGCCGGTAACCAAAAAAATCAAAAATATCAATGTTTGACCATATTAACCTAATCGATTCGATCATGTCAAAATCGGAATAAATTTTTTTTTTTTCATGTGCTTATCAAAGTACAATTTTGATTTGTAATTTGTAAATAGAAAAAACAATTTTTATCATTTAAACTGATTATATAATATCTTTTTATTTAATCTTTTGACATTTGAATTCGTAAATCTGGATCGGTCAAGAATTCGTTCTAGGTTGCCAAGCCAAATTGAATATGATTTTATCGAAACAATAAGAAAAGATATTGAGTCATTTTTTGCTCAATCTTTTCCAAAAAGGTATTTAAAACCTCGATTATGATTATTAGTTTTCGAATTTTTTTAATTTTTATTGATTTTTTTTCAAAGCCAAAAATTCATTCTTGTCTTGCCACCATTACCTTCGAAACTTCGTTTTCTCATTCATGAATCTGTGCCTCAATTCTATGGTGATAAATTATCGACATTGTCGATTGGCCAGAATAAAAAAAGAAGGCCAATACTTTATTTGAAATCATTTATAGATAGACAAAATGATTCGATTAATAATTTGATTATTACTCAAATCACTGATTTACAACAGAAGAAAATTCAGGAAAAAAAGAAACATAAACGTCCAGATAAACCTTTATATCAGCCACCAAAAAGTAGAAATTCTATGAAAAATTTTCCAAATCTAGAAGATTTTCTTACACATCATTATCATCATCAACATCATAATCGTGGAATGCAACAGGAAAAAGATTACTCACAGCCCGATGACAACAATGATGATTTGTCATGGGATAATTTATATGATGATAATGGTGATTTAATTAATGATTTGAATAATCAATTCGAAACGATCAATATTAAACCAGAAAATGTACATAAATCTGAATTGGATTATTCGAAATTTTCGGAAAAAACATCCACATCAACAGATATTTCACAGAAATTCGATGATAGTTCTCATATATTGGAAATCTATGATATATCACCTGATCTCAAGACAAAGGATCTGACAAATTGTTTGTCTTTCAAGTAAATAAAAGTCAATGACGAATTATTTTAATAATAATAATAATCTGAATTTTTTTTTCATTTTAGCAATTTTAAAAATTTCGAAATTGATTGGGTCGATGATACACATGCTTTGATTACATTTCAATCGAATCTTCAAGCATGTGAAGCAATGAACAAAATGTTTCCAATCATGAAAGTACGTCCACTTGGCCAGGCAACCAATGAATCTAAACAAAAGGCAAAAAAATTGAAAGGTAAATTCTCTTGATTACATATACAAATCTTTATTTCACTAATTCAAAATCACAACCAATAGAAAGCGGCGTTACACGGAAATTACGACCCGAAACATCGGCAATGACTGCACGACGTTTAGTGATTGGTGCATTAGGATTGAACAAGGCAAATATAATCGATCCAAAACAGCGGCAAGCTGAACGTGAAAAATTACGATTAGCTAAAGGTAATAATCTTGTCGTTATAATCTTAATAATAATATATAATTTTTTTACCATCACAGAAAGAAAAGAAAAGACAAAAGAAGCGAAAAATATCTGGAATGATGATAATATTTCATGAAAATTGTTTTTTATGTTTTCATTGTAATCGTTATTATTATTATTATATTCAATATAACGAATTTTTATTTTTAAATTAAAAAAAAATCAATCAATCAATCAATGAGATCATTTTATATTTTATTTATTATCATTATTTTTCACCCAATAGCCAATAGGTCAACATTTTTCCTTTTCCTTTGATAAATATTTCACCACGTGGTTCCAATATGAATGTGCCGAATAATTCCAGCACTGATTTTGTTGATGAACTGACATGAATTTTCAATGCTAAAATGAAATAATATTTATATTTAGTTAGTGAACATTGTATGATAAACACCACTTACGTTCACCATTGCTTTCCATACGTGATGCTGTATTGACGGCATCACCAAATAGACAAAATCTTGGTCTTATATTTCCTGGATGGTGGATATAATAAAAAAAATTAGAATCTTTGAATCATAGAAAAAAAAATTAGAACACGAACCAACACAACCAGCACAACAAGGACCGGTATTGATTCCAATACGTAGCTTAAGTTTCTCTTCAGGACGATGTTTAATAACAAAACTGGGCATCATTTCCAATATTTTCAATGCCATACGACAAATTTGTCGTGCATGTTCGATGCCATTTTTTTCTGGTAAACCAGATACAACCATATAAGAATCGCCAATAGTTTCCACCTTTAAAAAATTGAATAAAGAATTCTGAAGAAAAAATTGAATGAACTGATTTACTCACCTTATAAACATCATAATCGGATATAATGGAATCGAAAAATGTATAGAGATCATTTAGAAAATCTACCACCTGCATAGGTGTACTATTCGAGCTAAGATGTGTGAATCCAACAATATCACTGAAAAATAATGTAACAGAATCGAAAAAATTTGGTTCAAACATTTTGCCCCGTTTTAATTGATCAGCAACGGGCCTTTTGATAAAAAAAAAAAAAATAGAAATTAAGTTGAAAAAATGAATGAATGAAAAAAAAAATTTATACAAACTTTGGTAATATTTGATATAAAAGTTCTTCAGTTTTCTTTTTCTCTTCAGCCAATTGATTGGTACGTTGACGTACAATCATTTCTAAATCGGTTGCATATTGTTCCATACGAATCAATAGATTTTCGGTTAATGTTGAATTAATCGATACATTATTATTGATGCTCAATGTTTTCATTAGATTTTTCATTTCACTTTTGATCATATGAAAATCCGGTCTATCATCCGGATTTGTTGACCAACAATTTACCATGAGTGAATATAGTTCCGGTACACAGGCATCCACCGGCACTATTGGACGTAAGTTTTCAAATTTTGATCGTTTAATAATTTCTGTACAAATAAAAAAATAATTGTGATTTGAAATTTAAAGTAAAGAACATTTACAACAACATATACCAGATAGATGCATTCGTTTATGATGTGGATAGAATGGTTCTTGTCGTAAGATAATTTCTTGAAGAATAATACCAAAACTATATAAATCACCTTTTTGGCTACCGGAATTTGTTTGCAAACAATAAGCATCGAAATGATTTTTTTTACATTTACATGGTATAAAAAATTCCGGTGCATAATACAATAGATTTTCATTACGTTCTTCTTTCAAACAATTTAATTGACATTTACGTGATAATTTTAGATGAATATTTGGCATACTTTCCGTAAGATTATCCACCGATTGACATGAATAAATTAAACCGGAATCATTTTTTAATTTTCTAAGTCCAAAATCGGATATTTTCACACAGAAACGTGAATCAATTAGACAATTATTTGAATGTAATCGTCCATGATAGATATGTTCACTATTATGTAGATGAGTCATTCCAGAAATGATATCATTTATAATTGAACAACGAAAAATCCAATCTAAATTCAATGATGAATTGGCCAATAATCCTCTAAGTGAACCTTTTGAACAATATTCCGTTACAATGGCCAAACAATTTTCCGTACAAATACCAAAAAATCTTGTCAAATTATCATGTGATATTTCACGCATCTGAAATGAATTTATGAAATTTGAGTGAGTGTAAGAAAAAAAAAACGAATCTAAAACTATTAATTACAATTTTCACTTCAATCAGTATTTCTTTGGATAAATCAAATTTAGTTGTACGTAATTTTTTGATGACAACTTGATTTCCCTATGTGTATAATATAATACAAAATAATTACAATCGTATGATAAGTTTGAAACTCTGAATGTTTTTTTTGTTTTGTTTCTACCTTATAGATTCCGGTGACAACAGAATCCATGGCCGTTTTAATTGAATCGGATTCAATATCCTAAAAATTGAGATATATAAATGATTATTATGGATATAAAATTTCATACCACACACACACACACACACACAAACAAACCTCATGATCAAAATCATAATTTGATCTTTCTAAATTGATCTGTTCAATTTCATCCCAACGGATTTTCCATGACATATTGGCAAGGGCAAATTTATATTTGATTTTTCTTCATTTAGAAATCAAAGATAGAATATAAAGAAAATGACAAATTATCAAAATACATATCAATTGGTTTACCTCAAAATAAATACAACAAGTAAGATTAATATAAATAGAACGGTTACGATTGTAACGATTGTGATGCCAAGAAATGTGATTCCTTTTTTTTAAGTGAAAAAAAATGATCAATTACATTCAAATGGTAAATACAGCACAGACATACTTTTACATATGGCTCCATCGAATCCACATTTAGGAAAATCTTTTGGTACTTTACCATTTGGCCAATGTATTTTTTTGATCGATTCATATGTTTGCGTTGCACCATAATATCTTAACGCAACCTTTTTAAAAATAAAAACGATGTTTGAGAGAATGATTGTTAATATTTTTTTTTTTTGTTTGAATTTTACCTCAAAAAGACCTGTTTCCGGATCAGTTTGATCAAGCAATGCATAATCTGCAATACGATCACCTTCTAGATCTATTGTTACATTGCCGGATATTCCGGAAAATGTTACATTTTTCATTGATTTTAATATTTTTTTACGTAAATCGACAATTGTTGATGATTTTTGATTGATTGAATATGGTTGATTTTCACGCAATGATTTACATAATAATATAACTGAATCATGAAATGATGCAGTGAAATAGTTGACCATTTGTTCATTATATTCAAAATTATATTCTTTCAATGCTAAATATTTAACTTGATCACTGAAACTTTTGTAATGTTCACCAGGTGGTTGATTTAGACTTAATATCAACAATGATTGATATGCAAATTTAAGTTTTTCTTTGATTTCTTTGGATTCTGATAAAATATGGTGGTAAGATTCAGAGGAAAAAAAACTCACTTGGTTCATACTTACCATTACCACCAGCCCAAGATGTATTGCCGATGGCTTCTTTTTCAATCAATTCAGTATAGATGAATGCATAATCACCATTTGTCATGTTCATTGAATATGCAATCAACATCATATTTCGTACCTCTTTTTCGCCACCAATTATAACGATAACTATTTAAAAAAAAAAATTTCACTTTAAAATTTTAAATTTTAAAAAAAATAAAGATTCAAATCATCATACTTCGTGCACAAGAACGCATTCGTTCCATCACTAATCGTAGATTCGTTATAATCGTTTTATTATGATCACGATTATAAGATTCTTTACAAGTGCAAACAAAATTTTTATATTCACTACGATTACGTTGTAATAATGAAAATAATTCTTCGGCTAATGTTGAATAATAAATATCCTGATAACGGTAGATCAAACCAAAATGATACCAATTATGATGTGCCATAAATGCTAAAATGGCACGTGCTTTATCACGTAAATCATATGATGTTCGTATCAATGTACTATATGCTGAACGATCATCATTAATAACATCACCTAATCCGGTTAATATTGGTATTCCTAAATGGGCGGCTAAACGACCAACAACTTGTACATCATCACTACATGCTGGACCGATCAATGCAATGATTTTATTATTCGATATAACATCATACGCTTTTCCCAATGCAGCCGTTTCATTACATTGATTTGGATAGATTTCTTTAGTGAGATTTAAATAAATTTTATATTTTGATTGACATTTCTAAGTGTTGAAACAAAATGAATAAAGAGAAAAAAAAATTGAATAAATGACCAATTTTATTCAATGGACAAAAAAAATTGTGATTTATTTGATAATAAAAAAACAAAAACAAACAAACAAACAAACAAATGTGAATAATAATAACTAACGAACAAACTTTCATAGCAATGTCGATTGCAGGTCCAATATGGACAAGATCAAAACGATTTGTACGACTTTTATCGACCATCAATACAAGAACATTATAGGTGGAAATATCATTTTGTGTTATTGTTGTTGTTGTTGTTGTAATAACAATTTTTGTCGATATTACCATCATCATCATGATGATGATGGCCACTATTGTGATGATAATTTTATCACCAAAATGATATAAATATTTGTTGATAGACATTAATAATGATGATGATGATGTAATCAAAATTTGAAATTTATTCATTATATTCAAAACCATTTATGGTAGTACACAGAATATACAACACCATCACCACATAGAAAGTGATCAATATTTGAAAATGAATCCATTGGTGAATGGTGTGATGAAATGGACGAACAACAACAAAAAAAAAATATCCGTAGAATCAGCATCAATTTCATCAATATAAAAGTTATATATTCTGATCAAAAAAAAAAAAAAAAAAAAAACGGCGGGATATCATCTCTCTGTAGATACCAATTGGTATGTGATGCAATATATTCAAAAACGCAAACATACACACACACACAGAATATTATTAGATAATCTAATCAGTTAGATAGATATATTACACCTATATCTTTTCCATTGAAATGAATGAATGAAGAGAAAGAATTTCTCCTTGAACAACAATTACCGCATGTACAACAACAAAATGCCACACACATACATACATTTAAGGATATAAATCCGATGGAGAATGGACATGGTATATATATTTTTTTCTGCTGTTGTTGTTGGTCGCTGGTCTTGTATCCTTTCCTGGGCTTTATATTGGTGATGGTGTGGTTTACAGCAACAAATAACAATTTTGTTCATTTTTTTTCTGTTGAAAAAAAAATTTTTTTCCATTCTCATAGATCTTTTATGTGTGTGTGTGTTTGGCTTGTGTTTGTGTATATATATATATGGGGAATAATTAAATTCTTTTTCCTGGTTCAATATTGATGACAGCGTATGATGATGATAAAAAGTAAACAAACATTTAATCTTCATTATAATAATATATATATAATAATATTCACATACGTTGTTGGTTCGATTTTGGCTAGTCCAAGTAATAGGATAGATAGATCAATCGATCGATCGATTGATCTCTGTGTTTCGTAAATTGATGATCATCATGATGATGATGATGAGCCATAAATGTTTGATATTATTCTCAATATCCTGAATTGAATTTTTTTTCTCTCTTTTTTTCTCATTTTCATCTGGCTAAAATTTTTCTTTCTTTCTTCTTTAGTTATCTAAATATTGTATAGAATGTATGTATGTGTGTGTGTGTATGTATAATAAATATTGTCGAAAATTCATCCCCGGTTATTCGCCATTGCCATCATCATCATCATCATCATTGTCAATATCCGTCCAAATTCTATCGCCTGTCAAATAATGTGAAATAAAGAGAAAACAAATTATCGTAGTCGTTGTCGTAAAAAAAAAAAATTTGTATTCAAAATATCAAACAAATACCATCATCATTGGATAATATGATCAAACAACTATTTTTTTTCCAATTTGTCATCATCATCATCGATATTGGATGTTTTGAACCACCAAAATTTCATATTATTATCATATGTATAGATTTTTTTATAATCAAAAATAATATCTTCTTCATCATTGAAATCGAGTAAACATCGTTCACCGGATGTTGTAGCCAATAATGGTAATGAAGGATGTAAACTTGCAAAAAAAAAAAAAATACAAACAATCCATTATTATTAAGTTATATCTATATATTGGGTATGGTCATTCATGCAAATGATGACAATCACAATGATCATTAAAAAACAAAACAAACACACACACTTACCTAATACCATTAACACGATTATTATGTGAATGAAATTCATTAAATGGTTTCAATACTTTATTATCGCTATCGAGTGTTGATTGTTGATATAGATTATAAAATCTAACTTGTTGATCATCACCAGTGGCCAGTATGTTATGTTGAAAATTTACATCAAAATAGATACGTTGATTAGTTGGACAATCACGGCGAATAATATGTAATATTTCTCCATAATTACGTAGATCCCAACAAAGTATTTCTTGGTCCTTTTCACATTTTAAATACAGAAAAAAAAATCATGTTGACATATGGCATCTAAAAGAATTTCCAGTTTTTTTTCTGGTTACCTTTCTTGCTCCACTATAAAGTCTCATATTATCGGGTGATAATTGTAAATGTGTTACGCCACCATGATGTCCTTTCAATGTGGCAATATGTTCCATAGTATCGATATCATATAATCCAATCAATCGATTAAATGATCCGGTTGCAAATAATTGATCATTGCATGACAAACACGAAATAATTCCTTTAGGAATGTCATCTTGTAATTGTTATTGTATATAGATAGATATTCAATGTTTCCAATTTAGGCAAAAAAAAAATTTGATTAATAATAAATTCTTCTATATCGATATTATATTTCATCATCATCAAACAAAATAAATATCGAATAATACATACAGATATAATTTCCATGTTTACCCGGTCTAGATAAATCAAATATGCATATAAATTTTTCATATCCAGCTAAGATTTTTTTACCATCAGCCATAAAACATACAGAACGGGCCGATACTAATTCACAAACATTATCTTCGGCTATATATGATGCAAACAATCGACCAGTATATGCATCCCATAAATGTATTGGCACATCACGACTACAGCAAAGTAAACTAAATAGCAAAAAATAAAAATAAAAAATAAAAATAATTCAATTTGTTCGTTTTATACATACAAAATTGATGTTGTTGTTGATAATGATAATAAACATACAAAAAAATAAATATATTTATAAGAAACACTTACAAACATGTAGCATAATCCAATGAATTCATGTATGGATACCAACAATAATCATAAATTATCTGTGATTCTTTCAATTCTAGTACAGAAAGCTTTGAAAATTAAATGAAAAAAAAATAAATAAATCAATTAGTTTCTGATTGAACAATAATAAGATTGAATTGTTTTGTGATTGCAATCATCAAGAGATCAGAACGAAAAAAAATTCCTTTCATAATTGAATCTTTTGTTGTTGTTTTGGTTATTATTGGATTCGAAAAGCCTATGAATTCTAATAATCGGAATTTCGAATCAAGATTCAATTAATAATCAAATTCGCCTTTAGAACATCATGTTTGAATTTTTATACAATATAAAAATGAATCATTATGGATTTTCATAACTAACTAACCAATTCTTCTGGTTCGTCGATTATATTATCTAAATTATCGATAAATTTTTGTGGTAAATTAAAAATACGAATACGATGATCATCACTATTCGTACAGATACATGATCCATCTGGTGCCCATTTACATCCACGTAAACAATTGCCAAATGAACGGCCAGATTTTGTGAAATTCTTTTCCGCTTTATTCACCAAAATTGGTGTTGTATCAAAAGATGACATTTTAAAAAAAAAATTATTATTATGTCAAACGAATTTTTAAAAACCACATTAGAATCACGTGATAGAAACGCTATGGTATACTATTTTAACTATACCGTTCATATTCGGTAAAAATTGATGAGATTTGATGAAAAAACGAATTAAGATTTGGAAAAAAAATATATTTTTATTTTATACAAAAAAAACATCATTTTCATGTTTATTCAATAAAAAAAAGATTCCAAATAATATCGATTTTCGTTACATTGTAAATCGTCCATGGGCGGATAGAGGGAAAGTATTGAGAAAAATGGGCAAAGGAAAGAAGACTATGAAATGCAAATTGGTCGATCATCTATTTGTGATTGGATTTATGGTTTGTTTTTTTTTGGATTTCTGGGAGATTTTTTAAAATAATAATAAAAACGAAGATTTAGAGGTATATTTACAAACAAGAACACACACACAAAAAAACACTCGTGTAATAAAACGGGAAGATTCAATGTTCGATTGGAAAGAAAAGTAAAATACGAGAAAAAATCCATGTGTGATTAAGTATTGCCTTTTAGACGTAATCGAGCGAAATCTTCAAAGATTATATCATCATTGTCTTCCTCTTCTCTGTAGATTTAGATGGAAAAAAATTTATGAAAATTAGACTTTTTTTCTGTAATCAAAAATCCAAAAAGGAAACAATTGTGTATACATACTCTAATTGAATTAAATGTCCATTATTCGTATTGCTGTTATCTTCAGTTTTTTTACTATTATTAGTCACCGTTTCGCTTGTTTTCGGTTCATCCGGTTTCGGATGCATTAATATGAATGGTAATTCGGCCACGACATCACCACCCAATGGACCTAGGATTAATTTCACTTTTACTTTATATCGTACAATTATGCCAAGATTTTCTTTCTGAGAAGCATCGATTATTCTGTAATATGAGAAATAATAATAAAAAAATAAATTAATGGCTTTGTTTACATGTACAAACAAAGAGGAGAAAAAAGTATCAAATAACTTACATGGTTGATGAGGCTAAATTAGTATCTTCATGTTTCAATTGGCCATCCAATGCCAATCCGCGTTTATCTTTATTTTCAGCTAATAATGGTTTTAAATTATAAACTTTAGATAATGTAAATCCAGGACCAACAGGACATCCATCTCTGTAGGTGTGTATATATGTCAAAAATAAATAAATAAAAAGTGAGTTGAATTTCAAAGAATTGTCAATAAATAAAAAAAACACATACTCGCTTTCAATTTCTGCCACCGTACATTTATATTGAGCAGTGGAGAAAAGGCATATGTCGGCAAATTGTCGAACAGATACTTTAATTTTCTTGACAGTTCGATTTGAATTATTCGCTACATGAACATTGACGACAATATCTTCACCATGATGATATAGCTATAATAAAGTTAATTTCATTTCATCAATATTATAAGATTGAAAATTTTTTCAATGATTTAACAAAAAAAACTAACCTCTTTATCAAGCGATGCTTCAAGATGTAATTTATTGGGAGACATGACAAAATCTTTACTAACTTCAATACAAGGTTGATCACCTTGTTTACTTGGTGCATAAACAATTTTACGTATAGCTAAACGAACGGAATTACGTTTATGTGGTTTATCATTAACTGAATCGGCAACATATGCTTTAAGTTCATAATCAACACCACATGGTTTACCCGTATCACCAGGTGCCGGTTGTAATGTAACCGATGCTGGACAATGTGGTGGAAGCTAAAATTTGAATAATTGAGTAATTTATTCATTAGACAAATAACAAAAACAAACCTCAAAAAAGAATGGATATGCATTGGAACCCAATTTTTTGATCAGCCTTTCTTGTAGCCTTGTTAATGATCTTGCTGGTGTTGTTGTTGTTGTTGTTGTTGTTGTCGTTGTCGTATTATCATTTTTAAGCGGATATAATTGTTCAGCTGAAAGGAAGAGATCTTTACGAAACGTTAAACCAAGTACATCTAAATCTTCACGTCCATAACGGAATGCAGCCAATACATGGCCATATACTTTTCTTTCCTTTATATAATCAGGATCGACTAATACAACGCCGTCTTTATAAAATGAAACGAAAAAAAAAACAAAGAGAGAAAATAATGATAAATTTTAATTACAAACAAAAAAAAATCATACCAATAGGATCGATATGGCTCAGATGATCAACAAAATCTCTTTTTCCGAGATAAACAGTAATCTATGGACAATAAAAACAACAAAAACAAAGACAATTATTTTCATTATTCTTTATAAGGAAAAAAATCGAAATGAAATGAAATTTATTACCTTTCCATTAGGTGAACTTTTTTTGAACACCCTGAATAATAATAAAACGATATAATGATAATGAATGATTAGATATTATTATTCAATTCAATTGAAAATCAAAATGAAACAAAACAAAACAAAATTGAAAAAAAAGAAAGATTTTGTCCAAACTTACCTTGTTCCCTGTTTTTTACTGTCTTCATTATTATTATGGTTATTATTATTATTGTTAGTATTATTGCTATTATTTGAACTATTATCCATTTAAATAATATATATTTGTATGTGGTGTATATTGTATATATGATGATTATGATGAATAAACGACGATATTCTCTCTTATATCGAAAATAATGTAATGATATATAATTTTAATTTTTTTTTAATTGATACAAAAAAACACCTGTGAAAATGATGATTATGTCATTTTTAAGAGATGAAAATAATGAAGATTGAAAATGGAATAACACAGGTAAATACAGTAGCAAAGAGGAAAAAATCGAATGTTTGTCTATATTGACGATTGGTTGTTGCAAAAAAAGAAAATTGATTTAAAATCAATTACAATCTGGTAATTTTCATTTTTTTAAAGCAAAAGAAAAAAAACCATTAATGCTGAGATCATCATCATCATCAATCGATTAATTAATTTGATTCGATTGGATTTAATTGAAAATTATCCAACATTTACAGGGAAATTTGGTTGTCGATAAGACATAACGAATCACTGGAATCATCAGAGTATTTTCTTTATTATTTTATGATGATTGGAATTGGAAAATGATTGAAGATTATTCACTTTTAATTTAAAATCATCAACTGTCATCATCGAAAAACAATGACTCAAACAAGAAAAAAAAATTATTTTTTTTTTGCACAATATTCGAATTTATTTGAAATTCAGAATACTAATCCCGGGTTTTCACAGTAACGAACATACACACACACACATACAATTTTCAGTAATATTATTCTTCAGAATTTTGATGATGATGGGTGATGAACATCAATTATAACTTATATATACAAAAAAAAACACAGAACAGAGGATTGTTGAAAAAAGAATGAAAACTTTTTTTTTTTTTTTTTGATTGAAGACAGAACTCAAGAGACCTGTGATGATGATGATGATGTTGTTGATGTTGATGATGATGTTGATGATGATGTTGTTGTTGATGATGATGCAGAGCGAATTTTACAACCAACACATACATTTTTTTTACCTCAAACAGGCTTGTGTTGTGTGCATGATATAAAACACCAAAATATTCACACACACACACACAAAGTTTTTCATTTCATTATATCAATCAAGTTTTGCTTCTACAACAAATATAGGTTCAACCCACATTTATTGTAGTAGTAGTAGTAGTCAATATAATAGTTGATTAATGTTCTACTTTTTCATTCATTCATTCATATATTATATATTCTTCCGATAACGGCTACTACCTGCCGCATTTATACACACACACACACACACAGACAAATAATTTATATACAAAATGCGCGAATAGTAAATGAAATTTGAACAGCTATATGAAATGAAATTCTTTTATTATCATTTATACCGTAATATATTCACATTCACAACATACATAATATATGATGATGGTTGACAAATTTATCAATTGATTTTGATTGGAAAAAAATAAGAATCTGGTAGTTTTTTCTTTTTCAATCAACCAACACACACACACACACACATAGTATATGTTTTTTTTTCATTTTAATTATTTAAATTTAAAAAAAAAATGACATTCATACGAATTATAGGCAAACAAAAAAAAAAAATGCAGATAAATTAAATAGATTAATATTATATATATAAATGTTGACAGTACAAAAAAAAAAAAATCGAATTTCATGATGGTGGTGGTGATCATATTTGATGTTTTCAAATCGATATCCGGTCATTTTTTTTCTGTGTTTATTTGTTGAATACCGGATTTAGATTTTGATTGTTGTTTTTTTTATTGATTAAAAAATATATATTGCTTGTATACATCAAATGAAATTTGATTGTGTTTTATTCAGTGTGTGTGTATAGCAAATAATAATTAGTAGTGGTGGTAATAAGTAGAAATGTGAATTTTAAATAAAATTATAATAATTTAAATAGAAAAAAAATGATAAAAATTCAATTCCGCTTCGTATACGTTATTAATGGATGGCATCAATTTTTGTTGTTGTTGTTGTTGTCGTTTTTGGTTGCTGAAATTCATTCGAATGTCGAAGAAAAATCCAAAAATATTAGCACCGTACACACACACACACACACACATCAAGCACTTATTTGTTTCATTTTACGATTTATTTAAAAAAAATTCTGACGAATATCTTTTTTCTTTTTGCTCAGCAACCAATTTTTGATTGTTATTTTGAAGCGATTGTAATTATGAAAAAAAAAATCTTTATCAACAAAAAAAAAATCCAGTTTTCTTTTTTTTCAACAAATACAGCCATTTTCATCGGATTTATTTTCATTTTCCAGTGGTAATGGTTTCAATGGAATCGCTGCGTATATAATTGATCGATAGATGGATGGATGGAGAGAGGGAAAGTAAAAAAAAAAGTTCAGATTCAAAAATTATAAATAAAAATGTTTCGATGGATACAACATCAACAACAACAACGACAGAAACTTTTTATCATTCCCATGAAAACCAACCAATTATTCACATGTGCAAAATGTTGAGTATTTTGTGCAATTCCCGAAATAAATGTGTTTATTTTAATTTTTTTTTTTTTGTCAGAAACGAATAACAGAAAACATCAATCGATTTGTGATCGAATCGAAAAACATTGTGGGCGTGTGTGTGTATCTTGATGTTTTTGTTGTTGTTGTTGTTGTTGTCATTCGAAATATCAACAAAATCAAATAAGGGAGTTATTTTATTCGCATGCAAATTGCAAATCAACGTTTTCATCTGTGGAACACAATGGTGGATTTTAATTTTTCCAACAATATAGCACATGCAAAGGAAAGTAATGATTTTTTTTTTGTTTTGGTAGAAAAAAAAGTAATTTATTTTAATTCATTTTTTTTCGTTTCGATCATTAGATTTTTGATTTTATCACACGTACTTATCAATAACAATGATGATAAAATAACATGCCAGTTTTGCTCTTAAACACTAAATATATATTATAAACTCATGCAAATCAAAATACCAAGGAATTCGGCTAATGGGAAAATACCATCAAATCAAAATAAAAAAAGAGAAAAAAGATACAGGTATATTGTAATCAGAAGGTTGGTAGTTTGTGTGAGTGTAATTGAAATTGAAAAAAGGTGCAATGAATTAATTTTTTTTTTTTGTTTCTAAGGAAATATATGAATCAGCAACAACAGTAAAAAAAAAAATTTTCATTCCATTTAAAACATGCATCATTATGTAATGAAATTCCATAGATAAAAAAAAACATTCAACATTAGCAACTACAACGGCTTTCTTGCTGTGAAATTTCATTTGGTGCATCTTTAAGATCCACTTCAACAACTTTAAATTATTTATTATTCACAAGTAGCATAGGTAAGTGGGTGGTTGGTTGGTTGGTTGGTGGTAGTAGTGTGCATGCGATTGAATTTCGAACCAGGATGAAAAAAGGGAAGTATAAAAAAGAAAAAAAAAAAAGAATAAAATTGGGAAAGAATTAATTCGGGTCATGCATATATTCATATTGAAAACCAAAAAAAAAAAAAAAATGAATATTTTGTCGTTTTCCTGGTTACCATATAGTCAATATTGGTAACCGTGCCGTTGGTTGGTGTTGGTGTGTGTGTGTGTGTGTAAATATTCATAAAAAATGATATACGTACTGTCTTCTTTCGTTTTTTCATTTGCTTCCATACCGGGCAATGCGGCTGCAACTCTTCTAAACAACTGATGAATTGAAAATAAAAAAATGAATGAATGATTAATGTCAATATATAAATATACAAAAATGACACGTTGTCATTTTATTGTCATCAAAGAGTGGAATATTTTTTTTAATAAAATCTAATTACCTGTTTAACTTGATAACCGGATTTGGCGCTCGTTTCAATAAACATAACATTCAATTCTTTAGCCTTTTTCTCACCTTCATCGGCTGGTATTTGTCGTTTATCTTGTAAATCGGTTTTATTGCCCACTAACATTATAATAACATCATTACCACGTTCAGTTCGTACATCATCAATCCATTTGGATGTTTGATGAAAAGAATTTGCATCTAAATATTGGAAACAATAAATTATTTTTTTCGTTTTTTTACTATTGAATAAGATTGAACATACTTGTTATATCATAAACAACAACGGCTACGGTAGAATCACGTATATAACTTGGAATTAGGCTACGAAATCGTTCCTGCCCAGCTGTATCCCATAGTTGTAATCGAACCTGTATCATTCATTATTAGTAAATTATAAATTAATTCAACAGAATCCAAACAAATTAAATATTGATGATGATGATATTACCGTTCTATCTTCAAGATACATTGTTTTCGATAAGAAATCAATACCAATAGTTGCTTGATAGGTATTATCAAATGTATCATACATGAAACGTGTTATCAGTGATGTTTTTCCAACTAAAATTTGAAAAAAATGGTTGAAAAAAAACAATTAAATAAATTACAATTAAAACAAAAAATAAATCTTACCACTTTGTTCACCAAGAAAAACAAGTTTAAATTTACGTAATGGATTACCGAAATCACCCGATGTTGACATTGTTTTTTTTGTTTGTTTATTGATTAGTCTTTTTTTTTGTTCCACAAATGATGAGCTCAAAAAATACAATAAAGATTCGAATTTGAAATATCACTTATATGTATGAGAAAAATAATTTAGAAACCAAAAATTCTGGACTAATTTTGTTTGGAATGATGATATTGATGATGATGATGATGATGATAAAATCTATTATGAATTATTTTATTGCAATATTTGTTTGTTTATTGCTGTAATTGTAACAATAATCATCATCATAATTACAACAACAATTTATCAAACATATAAAAACACGAAACAATTTTTTTTCTTTAATCTAGATATATAATCGTATGATAAGTTTTTCTCGTTATATTTTGAATGATTTACAAACACAAAACAAGAAAAAAAAATTATGACAATCATCCACAACAACAACAACAACGAAAACGACAACGACAGCAGCACCAAATATATATTATTGAAATGAAATAAAATAACCGGGCGTACAACGCAGACGTGTCGGTTTTGCGACAAGGATCCTCGTTTTGATGTGTGTGCATGCATATAATCTTTATATACCAACACATTCAAGTTCTACATACCATTTAAACATGAAATGACTCAATATATGCTGCCCATATTTAACTCTGTGTGTTTATATTTCTCAACAACAACAACAACAACAACAACAAAAAAAATGAGAATGATGAATGAATTTTCTACAGGATTTCATCGCTTTATTTAATCCTTTAAGGGGTATCATCGTTCTAAGGATTATGATCATTATTGATGTGTGAATTAATTCATCATCAGATCAGATTTGATCATTTGATATTATTTTATCATCATCATATGATGTTGTAAATAGATCAAATGTAGAATTCAAATGGATTATTTGGATATAATAAAATAATTTTTTTTTTTCTTGTAAAAATTAAATCCATTCATTTGTATATTTATACATTCTTTATGAATGTACTCATGAACATTCGTAAATTCTATTCTCCTTCATTTAATTTACTCACACATTTTTTTTTTTTTATATAAAAGAAAAAATTTCTTAATTCGATTTGATCATTATTTTCGTGTAATAATCGATTACAAATTTTTTTTTCTCTCAGAATAAAATGACTCAAGAGACCAATAACCTTGTTAAATCTTTGTCATCGCCATCATCGGTGACAAAATCCAAACAAATCATTAAAACTGATAACAACAAAGGAACTGATGGCGAAAAACGAAAATCTCGTTCACATCGTGTACAACATAAACCCGAATTCATGACAAGAGTAAGTGATGATTTTTTTTCATTTTGTTTATGATTAATTTTTTTTGTGTCTATTCTTTGATTGCCGATTTCAATTTTTATATAGATTGTCATTCGACAACTTCCACCGACGATGAATGAAGAACAATTTTTAGAGGTTGTCTCACCGTTACCAGCTCACACTGAATTCTATTACGTTAATGGTGATGTAAATCTGGCTGAATTTGCATTTTCTCGTGCTTATATTAAATTCACAAACATTGATGATATGTTAATTTTCAATCAAAAATATGATGACTATATATTTTTGGATTCTAAAGGCAATGAATATCCTGCCATTGTGGAATATGCACCAATGCAAAAACTTCCTCGACGATTGAATTCGATGAATATTAAAAAAGATTCCAAAGCAAATACAATCGATAATGATCCAGATTTTATTGCATTCAAAGAAGCATTAGAAACAATACAAAATGATGGTACAGCAGCTGCACAACAACAACAACAAACAATTACAACTGCTGAACAATTATTGGAAGAGATTGAAAAAAATAAAGAATCAAAAGAGAATATTAATCAAATACCACCATTGGTTGAATATTTGAATAAAAAACGGTTGGAAAAATTGAAAATTCAAGAAGAGAAAAAACGTAAAAAAGATGAATTGAAAAAGAAGAAAAAAGAAGAGATTCGTATAAAAAAATTGGAAAAGAAAAAAGAAAAACAAATGGAACAGAAAAAATCTAAACAAACGACGGAAAAATCATCAACAAAAGATCGGATTGATAATAAACAACAGATTGATCGGAAAACTGTCATTATTGTTAGTGGCGGTAGCGGTGTTGGTGGTGACCGCCGAAAACGGCAAGAAAAGCAACAACAACCATCACCACAATCACAAGCAGCAACATCATCATCATCATCAAATTCGAATATTGCAAAAGATTCGAAAAAATCATCATCAAACGAAATGGATGAAAATTCCAAATCCAATGTGAAAATTATGAACAAAAATGATGATAATCAACAAACGCCGACAAAAAATCACAAAGAAAAAGAAAAATCAGTAACAGTAGTAATAGAAGAGATGATCGTCAACGAATTCGAAATAAAGATCGACCAACATTGGAAATATATCGACCAGGAATGGGACGACATCAACAACAGCAACAATCGATACAAAAATCTTCAAACTCATCATCATCATCTAATCATCAACAACAGCAACAACAAACGGGCAATGGTGATGATGATAATAAACCAAAAGATTCTGTCACACATCATCATCATCATCATCATCTTCGACAACAATACCATCGAAACAACCGGGAACAACAAACCAAAATTATTCGGATAAACCGAAATACAAGTATCGAGTATTTACAAGAACAAGAACCAATAAACCAAATAATTAGCCAGCCACATTATGGCTAACAATTTTGAGTTTGTGGTTGAATTTTGAATTCATTTTTTAAAATTCATTAAGACTGATAATCAATAATCAATATATAGTATCATTTAATTTTGATTCTGAGTAACAATCATTCAATTAATCAATCATAATCATCACTTGGGATACAATTTATACTTTTTTTTCTTTCTGTGTTGTTGAATTTTCTTTGTTTTTTTCAAAATTTTATAATTAATAATAATAATAATAAAACTGTGATGAAAAAATTTTTCAAATTCAAATTTTTTGTTTTTTTTTGTGTGTTTGAAATTTAAATCAACCTATATAATTGACAAACAAGCACACTCACTCAATCACTAGCTATTTATTCCTAAAAATGTTGAATAATTTTTTAAGATTTTTATCTTTTTTAAAGATTTCTGTTTGTTTATGGGCGGTGGTGGACCAAACATTCATTAATTCATTCATTCATTCATTAATTCATTCATCCAAACGACAATATGCACGATATATTAACAATGGACTTTTAACATCCGAAATAATCAATTTAGTTTGTGCCGGTATGAAACCAACATAACCGGTAAATATTTTCTGATCTTGTACTTTGGCTTCACCACGTATAACAACAACAACACTGCCACTTTCTTTTGCATCCAATTGATATTGAAATGTTGCTGAAATATGTTCTTGGCCAATTTCGATTGCATCGACAACATATTCCGGCACTGGTACAATATATGATTTAGTGAATTTATCCACCACCATTGGTTGACAATGTTGTTCTTTAGGTGCACGACTATTATATGTTAACATATTGCAAAGTGTTTTAACATCTTTAAATTTTGGTGTCAATCCAGCACGGACAACATTATCGGAGCAAGCCATACATTCAATACAATCTGTTGTTATTCAATCATAAAAAAAATTGGTTGATTAATTATTGATATACACAAATACAAATCAAGAAACCAAAAAAACATACCACCACGAAAATAAGCATGTGGTTCATCTTCACCGATGAATATGGCATCACCTGGTTGTAAAACTAAATAATTGAACCAAAAAATGGAGAAACATCCTATATCGTTGGGAAATTCTTTGTTCAATTTGACAAACACTTTTCGAATCGTTTCCAATTGTTGATTACTTTCCGATTGATTTGACCAATACCAACGTGCTTGTAATGATGTTAAATTTTCACGGATAACATTTTCACTTGAATTCATCATCGATGTAAACATATCTTTAAGACCTTGTTTTTTATCCGCAGTTTCGGAAAATGTTTTTGCAGCATCAGTACCGACAACATTTTTAAATTCCGGCACATTGTTCAAAAAGAATTCAATTTCTTCATGTGGACGAAATCCACATAATGCTTCGAATTCAGTTAAAGCTATTGCCAATTCTGGTTTATGATTAGCATCAGGATAATGAAATGGATCATCATGATGAAGTTTTTCAGCTAAAGCTTTATCAGGATGTGCTTGAATGGACAAAGCTTTTCGTACGGATAATACTTTGAATAAAAAGGGAAGATTTTTGCCAAATTTTGTTACAACACGAACATTACCGGCATATTCCGGATAATTACTTAAGAAATTCAACAAGGTAATATTATTCTGATCTGGTGTTGATCCTACAACAACTGAAGGCCCAGATGGATGAGTTCCCATCCATAACTATTATCAATCATCATCATCATCATCATTAATAATAATTCGTAATTAGATCATCATCATTATCATCATCTTACCTCGGCAAACGGTGTATCATCATCAACTGTATAGGAAGGCATCTGATTACGTAAAAAACGTGCAATACAACTATCCATACCACGTTTACCCCATTCATATTTTTTCACACAACAACGTAACGGAATCACTGATAATGATGAAAAACAATTGATTAAAATTCATCATAATGAAATTTTTTCAAAATATCATCCGATCATCATGAAAAAAAAACTATAAACTTACTGATTGACTGTAAATGATGTTTTGTTGTTGTAACCGTAATATGTCAAAAATATGATGCAATGATCCAAAAATCAAAGTTCGACCGCCGTAAATAACACGAATAATATTGTTGATGATGATGAGGATGAGGATGATGATGATGATGATTGGTTTCCAAGAACAGTTTCTTTCGTTCGATACACGATTCTATAGTATTTTTTTTCTTTTTCTTCTCTTTTCCACTCTCTCGAACGAACAAACACACACACACACACACAACTATATTTCTTTTATCATCAGCGAAATTTTTTTTTTTACAATCATCATCATAAACCGAACAAAAAAAAAATTAAATTGGACATGCGTTGTAAATTCGCTGTATATTTTTAATTCATGATGAAGCTACCAGGATTGAAATTAGACGACGACGACGACGACTATGTCCACAAAACATATACACACACACACACACAATTTATATGCTATGAATCGAATCGAATCTTGAATATTATTGCCAAGGTTTTTCCAGTCTTTTTTTTTGTTTGATTAAAGATTATATTTGATTCATCATTGATGATGATAACGTATGTTATAAAATTCCACATTTCAATGTAATCTTATTCCAGCAATGTGTTTGTGGTGGTGGTGGTAAAATTTGATGGAATGAATGAATGAATGAATGTTCTTTTGATTGATCGATTGTTTATCTTACCCATTTGATTTGGATATAAATCATCATCATTTTGATTAACATTGTAACATTTTGTTTGAAAAGACCAAAAAAAAAATTTATTCTACTCCCACAATAATAAAATTTATTGATTATTGATTTTCATTGGAAGAAAAATGCTAGAAACTGAAGAATTAAAGAATCAAATTCAACAATTGGATCGCTGTAATAATCAAGGCAAGTGAAATTTATTATTTAACAATTTTATTAATCGGTTTACATTCATTTATATAGAAATTGATTCCATATGTAAATCATGTCATGATTTTCTACGCAAAGGTTCAATCGATGTTACCCATGATGGCCAATTGATCCGAAGCCTTTTATCATTCACCATACAGGCTATAAAACTTGAATTAACCGAAAATGATATCAAACAACGATTAACGGCAATGAATTGTAATCCATATTTTATGGAACAATATACAAAATTTTATCAAACATGTCAACCAAATCTATCCACAGCATTGATTAAACGATCATTAATGTGTTCCAGTTATGATCATTATGATCATATACGATGGCGTTTTGAAATCAAATTGGCTAGTAAATATTGCCGGGAACAATTTCAGCCAAATATTTTGCTCAGTTTTTACACAAAAAATTCACAAAATCAAATGAAAAGAATCCTCATCAATTGTACAGTGGCCGATATATTTTATATTTATAAAAAAATTCGTGAAATTATCGATTCGAATAATTCATTTTATTGTACGAAATTATTGAGAAATATTAAATTGTAATAAAAATTACTTCTTTTTGAAAAAACTTGTTATACTTGACTGTTTTTGAGTTTTAACTTTGAGAACATTTTGTTTTTTCGCTGGCTGATTTGATGTTGTTGTTGTTGTTGTTGTTGCAATGGTGGTTTGCAATGGTCAGCTTTTTTCGATTCAATCTCATTCTCAATTAAATCATCAAGCATTTTATCATCACAATCATCCATCATATTTTCATCATCCTCAATTTTAATTCGTTTATATTTTTTCACTGATTCTTGTTTAGTTATCGGTTCATCTTGTTGTTGACGTTTTTTATTTGGTGATTCGGTATTATTCATTTCGATTTCTACCGAAATTCTACCCGATCGTGTTTGATGATTTTGATCATTTTTATCTGCGGTGGATGTATTGATCAACGAATCACGTTTATTTGGACGATATTTTACCAGATCATTACGAATGTACGAAGTCTTTTGTATGGTATCAAAATTTACATGACGAGGATCGAATATATTTTTGTTGAACACTAAATCTGTATTGATTTTTTCCTTTGAAACACCATAAACATAATGATGAACATTTTCATGTGAATTGCGATAGAAATTCAGATCATCATCACCATTTACGATTAGAAATCGTTGAAGCTATTTGAAAACAATAAAATTAATTTAAATGTCAATTTTGTAAACTGAATAACAATAATTTACCGTTATATCATCCTTCACATTCCAATGCAGATAATAGTTTACAGACAATCCTTTATTTATGGTAATGAATTTATTCAGAATTTCTTTCGCATCATCAATATGTAGCTGATATTTTCTACAAACATCATGTATGGTAATCTGATAATTTGTGATAAAAATTCATTAATCATCATCATCATCATTATTAATGATATAAAAAAAAAAAATTACCGGTAAATTGTCATTGAAAACTGTCGATTTAATTTGTTCAAGCATTTGATCAAGGTTTGATAAGGCCATTTTTTTAACGAGAGAAAAATTTTTCGACACGAATAATTTTTCTTTAGTTTTTCTCACACGACATATGAAATCACAACATATTGTTGTGTTTGCGCCAATTTTTTTTTCGCTCCTCCCCTGAAATTTTCCATTCATAACAAACGTATCGCATTCAAAAAAAAAAAAAAAATTCAAGGCGCCAAATTCAAACAAAAACTTTTTTTTTATTTCATTTTATTTTTTGAATGAATTTTTTTAATTATAATAATTATTATAGACCAATATTATTCACGAATTAAATCAACACACACACACACACCATAAACAAATGATCAGAATAAGTTGTAATCAGAGACAAAAAAAAATAATGAAAATAAATTTCAAACGTTAAATATTCCATTGGGATCCACATTCTGGCACACAAAATTCGGTATTCTTATTATTTTCACTGGTTCCAAGTGTTTGTCGATTTTGTCGTCGAAATTGTAGCTTTACATTTGTGTTTCAGTTAAAAACGTATGGAATGAAAATGAGAAAAAAATAAAATAAAAAAAAATTTCATCAAAAAAATCAATCAATTTTTATTTGTTTTTTTTATGGTTCAATTTCATAAATTAAGAAAAAAATTTTCGATTACAAGCAAATGAAAATAAATAGAGAATAGTCAAAGTAAAAGTAAATAATCAAGAATCAAGTGGTGGGCATGGAGAGAATGGGATAAGATCAATTGTTTTGACCACCATTTGTGACAGTGATATTATCATCATTTTGATCATTAGAATTTTGTTTTGATCTCAACAACAATTTTGAAGCTCTTATTCGATCAATTATATTGGATGTTGTGGATGATCTATTTTCATTATTATTATTATTATTATCATCATTAACATTAAAACTATCATTACTGTTAAGAAATCGTGAACGATTAATTGTTCGTGTTTGTGATAAATCACGTAAAACGGATGAGCTACGTCGATTTAATTCAAATGAATTGAATCGTTGATAAATTCTATTGCTGTCGTTGTTGTTGTTGTTGTTGTTGTTGCCGATGCTGTTGCTACGATCATATTGTTGTCGTACGAATGAATTGTTGCTGTTCGAAAAACTATTTTGTGAATATAGTCGTCTTGTAGGCGTCGTCAATCCATTTGTATCAAAAGGATAACTTAATGGTTGATAATCAAACGAAGTTGTCGTCATCAACCGTGATACGGAACGTCTTCGTTGTCTACTAAATTTTTGATCATCATTATTGAAACGTGAATAATAACTTTTACGATGTATACGTTCTTCAACTGTTTCACAATTATTTGTCGATATTGAATTACATAACGATGGCTTAATTGATGATGAATTCATTTTAGATGATGACGACGACGACGACGACGTCGGAAACAACAACGATTTTGATGATAATGAAGATGATGACAGATTATTGACTGTAGATTGATCATTGTTTGTCATCATTCTATAATGGAAGTTATCTTTTGCTGCTTTGGTTTCGATATCGTTTTTTGAACAATTTTCATCGTCATCGTCATCGATAACGTTCCGTTCTGGGATAAATTATCATTATTTATAGCGATTTATATTCATTTACAGATTAGTTCATTTTATCACTAGATATCTAGACCTAATCCTAATTCTAATTGATATTAGAAATGAAAGCCTAATCTCTAAACACATGATTCTTGATATGGTTAGTTATTCAGTCAGTCAGTCAGTCAGTCACAAAATAAATTGGTCAAGTTGATCAACAACAACAAGAAAAAATCATAATTCTTTGAATAAGCAAAAAAAAAAAACAAACAAACAAAAATAAAAGAAAAAAGTGTAAATTACCTGATGATTTATTTGACGACGATACCATACTGGATGATGATTTGACAACCGTTTCAGCTGTTGGCAGATCTTCAGTTGATGATGAATCCGATAGACGACGATCGACCAATTTTTTATATCCAAATGTACGTAACTGTTCCAATAATGAACTTGGTTCTTCAATTTTCAAATCATTAGCTGATTGTGATGAATTTTTCACATCATTAGCATTCACAATATTCGTAGGTATTATATTTGATTGATTCAATATCAATGCACCGGTTGAATCATCCAATTTGAAATTCAATTGTATATCTCTAGGTGCAATATTATCCGATTTGATTGCACTGGATTTTTTATGTCTAATCACTTGACATGTTGCACTGGAATTTGTCACTTCAACACGTTTTATAATATCGGTTTTAACATTACTGTTATCTATGATGGTACTGGTATTAATATTATTCGGTGCTGCTGCAGTCATTGTACGTGAATAACGACGTGGTCTCATCATTGTACCATAGGTATTCATACAATTATCAAAATCTTTTTCATTATTATTATCAATTTCATCATGATGATTAAGCCATTGTTCAATACGTGATTTACGTGTCGATTGATCCATTAAATCATTTGAATCATCAAACATTGTACGATTACGACCAAAAAAATCTTTTTGTGTTTGATCAGCCGATGAAAAACGGCTAAGACCATATTTTTGTTTTAAATCATCAATTCTTGATGTTCTTCGATCGCCACCCATCATATCATCAACCATATTGAAATCGTTTTGCATCATCGATGATTTTGAAAATGATGAATTTGAAAATATTGATTTCGTTGTAAACAATGATTTATGTGAACCAAAACTACTGTTTCCTTGTCGTTCAAATAAATGATCACGTAGTGGAAATTTTCGTTCCGATTTCATGCTATCGGTTGAACGGCCGGGAAAAAAATTCGTACGTTCCAAACTTTCAGCTCTTGATCGAAGACTTAATTTTTCACCTCTACGACCGAAAAAATCATAAAATAAACTTTTTGCATTTGAAAATAGATTATCAGTCCAATGATCATCGAATATATCATCGAAAATATCCAAAGAACCGGTAGAACTTTGACTATCTGAACGTTGTAATAATGTTGATGATGATGAATTATTATTATTATTGTTATTGGTTATGGTAATTCGACTTGTCTTTTCCACACGTGTGGTGACACCATCACCTTCATGTGAATAAAATTTACCAGTTTCGGTAATTTTAGCACCATCTTTTGTGAAAATTACTTTTTTATAACTTCTTGAAATTGGAGCTGGATTAGTGACTGATGATAGATTTTGATTATTATCAGTAATCGATGATGATGATGATAGTGATCCAACATTTTTATCATTACTATTATTGATGTCTGGATCATGTATACCGGATTTTCGGGAAAATATATTCGTAGCCGATGAATTTGGACTATTTTTCATTACCGAAATGGTTGAATTTTCAATCGAAATCAATGGTGTTGTTTCACCAGATTGTAGACCAGATGTTGCTGTGGTTGATTGCACTGATGTTTGTCTTTTTTCCATCAATTTAGCTTTGGCTATATTTTTCTGTATAATCTGTTTAGCCAATGATTTATCATCTTTAATTGATGATGTGCTTGATGTTTTCGATGTTGCTGTTGTTGTTGTTGTTGTCATTTTTTCATCATCACCAAATTGGCTATCGGTTGTCGTCTCATTTCGTGATTCGTTTGTTGATTTCAACAATTCTTCCTTTTGATTGGATTTCAATTTGTCATCAATTGTAGTCGTCGTATTCTTTTCGATTATATTTTTCAGATTAAGACTTATGCTTCTGTTTTTATATTTTTTTGCATTTTCCGTTGCAATTTTAGTAGCCGATTGTTTCAATTCACTTGTATCGGCCAATGTATCACGTCTTTTGGCCAATGCTCCACTACTACTACCACTAGTGTCAGCTTTAGTTCGTTGTTCCAATTCTTTTTTCAATTCCGATACCGAAAATAAACCCGGTGATATTGGTTCTTTTCGTGGACTTAGATTACTACTGCTGCTACCTTTTAGTTTTTCCTGATTATCATCCCATATTTTCGGTATTGAAATTCGTCCACGTTTTTTTGTCGTTATCGAACCAGATGATTCATTGGATTTTAGACTTGTCTGACTATTATTATTTTTATTTGTTTCATTTTCTACAATTTTTGTTGGTTCACTTTCCGTCGGTAAAATTGTTGCTTGATTTTCTTTTTCTCGATTTTCATCAGCTTTGATTATTGCTTGTTCATCATTTGATTTTTTGATCATCATTTCTTCTTTAATAGATTCTGACACTTTATTTTCATCGGGAATTGTTTCAATTTCTTGTTTTGTTGATTCATTCGACATAATTTGTTCGTTTGAAGTGCTTTTCTTTGATTTCTTTTTCGTTGTCTTTTTTCAACCATATCAGCTAAACTATCATTGGCTGAATTTGTTTCATTAGGTCGTTTATTCGAAACATCTTCCGTCGTTGTAATCGTCGTTTCATTTGAATCGGATGGTTTAGCTGGTGGTGGTTTTTGATTCTGTTCATTTTGTTGTGTAGCGCCAGGTGCTAATGCTAACAACATATCTAATCGTACAGCATGATTAGTTAGATTGGACATATCTTCAGCAACCTGCAATAATAAATGTTCACAATCTTGATTCACCCATGGATCCATACATATATCGATGATTGATGCACGTTCTTTGGGTTCCGGTGTCAATAGTTTATGTATCAATTCCGTAGCCGCTAAAATATTTTAGAAAAAAAAACATTCAATCATTAAATGTTATTCATTTGAAAAAAAAATCATAAAGAAACTAACGAGATTTTTCCGGTGGTTCAAAATAATTTGCTTCAGAAATTTGTTTGACCAATTTCTTAAAATTACTACCATCAAATGGCATAGCACCATAGACCAATGTATAAAGTAATACTCCTAGTGACCAGCAATCAACTTCGGGTCCAAAATATGGTAGACCACGAACGATTTCAGGTGAAGCATACAATGGACTTCCACAAAATGTTTGAAGAAAATGTTTATCATCAAATACATTTGAAAGACCAAAATCGGCAATCTATAACAACAACAAATGCAATTTGTATCATTGTAATGATTAAAGAATGATCATATATGAATCTTCATACTTTGGCATTGCCTTTTTCATCCAAAAGAATATTTTCCAATTTCAAATCACGATGACAAATTTTATTCTAAACAAAGAAACAATGGAAATTGAAAAAAAGATGAATCATCAGAAAAAAAACAACAAAAACAAACAAAGAAAATGTAATCATCATCATCATCATCATCGACACACACATACCTTGTGGCAATAATAGATGGCCGTAGCTATTTGACGAAAAACACGACGTGCTTCCGTGTCCGATAATGCTTTATGAAAGCTAACATAATCATATAGTTCACCACCGCTTGCATATTGCATTACAAGAACAATTTTATCTTTATTCTCGAAAACTGTAAATAAAAACAAATGGAAAAAGATTAAATTTGTAATTTGAATCAAATAAAATTCCATTACACAACCTTCGAATATGTGTATAATATTCGGATGATTAATCGATGACATGATCTGAATTTCACGTCGTATACGAACAAGATCTTGTTGATTCGATACTTTACTTTTTTTAATCGTTTTGATTGCAACCTTTATATTTTTTTTGTCATGTGAAAATAATATCAGTAATGGTAAACAAAACAAAAAATCAATTTTTTTTGCTTGGTTTTTACTTACTTCTTGTCCAGTTTCATTATTGATAGCCAATTGTACTTTACCATATGTACCTTGGCCAAGTTTTTTGACCACTTGAAAACGTTGTTTCAAACGATGTGTTTTACGTTTTTTATTACCATCTCCAGTAGTATTGGAAATATTTTCACCATCCAATGATGATGATGTAAATGCTGTGGCTAGATCACTATTTGATATATCACATTCGGCCATTTTTTTCTGTTTTGTTTTTGAATGGACATACACGATACACACAGACACAAAAAAATCGATAATTTTTATTTCAATCAATTCGAATGATTATAACGCACACATTTCATCAATCGAACACACACTCACACACGCTAAAATTCACCAAACGGCAAATTTCAATGGAAAAGAACGTTCACGAACTTTTTTTTGTTTAATGTTGAAATCGAAACGAAAAAAAAACGAATTCTTTTTTTTTGCAACCAAAACTTCGTATTATTCGCCAAAAATAATATTGCTAATATATTTAATTCACTTTCTTTCTTTCTTTCGTTTTTTTTCTACATTTCAGATATTATTAGCAACTAGGATGATGCCATTGTGTTGTATACAATAATCATAAACGCCGACGCCATCAAGAATTAGGCGTTTACAAGATCGTTTCTACCACCAGCACCATCACCACCACCACCACCATGCCATATTCAACTTTGATCACATCAAATTTTTTTTTATTCTCAATTCCTTTTCGAATCCACTTCATTTTTTTTTTTTTTTTTGATTAGAGCCAAGCCTTCGAAAGAATATTCATCGATATTACCAACAACCATAAACAATACATATGTACAAATAACAATTTAGGCATGACTTGATTCATTTCAACCATTTCAACTGTGTTTTGCCTGTTGAATGCAATGTTGATAGAAACCGAATCAAAAAAGAAGGAGAATCATAATCAACATCAATTGAATGAATGAAATTCTTTGCCAGAATTTTACTATGTATGTGGCTACATTATAATAATCAATCATTTCATTTATAGTGAAAAAAGATGTCCATCTAAATAATGATGATGATTGGTTGATTTCCGGTTCAACAAACGAATGTTTGCATAATCATCAATCAATTTATTTTGAATAAATAATTATTTTTAATTATATACAATCACAAAAAAATATGATCACAATAAGAGAATTTTTTATTTAAATAAATGAACAATTGGCTGCTAATAAAAATGTATATGGATGAGGATGGAACGTTTTTTTTTCTTTTGCTATTTAAGACCATTGCCATAGATTCCATGATGAGGTTAATGACTTGTTACTGTTTGGTAAATTTTCTGGTAAAAATTCATTGAATATGGCCGTTTCTTCTGTGGTTAATTTAAGTATGATGCTCAATACATTGATCAATCGTTCTTTTTCATCTTGACGTTTGATGGTCATGAACTAAATAAAGAAATGAAAAAATTCAAATCAATCAATTAAATACCAAACACACACAAATACATACCTTGAGAAGAACATTTTTTAGATATTCAAGATTATTGGCTATATCCATTCGATCAATACTACGATGTAGGCGACGAATTTCTTCTTTCAATACTCGATTTTGTTCAGATAATAAATTAATATTAGTCTCACTTTCAGCTAACAAATGTGTTAGATTATCGAAATTTTGTCCATTCGCTGGTGTTGGTGATTTTGAACCGGTGCTAAGTATTTCTTCAAGAAAATTTCTTTCCAAACTTGATGATACATTCGAACGAATGGAACAATTTTCTTCTTTAATCTCTTCAAATGATGTATTTGAATTGATCACTGAATTCGAATCATCCGATGATTGACGTTGATGATGATGATGATTGGCTACGATGTTTCGTTGGTTGGCCAATTCTTCTTCCAAATTTTTGATTCTATTCTCATATTCCGATCGTAATTGTTCTAATTGTTCACGATTTGTTTCGGAAATTTGTGATCGTTCACGTGCAAATGAAATCTGTAATTGTTTCAATGTTTGATTTAATTTGTCATTTTCGGTGTTCAAAAGATCAAAATTTTTTCGCAATGTTTTCAAATCATTTAGCTGATCATTCAATGTCGTTAGCTGTGTTTGCATTGTTCGTTTTTCTATTTTTAATTGATCAACCAGAACGGATAGTTTCTCTGATTCATTACGTAATTTTTCATTTTCTTCCTGTAGATTTTCTAACCGTAAATTTAATGATTCAATCTGACGACTATAATCACCATGATTCATTTTATTCTCTTTCAATGTGATGGCCACTTTTGATTTGTATTCATCGAATTTTTCTCGATTATTACGAAGATCTGTTTCACTGAATTGTAATTTATTTTTCAGATCATAATTTTCCAATTCTAAGGCAGCTATTTTTTCCGTATGTAATACACGAAAATCATTCATGGATTTTTCCAACATTTCAATTGTTGATTGTAATTTAGATTCGTTTTGTTTAAATTTTTCAATTTCTTCACAATTACTTTGAATGATATGTTTGTTTTTATTATATTCTTCGGCCAAATTGACATTCTCCTTTTCAAGTACGGCATATTTTTCAATCACTTTTTTTTGATCACAAATTTCATCGGAATATTTTTCCAATTGCTCAGTTTGTTCAGCCAATTGTACAGATAATTGTTCAATAATATCATTTTTTGATTTCAATTCTTGTTGTAATTCATTTGATTCATTGATTTTCATTTCATAATCATGAACTTGAACATCTTTTTCGGCCAATTTTGTTTCCAATACAATGATTTTACTTTCATATTCTTTTATTGTTTCTTTTTGCATATCAATCTGTATGTCCTGTTGTGATTGATTCAACTGTAACAAACGTATCGTATCCTTTTGATCATCATTAATCACTTTCAATTGATTCATTTCGTCCACACATTTTGCCAGATCCAGATCTGATTGTTTTGTACGTTTTTTATATTGTTCAATTTCATCTTGACTTTTGTCATATTCATTTTGTAATTGCTAATGTTCAATCATCAATAACAGGGGAAAAAAATTAATATGACACGTACAATTGGAAAAAAAAAGATTTTCAAACCTGAAAATTATGAAATAATTGATTGCAATTTTGGCTTTTTTTCACTTGAGCTTTCAATTTTTCTATGACTTGATTATCATTGTTTACCTTTGTAGAATGAAAAAAAAAATAATTAATTAGTTTAGAAATTTAGGTTTTTTTTTCGAAAATTTCTTGTTTACTTTTTCCTTTAATTGATTACGTTCGTTACGTAATGTGAGAACAAAATTTTTAAATTTCAACAATTTTTCTTCCGTTTCTTTTAATTTTTGTTGCAATGATTCATTGTCATTGTTTAACGATTGATTATTATTAGTATACGATTCGATCGTTTCATTATTATGATTGCGATTATTTATATCATCTTCATCGTCCAATGGATGATGATGATGATCTGTTGATGAACAATCCATCATATGATTGATTGATAGATGATGGGTGTTTTATTAGAATTTTTTTTGCAATTTGTGACTTGTATAATAATTTTTTTTTATTATCATAACATCCTCATGATTTTTGTCTCGGTTGCCATCATTTGGAATTCACTGGAATCGATGTGAAAAAAAAATGGAACAAAGGGGAACAAATTTTTTTTTTGTTGAATAGAGGAATAGAGAAATAGAGAAATCAACAACAACAACAACAACAAAACAAATATAAAAAAAAAACACTCAAACCAAATTTCAAATTATACATGAAATGATCATTTCGGTCAATATAGTATCATCACATTGATACAATGTACATATATGTTCAGTATATATATGATATACGTCGAAGAATTGTCCAATTTGTTATTTATTCCGAAAATCATAATTAAAAAATAAATACACAGGTTGTGTGTGTGATACTTATTTACTTGTATATAGATACCTAAAACACACACACACAACGAACAGGAGTAACAAATTTTCTTTTTTTTTTTATTTTGCCATTTCTTCCACTTCTTCTTCTTTTTTTTTCTTAACAACAACAACAACACATAATTGGTCGATAGCAATTCTTTCTTCCACATTCAAACAACGGTATTTCATTCTGTTCTTGCTACTTACTCTCTATCTCTCTCTCTTTCTCAACCAAAATTCATATTTTTATTCATTCGATTTGCGGTTTTTTCTCGTATTTTTTTTTCTTATTATAACGTTATTTGGCTATAGACGTTTTTTTTTGTGCATTTTACAACACATGCGTAAAAAAATTTGCACTTGTGTAGCATTTTTGATAATAATGATGATGATGATGATTGGTACATATGCCAAAATCGTATTTAAAATTGTCTGTCCATCTTCATGTGTGTGTGTTGTTTGTTGCTAGCCGCATAAACTATATCACACACACATTTGTCAATAAGTAAACATCAAAAAAAAAAAAAAAAAAATTTTTTGACTCATGCGTCTTTCGTCGATGACACACACACACACACACACGTGTACATTGCATAATAGTAGTGGTATCTGTGAAAATTAACAATGAAATAAAATGCAGAAAAAAAAATTTAATGACGTTTTACTATCCATCATTCATTCATTCATTTTGGCGTGTCTTTTCACACACACACACACACATATGGTAGTGGTAGATAAAAAGAAAGAAATCGAACCATTTTTTTTTCGGTTGTTACATGTGCGTTCATGCATGCATGCAGTATAATAAGTATACATGTGGTTATTGTTTGTTTGTTGTCATATACGCTAGATTTTGATTAACATTAATCAATGCTACTATGTTGTTGTTGTTGTTGTTGTTGTTGTTGTTGTTGTTGTTAATGGCCATGCATACACACAACAATGATAATAGAAGGAAAAAAAAAAAAAAAATGAACGAAACCTCGCTCTCTCTCTTGCTTTTTTTTCTTGTATACGACGCTGCAATCCCATTTTTTTCTCTCTCTCTCTCTTTTCTATCTCAATCTGTTTTGATGATCATCATCATTCTTTGCTTAGCTATGGGGCTATCCATCATTGAATCTTGAATAACAAAAAAAACAACAACGAAGAAGTAAAAAAAAAATTTGTCTCCTTTTCTGGTATCCACCAATAATATACACATCTCAATTTCATTATTTGTGTTCCATCAAACAAATCAACAAGGAAAACTAATCAAACCCATTCAGTTATTTTAAATTTTCGGACGAAAAAAAAATCATCATCATTATACCCCACAAAGCAAGAAGTAACAGAAGAAAAAATAGTTGGATCGAACCATTTGCAGAGTACAATTTTCAATTCCATTTTTGTCGTTATATTTTATCATCATTCACGATTTTAAATCGATTTTGGACGCATAAATATTCTACAATACATCGATTCAAATTACAAATTTTCTTTGATTCGATTTAATTTTGATATATAATTGCATTTTGTGGTTTTTGGTGGCTCAAAGTCCTTGATTGATCAACAACAACAACAACAGCAACAACATTTGAATAATTTTATTTGCCATTCACAATTCATCAGTCACCTGGTTTATCGATTTTGATATACAAATTCTAAATTTGGTCCCTATGTTGTTGTGATTGTCGTAACGTTTTTCTCTCTTTATCTCATTCTCCATATATTTTGGTCGGGTCAACCGATTCTCTTGCGTCAACGAGTTCCCAATTTTTTTTAAGTGGATAATTATTTTCCATAAAATTGAGCATTGACTATGAGCATTGCTGATCTTCTTCAAGCAGCCGAATATATTGAAAGAAGAGAACGCGGTAAGAATATTATTTTTTTTTGATTTATGATTATTAATAATCAAACAAAACAGAAGCAGAACATGGTTATGCAACGCCTCTGCAACACGATCCTAATAAACGTAGATCTAAATCAAAAAAATCATTGGGAAGTCGGTAAGTCGATTGTTCATATTTGAATATAAAAGAGGAAATTTTTCTTTTCTTGATACATTTTTGATTATCCCAAATCATGTATCAACGATTGAGAATGATTATTGATGGTGACTCAAAGGTCATATCTATGCTCATTGTATATTGATATGATATACGATTGAATCATCGATCGATTGATTAAAAACATTCGAATCCAGAAAAAATCGGTCAATTCCATTTTGACTGAATACTAGAGGTGTGAATCGATCTATTTTTGAAACAAAAATAATTTTATTTTTCATTTCCTTTATCATTCTTTTCATTATCTTTATTATTATTATCTGGTTCATTGTCAATTTTTTTTTCTATTCCACTTTTATTTACCCAATTCAACAAACATCGAGAGAGAGAGAGAGGACCTAACATTATTAATTAATAGCAGTTAGAAAGGGAGTATAGATCACAATCAAATCTCATTATTATGGATGATGATGATGATGATGGCAAAGACCAATACGTGAATTTTCATTTGCTCTGTTGTTATTGATGATGATGATGATGATGATGTTCATCATCACACATATCACACACACAACAACTACAAAAAATATAAGTAGAAAACCGAATAGTATTGTGTTTTGTAGGCTGCCTTTTTTTTTTTTTTTGATGCTGCTGTTGTTGCTATAGCCTTATGACTCTAGTCCTGTCATGTTTTATACATACACACATGCATATATGCACATGATCTCCTTTGTGTGTGTAGTGTATGTAATGATCTTGTGGCTTGCCTGCTTTTCTTTTGCTTTGCCTTTTTAGCTGCGCGCGTACATTGACAGCAAATAAAAATGTGCATGTATCTCTTAAATGGCACTTGTACACCTCTTTTTTTTTGCCTTTGTCCCTCTTCTTTGAAATGGATTTTTGAAAAAGGTTTTTTTTATTCAAGTTATGAATTGTGCCGCGCTTTTTTATCCTGCTATTTTCTCTCTTTATTTTGTTGTATGTATGTTTGACTCTCTTGACTTGATCATCATTATCATGTCAATTTGTTGCTGTATTTTTTTTCTGGGTTCATTTCAAGCCAAGTTCAGGCTTTTTTAAATTTGATCATTATTATAACACTCAAAAACACATATGAATGGATGGATGAAAAACATGATAATGATGTTGGTCATGTGTGTGTGTTTGCTTGCTAAAACCTGAATATCCAAGCAATTGAAAATTTTGTTATATAATAGAAAAGTAACAAGAAAACAATAGTTTAGGATCGAACTTTTACATATCAACACACGCCGAGAGAGAGAGAGAGAGACAAATATCGGATAATAGAATGAAGAGGATGATGAAAAGTATAGAGAGGAAATGATGTGTATGTGTGGACAAAGGTTAGTGACTTGCTGAACGATGATTCTCCATCATATACATCACACAAACAAAAAAAAACTGGCACGACTTGTTTTTATTTGGTGGCCTGACTTGACTTTTTTTTTGTGTGTGTGTGTGTGTGTGGTCAACTCTTGTGTTCCATTATATGGCCATGAACTGAACACCAGGTTTAAAAATTGATGAAAAAAAACTATGTAAAAAGGGTGCAAATGATATGATTAGATTAATGATTTTTTTTCAATTCTTGGATTTACTAATTGATTTTCTTTTTTTTATTGTTTCGGATTTCTAATTTACATTTAGAACGACCCATAATGAATTAGAGAAAAACAGGTAAAAAATTATTTTCCTTAAAATAAGTGTAATATAATTAAATTAAATTAAATTTTTTTATTCACTGATAATATAAAGACGTGCCCATCTACGTAATTGTCTTGAGAAACTCAAAGAGATTGTACCATTGGGACCTGAATCTAATCGACATACAACATTAGGACTATTGACCAAAGCAAAGGCATTCATTAAGGTTAGAAATTGAATTTGAAATTAAATCTAAAATGACTAACAAATTAAATTGTTTTTATTATTTCATTCATTAAAAAAAAAGAATCTGGAAGAAAAAGATAAACGACATCAATCAACAAGAGAACAGCTTATTCGTGAACAAAATTATCTACGTGAACGTCTTGGTCAATTACAGGATAATACCAGTTTCATACAATATCCAACAATACCTAAACGACGTAGTATTAGTGAATGTAGTTCGGGCGTTTCATCAACTTCTTCGAATTCTGAACCGGAAACATCTGAAACAACGGAATTATTTGAGAGTAATGAAAATGGTATGATTTGTTTGATGATCTTGTTTATGCTTAACATTCGAATTTTTTTTTATTTTTGTTTTTGTTTTTCACATAAATAAATAGCGGCAAGATTATTGCATTCATTTGCCAATTTCAAGGTACAAATCGAATCACCGGATCAACAAAATATTAATCAATGGCCATCAACATTGTCAACAACAACAACGGTTAATGAATGTATTGTCGGTGGTGGTGTTGAACAGTCGTTGATAATCAATGGTTATAAACATTGATTGATTTGATTTGATGAAACTTTATCTTTATCTATATATCCAACACACACATACACACACACCCGCCTCTGCATCATCTTTAAATGATAAACGGCAGATCAACACACCCGTACACCCACAAATGAGTGTGCATCACCATCAAAAAAAAACCAGAAAAAAATCCATTATCAAATTTTTCAACTACTCTCCACTGCATATTGAAAACAAATCAACAAAAAAAAAAAATTATTCTAATCATCATCATCATCATCAATAATAAACAAAAAAAAAAAAAGTGAAAAAATAAAATAAAAATCTCATCAAACAAAACCACCACCACCACCGCAGCAACATCACATGCGCAAATGGAAAAAATATGGATCACTGCCGAATACGAATAGGAAGAAAATTTAATTCGGTGGTGATTTCATCATCATCATCATCATCATCACCATCATTGTGGTTCGATTCGCCAATAATACCTGATCGTTATCATTGTTTTTGTTTCAACATGATTAAATTGAGAAAACGAAGAAAAAATATAATATTCCTTAATTCGTATCAACCACACACATACAACACAAACACAGCAAGCGCCAAACTATTCTTTCCTGAATCCCGAATTCTGATTCAGAATTCATCTTGTCATTATCATCATCCATCATCATCATTCCATCTTGAAAAAAGAGAGAAAAAAACAAAATACAAACCTCATCATCATCATCATCATCGAATGCGAATGAATAAAAATAAAAAAAAAAAAAACTTTGTCGACACACATCAACCAATCGCAAACAAAAATACACACACCGTGTCATTTTACTACAAAAAATCCCTGCTAAATAATTTTTAATAATTGTTTTTCCTTTCCCTGCCACATTTTCAAATTCAATCGCTTTCGTTATTGATTCATTTATTTATTCTCTACTTTTTATTCTTTTCTTGTCAATTCTGTTGTTGACAATTTAATTTCTTCAATTCAAACACAAACATACCCGGCTTGTTGTTATTTTGAATTTATCGATATATGAACCGGATAACAACAGAAAAAAAGGTACAACACAATGACCATTTATCTAATCTAATCTTGACCCATTATATATATAAATGAACCTTCTTTTTAAATTAATTTAATTTAATTTAATCAAAAAACAACAAATGTTGAAAGTCAACAGAAAAAAATGGAAAAAAAAAATTGTAAAATCACAAACAAAACACGAAAACAAAAACATTCGAATGCTGTTGAATGTCGAATTCATTCGAGTGTGTGTGTGTGTGTGTGTATGTGTGTTTTGTTGTTTAAACAAACAAACAAAAAAAAAAATCAACGAATTAAGTCAAATTTTTTCCTTTAAATTCAATTCAATTTTTTTGTTTTATTTGATTTTAACTATTATTTAATTTTAATTTTAAAGAAAAAATTTTATTTCATCTTTAAAAACACACTGTACACACAGACACAGACACAAACAAAACACATCCAAAAAAACAACAACAACAAAGATAAATCACTCAAATTTTTTTGTTTATATATGATAATTAAATATGTTTGTTGATATTTATTTGAAAAAAAAGAAAAAGATTCTTTTGAATTTTCTTTTACAAAAAAAAAAAAATTTTGTTTTTTTCTTGATTCTATCTACCGCCTTTTCTACAAAATGGCCATATGGTTTACCATTCATTCATTTGGTCTTCGTCTTTGTTGTCTTTTTGATGATCATTGATCAATGATCGACGCATGTTCCAAGGCCGGTTTTTCTCCATTCATTCATTCATTCATTCATTTATTCGGGAATGGCTTCGTGTGTTCGATGTTGATTATTGGTTTGTGTTTAAAAAACGAACGAAGACACCGTATACAAAAGACCAAAGTATACTCATTATCCATTGATGGTGGTGGTGGTGGTGGTGGCTGGTGGTGGCTGGTGGGTGAATAGGAGCTAGAAATAAATTTTTCTATAGGAATGTTTGTGTGTGTAGTGTGTTTGTGTGTATGTGTGTGTTGATCATCATTTATTTATATATATAAAAAGCGGCCGAATAAAGATAGAGACCCCAAAAAGAAGATGAGTGTTGGTGTTATATATTTATTTATTTTATTTTTCAATACATTTTCTTCAAGTTCATGACTGACGCGTATCGATCATCATCATAATAATATTCTTGATGATGGATAAAAATATATCTATCTATCTCTGTGTGTGTGTGTGTTTGTATATATTTGAATGTATGAAAAAAATGTAAACATTTTGTGTATGTGTGTGTGTGTGTGAATGAAGAATCTAAGAATTTATCGCCATAGATTCTGTCTATTTTGATTTTTTTGTTGTGTTTGTGTGTGTGTGTGTGTGTTTATAAAATTATTCAATCAACTAATTGATTGGATGGACAGCAACAACAACAAATGACTTTGTTTATTTGTTGAATCTGGGTGTGTGTTTGTTTTTCGGTATTTGTTTATGATTAAATCGATCGAGCCCGAATTTATTATGTTGAGAGAAAACAAAAAATGGCCAATAATCATCATCATATGGAATCATCATCAATGATGATGGTAAATAATGTTGAAAATACATTATCAAAACAACAATCAATTACATCGACATCAACGGCAACTACATCGAAAATGAAACGATCAATAACGGATAAATCGATTGATCAACCTGTAAATATTGTGATTAATTTTTTGGATGAATCAAAAACTGTTTTTCAAATTCATGTAAGTGGTCATTCATAGTCATCATTTTCATTAATCTAATTGATGATTGATTAAAAAAATTCACACCAATAGCAAAAAGCATTGGCTAAAGATTTATTCTATCAAGTATGTGAATCATTGAATCTTATTGAATTGGATTATTTTGGCCTAGAATATTATGACAAGAATATGATACAATATTGGCTGGATTTAGAACGACCTATTCATCGTCAATTGTCACTTTCAATGGATAATTTAAATATGAATTTTGCTGTAAAATTCTATACAACTGAACCATCAAAATTGGAAGATGAATTGACCAGGTATTTTTTTTTTTGTTTCCTGGAATTATTGATCACTTATTGTCTATGATTTTTTTTGCACATTTAGATATTTATTTGCATTACAAATAAAAAAAGATTTAGCTTCAGGTGATTTAATCTGCAATGATAACACGGCTGCATTATTATCGGCATATGCAATTCAAGCAGAATGTGGTGATTTCAATCCCAATGATTATAATGATCATCATCATTATATTTCACAATTTAAATTGATATCAAATCAAGATGATGATTTTGAATTTAAAGTGATGGAAAATCATAAAAAATTAATGTATGGATATAATTTTGCAAAAACAAAAATCAATCTTCTAACTTTTATTCTCTATTATTTCACATTATAGTGATCTATCACCTGCTGAAGCTGATCTACAATTATTAGAGATTGCTAAAGAATTGGAAATGTATGGTGTTAAACTTTCATCGGTTAAAGATCATGAAGGTGTACCATTGAATCTGGCCGTTGTACATCATGGTATATTGATATTTCAAAATTATACCAAAGTCAATACATTTGATTGGATTAAAATACGTAAATTAAGTTTTAAACGTAAAAGATTTTTCATTAAATTACATCAGGAAGTATGTTTTGCGATAAATTCAATGAGATTTTATGTCTAATTCATTGATTGAATTTGTTTATGTTTTTTCTTAATTTAGGAATTTTTCGGTGATGTTCTGGAATTTGTATTTCAACATCGTAATGAATGTAAAAATTTTTGGAAAAAATGTATTGAACAACATTCGTTTTTTAAATGTATTGAAATTAAACAAAAAACGAGGAAAAAAATACGAATCTTTAGCCGTGGTTCATCATTCAGGTGATTAATTCATTTTTTTTTTTTTTGGTCATTCAAATTTATTTATTCATTCGCCAATAGATATACTGGACGTACACAACAACAGATATCTGAATTTATTAAAACAAATAATTCTATTAACCAACAGCAACAACGATCATTTCAACGGTAAATTTTTTTCAAAATGAATCTTTTTGTTGTGATTTTAATCCAAAATGATATTACAGATCGAATAGTATGAAATTCAATTCATTACAAAAAGATCCGCATCATCATCATCATGATATTGGCTACAATGTCGATAATAATAAAATGGTCAATCAAAATTCCGATAATTCATCAATAATAAATACCTGTAATAATAATAATAATCACAATAGCAACCATAATGTTAATAATCATACATCATCATCATCAACAACAACAATGACAACGAATGCAATAAAAATGGTCAATTATCATAAAAGTTGTGATACAATTGATCAACAATCAGGTTTGAAAAATTATTATTCATTACATTCATTGTTGTCATATGTAGCTGAAAATCGTAATGCAATTTCCTCTTCTTCTTCTTCTAATAAAAATAATAATAATAATAATAAAAATAAATCTTATAAATTGCATGCCAAAACAGCGACAAAAGCGAAACGAAAATCAATAACTAATAATCAAAATCGACATGCACAACATTATAAATATAATACAAATTATCTTGCTAGTCTTCATTATCAACGACAAATGTATTTGGCTATAAGATTTTCAATGAAAAAATCACATCACCATCATCATCAAAATAAACGAAAAAATGTTCGAAATTCAAAATTTATTCTAGTGAAAAATTTACCATATGTTCGTAATTATTATCATCTTGATGATAGTATTGATGATCCATTACGAAAATTTTTACAAGATCATTTAGATCTACGTAATCATCTTTATACATTATTTCGTAATCAAACAAAAAAATTACTGTATATCAAAGATGATAGTGATCTGCCCACCTGTATATTGTTGAATAATTTACTTGAAAGTTTTAAATTTGATTTTAAACGTTATAATTTTAATCTAAATATTGATGATTATTATAGTAATTTTAATAATCAACAACAACAACAACAACAATCACTAATGGCAAAAAAATGGACAAATCTTTCCATTCAAGAACATATACTTGTCTCGTATATAAATTCATTTGAATTAATTTGAAAATTCTTTTTTCCATCTAATCTTTTTTCACTTTTCACTTTATCACAAACTGTTTTTTTTTTTGTTGTCAAATTAACCACTTGCAATGATCTGTTAACTCTTTTTTTCATTTTCACAAATTTTATTAAGAATAAATAATAATAAAAAATGTGCTTTACAATCTAATCTATCTATTTCCTGTGCTCTGGTCTATTCTATTCTATTCTATTGTTTCCGAATTCTGGTAACCATTCTCCTTTTATAATTTAAAATGATTAAATGTTTTTTTCCTTTTATCTAAACAATTTTTTTTCAATTCCAAGTATTTCAAAATCATGATGAACCACCATTATTATTATCATCACAATCATTCATTGATACATTTCATCAAACATTGAATCTATCAAGTGTTAATCTAAATTCTACATTAGAATTTCGTGGATTCGTAAGTGTTTTTTTTTTTTTGATTGATATTCGATTCGAATTTTATTGATTATTATCATCCAGAAACGACGTATGAATCAAGATTATTATGTATTTCGTGATTTAGTCATGTCTGAACGGACATATTTAAAAGATTTGGAATCAATGCGTGATGTGAGTCATTAGATTGAATAATAAATTTTTATAAAATTATTTTGTAACTTTTTTCCCATAACAAAAAAAAACAGTGGTTTAAAAATGATGTATCAAAAGAACCATCACGTTCAGCCGAAATGTTATCATTATTGGTTAATGTATCCGAGCCATTGATTGATTTTCATGAAAAATTTCTACATGACATTGAATATATACTGTTTATATGGGACAAGAATGGATTCGATTCTTTACCACCATTAAGTACGGTTTTGAATGAAATTCTTAAATGGATGTCGGTATGTTTTTTATTTTATTTTTCAAAAAAAAAAATTTCATTCATTCATTCATTGATAAACTAGCATTATGAACAAATAATCGAACGTTTACCATTCATATTGGAACGTATTAATTCAAATTTTTGTTCAAATAAAGAATTTGAATCAATTTGTCGTGAATTTGAAACGAAAAAAGGATGCTATTTACCATATACATCATTTCTATTGAAACCAGCATTTCATCCAAGTTTTTATGCTAAAATCATTCAAAGTAATAATAATAATAATAATCATGTCTATATATTTTTGGAAATATAAATTTCTGTAATTTTATTTTTTTACACACAGAACTTATCGATTGTTATTGTGCTAACCATTGTGATTATTTAAATTTAAAACGTAAACAACATTTATTCATTTATTCATTCATTTATTCGATGATGATATTTATATTTATATTTATCTATTCATTCGATAGGCCTTGTTGAACAGCTGAATAATTTTAATCATGAATATGCCAATACATTGGATTCATTGGTTTGTGTTAAATTTATTATTACAATTTCTATTGAATTTTCATTTTTTGTTTTCTTCTATATTTAGATAAATTTAGTCATATTAATCGAATTACAACGAGATATTGCCGGTTTTGTAAATATTGTTCAATCTGGAAGGGTAAATGATTAACAATTGATGATTAATTGATTGATTGAAACTAATTGTTTCTGCCATCTGTATATTATATATATATAGAGATTTATACGTGAAGGATGTCTGCTAAAATTATCGAAAAAAGGATTTCAACAAAGATTATTTTTCTTGGTTAGTGTTTTTTTTTTCATTGGATTATTGTTCGATTGAAATTCATGAAATTTTTTTGTTTCAGTTCTCAGATCTATTGATCTACGCTAGTCGTTCAACATATATTAATTTTCAATTCAAAATTCATGGCTATTTTTCACTATATAATGTTTTCGTTGAAGAAACTGAATCAAAATTTGGACAAAATTATTGTTTTACAATTTATGTTGGAAATAAGATTCTTATTCTTGCTGCCGGGTATATTGATAAATTTTTGTTCATCAAAATTATCAATCGAATTAATTTTCTTTTCTTAAACAAAAAAAAAAAAAACACAGATTGGAATCAGATCGTCAATCATGGATACGAGCAATCAAAGAATCGGCAATCGTATTATCAACACAGCCATCATCATCGATTTTACCATCAAATGATTTATTGGATAAAATTGATTCGGCACTTAGTGAACATTTGAAAAATTTAAATGATCATCATATTTCACATACAACAATTTCAACGATGAATAATAATGGTAAAAATGGTGATCATTATGGTGTTGGTGATAATAATAATGGTAATAATACACAATCACGTACAAATACAATCATTCATGTTTGTTGGCAACGTAATTGTACGATAACCAGTGCTGATTATCGTTATGCATTAACGGTTTGTTGAATTTTTTTTTTTTTTGTTGATGTTGTTGTTGGTGTGACCACTGAATTTTATTCGAAACATTTTTTTCCAATAGGTTTCATTCAGTGGATATTTATTAAGAAAATTTAAAAACAGTAGCGGTTGGCAAAAACTTTGGGTAGAATTTACACATTTTTGTCTATTTTTCTATAAATCAGCCGAGGTGTGTGTGTGTGTGTGGGAAATTTTTTTAATCTGATTTTTTTTCTCTTCAACCAATCGATGATAAATTTAGGACAATTATCCATTGGCTAGTTTACCGGTGATCGGTTATACGGTATCGATACCATCCGATGCTGATAATATGAGCAAAAATTATGTTTTTAAATTACAATTTAAAAAACATGTTTATTTTTTTCGTGCTGAAAGTGAATATGCATTCAACAAATGGATGGAAGTGATAAAAAAATCAACCAGTACATCAATAGCAGCCATTATGCCAACGACGACGACGACCATTGCCACTCCAATCATCGATAATTCTTCTTCTGTTGTCCAATTGAATTAATTCAATTTGATTCTTTCATTATCGATCATAATTTCAAAATCAAAATCAAATTTTCTGTGTAAATAAAAAAAAATCGAATCAAATCACAAGTACATAGAATTTTTTTTTCTTTTTCTCTATTTCTACCCACCCACTACCAATAACGATTCTGAGATCCAAAGAAAAGAAAAATTTTCATCAGAAATATCGAATTACTATAGTTGTTCTAAAATTCACATTTCTTTTTTCTACATTCTGTTTCCTCGATTATAATGATGACCATGTACATGTTTTTCTATGTGAGTGTATGTAATTTAATATATTCCGTGTTTTTCAATATTGAATTCTGTGACTAACAACAACCACAGCAACCACAACAACCACAACGACGACGACGACAATCAATTTAGGAATTTAGGTTTTGAGGAAAAAAAAATTTTTTTTCTGGTCATTTAGTGCAATCCAAAAATAATTCACACACACACACACACACACAATTTGTTTTGTTGTTGTCGTTGTCGTCGTTGTTGGATACTTGGTTGCCCAGTTATTCTTACTATTCTCCCTCTTTATTCCCCTCTTTTTCCAACGAAAATAGGAATTTTTATTCAATTCTTTGTTCAAATTATTGTGGTTGTTCCTGGTTTTTCATCCGGTGGGGGTGTTGTTGATTCCATAAATTCTGTGATTGTATATAATGATGACGAACGGACAACCGACCTACCAACATTTAGTTATTGTTGTTATCATCATCATCATTATTATCACAAATACAACCACTATCCAAAGACATATGAATGAATGGTGTGTGTGTGTGTGCGCATAAATTTCATTCTTGAATTTTTTTTTTCATTTTATTTTTAGAATTCAGATTTTTTTTTTTCCTCTCTCTCTCTCTCTTCTTCGACATTTTTTTTTCTACTATAGTTGTTCAACAAAACAACCAGACCGTAAACGAGAAACATTTTTCTTCTCGAATATACCGCAGCCACTATTCTGTTAGAATACACAGTATCATTATCGTCTTTGTGTGTGTGTGTGTGTGTGTGTGTGTGCCATTCAGACAAACTCTTCTCTCTCTCCCTCTCTCTCTGCATGTCTCAATTCTGTCAGATGAAGAAAAAAAAATTTTTTTCCGTCCTTTTTCGCATGTCCCTTTTTTTGTTGAATATTTTTTTCCGGTGAAGAGTATCATCGGTGTATGAATGTCATCGATGAAAAAAACATTATATAACCAATATAACAACAACGAGAAACAAAGAAAGAAAGAACGAAAAATCTGGTAAAAAATTGTGCCGCGCAATAATAATACCCACGCCCCCCTGTCCACTTGCTTGATACATTTATTCTCATATTATCTGAAAACAACAGTAAAAAAAAATATTTCTTGGTTATTGGTAATTTCCAACATTGGTCGTCTTGTAAAAATAAAAATTGGTAGATTTAGTTTTTTGTTTCTTTTTTGGTTGCTGTGTGTTTTTGTGCCTCTTGTTGTTGTTTTTTTTTGGGTATAAAATCATACTGATCTGTTGGATCCATTGTGTATGTGTGTGTGTGTGTTTGGTTGGTTTTCTGGTATTTGCTACTGCTACACTTTTTTGTGTGTGTTTACAACGATGATCATGACGATCATACTTTGTTGTTGGTTGGGTATCCATATGACAACGAATTTAGAGAATTGTTTGAATGATAATATGATATATCCAACACACAACTGGCAACAACAACAGCAGTCAGAAGAATAAAAACTGTTATTTTTATCTGGATACACATAAAAGATGACGACGACGACAACGACGACGACGAGAAAACCAAAAAAAAAAAAAAACGTGCAATAAACGATGATGATATCGACAAATAACCAAACAACCATAGCCATAGCAGCAGCAGTATAAGCGTCAATCTTCATAATAATAAAGAATTTTTTTTTATCAAAACGGCAACCACGGGACAACCAAACAACCAAACAAACAAACAATCTACTACCACCACAAACACACCACACATACACACATACATACACACATATCAACCAACCAACCAACCAATAAACTAACCAGAAATATACCAGAAAAAAAACCATATTGTATGACGATATTTTTTTGTTGTTGTTGTTGTTATTTATCCTGTCGAGTATCATCATCATCATCATCATCATCATCATTGATGGAATGAAAGAAAAAAAATTATTGCGAGCAATCACATTGGATTGATATCAGCCTAGAAAACGATACGATCACAACGTGGATTGTTTAATTTTTGTCATTGTTGTTGTTTTGCATTTACATTTCTTTCATCATCAACATCAAAAAAAAAAAAAAAAAATTTTTAGGTAAGAATTCTTAATTTCAGAATACAAATGTCCAAAATGTTTTCTTATTCTTCTGATTTATAGTGTACCTCGTCTTTGTTGTTGTTATTGTGGATCACAAGCTGATATATGAATCCGTTCGTTACACATGCATGTGTGTGTGTGTCTTTTATCAACAGAAAAAATTTTTTTTTTGTCACATCTTTACACTTGATGACGGCTGAAAATAAAAATTTATCTTTTTACCAAAGTTTGATTATAATATAAACACATTTGCTTCCGATATTTGGCAATTAAACGACACGACACACACACACACACATATACGTCAAAAATTTACTTTTTTTTGTTGACAATTCATTTCGAATGTTTGTTTGTTTTTTTGTGTATGGTTCATCAATCGAATCATCATGTCAATTATTATAAACGGTGGACAACGAAAAAGAAAAAGTGCAATTTTGATTACCTAGAAAAAAAAGTGCTCCAAATATTTACCGCCTTTCAACGAAAAAAAAATAATATGCACTGGAAAAACAAATAATTTGGTGATTAACGATTTTTTTTTTCGTTTTGTTTTACCGGATTCACTCAATTCATCCTCAAACAATAATAATAATAAAGTGCCTTTATTATTTTCTCATTCTGTGTATTCTGTATCGATTTAAGTAAGGGTAAGTCATAATCATCATCATCGATACAATCGATTATTTTTGTATTGAGTATTTTTTTTTCTTTTGCAATTTGAATTTTGAAGTTTTTCAATTTAGCCTTGCTTTTTTTCAAATAATTTTTTTTTTCAATGATAATTGAGAATGATGAATGCTTCATATATGACGTTATGGATGAAAATAGAGATCAAATCCAAATAATAGTAGTAGCTGTTATTCCATATCTGCATAATAATTTGTAATTTGTTTCCTTGAAGTATATTGCAACGTATGAAATAAAATTTTTTAAAAAAAAACTCGTTAAAAACAACGATAATTACCATGGATGAGATATCAGAAGCTCTTGAGGTTATTTTTTTTTCTCCATTAAAAACCTAAGATAAATGTAAACCAAACAAGATAAACAATGACGACAATTGTGTAGAAATAGAAGGCCAAATCTATTTAGGTGTTCGTCAAACAATAAAACGAGAAAGAAACCGATTTTTTTTCATTTTGGATCGATTTGATTCAATTGATTTTCATTAGGATTTTATTGATTTTATGAAAGAAAATGGACATATTTTATCAGAAAAAAATGGCCAAGTTTACTGTAAATCGATCTATAATTGATGGGTGTGTTTGTGTGTTTGTTCATCTTATAAAAATATCCTGTTGCCAAGATGATGATTGCAACCTATTATCGATCATCTTCAAATAACAAAAAAAAATGTTGAATTTTATATATCTTGTATATAGTTAGAAGCCAGCCAGATTAATGTATATTTACCAGATTTTGTCAAAATAAATAAAAGATAATTTCTGCAAACATCATCATCATCATCATCATCATCATCATCAGCCATAGTGATGATGATTGTAAAATCATAAAACTAAATAGACACACCCACCTACCATAAAAAGATGAATAAACAACATCAATATCAAGAAATTCTGTTTAGGACTTGCTCATTATCGTTTACATATTTTTTTTGTCGTTGGGTGTGTATATTTTGAATGAATATATTTTTTTTTTCGTTGCAATTGCTAACTCTAGTAGTCGGTAATGTTGTTGTTGTTGTTGTTATTATTGTCAAGCTTGAAACACATTGCCATTTTGTTGAAAATGTTTATGTGCGTGTGTGTTTATTTCAATTCTCATTCTCTCACTTTCAAATATAATATATACAATAAATTCTGTCTCATTCTATATGCACACACCAAACACACGCATATTTTGTTCAAAATCATTTTTTCATCATAAACATAAACTTTGTGATCTGTTGCCAACAAACAAAAAAAAAAAAAAACCAAATCAAAACAACAAAAAAAAACGACGTCAAGTGACGGAAAACCGAGAAAGATTAGAATAATTTAAACACAAACACAGTGAAAAATTTATTTTCACTTTTTCACTTAATTTTCTTTTTAAAAATTCTAGTCGATAGTTTTTTCTTCTTCTTCTTCAGATGATTCTTTCGTTCGTTTGTTTGATGTTTGATGTTTGATGACAACGCCCCGTTTAAAAGTTTTTGTTTTGTTTTTGTTTTCTTGTTGAATTCGAATGTTCTGTGTTTGTTCGTTATGCGCAAACGCATATATCGAAAATAAAATTTCATTCGAATTTTTTTCCCTGTTTTTTTTTGCTTTGTTTTGTTTTAGTTTTTATTTTAAATGAATTTTTTTTTTAGTGAAACAAAAAATTATTTTTCTTGTTTTTTTTTCTTTTTCTCTCCATTTTTTTTTCACATAATCAACTCACCATCAAATCAAATTCCTATATTTATATATATATTCAACGAATGCTGCTGTTGCTGTTACTGCTTTTGTTTTCTGCTATTTGGAATGATGAATCGAATCAATGAACAAAATGAAAATGAAAATGAAAATTTCAAATTTGCATCCAAAATCAGTTTGTGTGTCTTGTTGTTATTATAATTATCAATTGCCTAATAATCGCCTTTCAACTATATTTGCCTATTTATCGCTGCTACTGCTGCTGTTGTTTATTATTGCTACTGTTGTTGTTGTTGTTGGCTTCTTTTTCATTCATACATACATATACAAACATTTAATACATCAATCATCAAAATGGTAGAATCGGGCCGAATTTTTTTCACTCTTTTTCACTTATTCTTCTTCAAAATTCTCATTATACATTTGTTGTTGTTGAAAATTCAAGAAGACAAGAATTGAAAATTCTATTACATACACAACACAACGAATAGAGAGAGAGAGAGAAAGAAAGAAAGAAAGAGAACCGCTACGCTTGAACATTTTTTTTTTTTTTTTTTGCTGTTGCTATTGCTGCTATTTGGCTGCCCAGACGAGAAAATACGATTTCAAGCAATCCCAAAAAAAAAAAAAAATCCGCCGAATATTCTTTCATCATTCATCGTTCATATCAACCTCACACACTACCATCATCACTCAATATACAAATATACACACACACACACACACACACACCCATCATCGCCACCGCAAAAAATTTTTTTTTCTGTAAAATTTTTCAGAAAAACAAAATTTTCAAAAAAAAAGAATTTTTTCTTTTCATCTCATAATTGCCTTTGCTGCTTGTTTGTGTGTGTGTGTGTTTGCTATTCGTGAAAAATTTTCATTTTCAAGTGAATCAAAAAAAAAAAAAATCAACTGTTTGTTATCATTTGTTGCATTTTTTTTTGTTGTTTTTTAATTTTTTTTCTCTCTCTCTCTGGTTTCGTTTCATTGGCTAACTCTGATCTATCGATTCAATTTATCGTCATCAATTTTGGTGTTTTTTTTGTCTGTGAATAATAAATATAATATATTCTGTGCATTTGTGTGTTTATCGTGGTTGTGCATTTGCTGTGCATTTTGATTAATAATAATCAATCAAATCATTCAATTCAATTATTCTTCCAACAAAAAAAAACAATAATTTCTTACAACAAATCATCTGTCAATCAATCAATCAATCAATTAATCATGTCGATTCATGTAAATCCATTACTTAATGTAAAAGATTCTCGTTGGCTACAATTAGAAGTATGTCGTGAATTTCAACGTAATAAATGTACACGTTCCGATTCGGAATGTAAATTTGCACATCCAGGCCCAAATGTTGAAATACAAAATGGCCGTGTTATTGCATGTTATGATTCGATTAAGGTAAGTGATAAGAATTGACATGACATTGAATTCATTATTATTGTTGTTGTTTCATCATCAAACGTATCAACGGACTTTTTTCTATCATCATGATTCGATCGAATAGGGCCGATGTAATCGTGAAAAGCCACCATGCAAATATTTTCATCCACCTAAACACCTGAAAGAACAATTAATAATTAATGGAAAAAATCATTTGGCCTTAAAGAATGCCTTATTACATCAAGTGCCATTTCAAACCGTTCTTACTGGTCAATTACCTATGGTAAGTGAAATTCTCTAGATTTTTGGCTAGAATTTTTTTTTCTCGGAAATTTGAAAGAATTTTTTAAGTGTTTTTTTTATCCATCACTCTTTTTTTTATTCTTTGATTTTACGATCATATTACCATTGCAAAATTTTGTCGTTCAAACTATGTTGAAACGTAGTAAGAAAGTTTTTTTTCAGTTTTACAAAAAAAAAAAAAAATGTTAAAAGATATAAACACATTTTTAGACATACATACACTAGATATATGTGACTGTAATGATCGTTATCATTCATTACTTTATTTTACAAATCATATGAAATGAAAAACCAAAATACTACATTTGACAAGCCAATTGCAAAGACAAAATTAATTGCCACATCATAATTAACTGTCATAAAGCTATTGCCACATTATTTTAAATTCTTGTAATTGCATGAAATTCTATTTTTTAAAAATACCAGAAAAAAAACAGATCATAAATTTCTTCCCCTTCTCGATATAGCTTTAGAATGATTTTTTCGTTTCCTATAATTAATTAATCATAGCTTATTGCATTTTTCATTCATAACTGCTGCTGTTGAAAAGCGTGAATATTTTCTCAATAAATTAAGGGTTTTGAAAAAAAATGTGGAGGAGCAAGGAAAAGAAGAAAATTTTTTTTGTCTTTTTTTTCTTGTAAATATGCCAAAATAAACATTTTATTTTTCGGTTTGTTTGTTTATTTTGATAACGAAAAACGCGATCATCTTGATACATAACTAAGAATCTAATGGATTGTATTGATTTTTTTTTGGCTTGCATGCTTGCTTTTTTCCACTTGAAACAATCCTAACATGATGATGATGATGATGATGATGTAAATTTTCCTGAATTTTTTTTCTGAATCTGGTCGTAACTAATCAATTTCTTTCATTCTTTCTCTCTCTTTCTCTCTTACTTTATCTTTTTTCTTTTTGCATGTTTGCCAATGTCGTTTCATTTTTATATATAACAAAAAGGTTGGTTCGGTTGCTCCTTCTAACTTGTTGAATGCATATCAAAGAACGAATCTTTTACATCATCATCATCAACAACAACAACAACAGCAACAATATTCACACCTTCCAACTACAACAACAATTCCTGCTTCTAATAATGTTGTTGTTCCATCATCATTGATGATCAATGGCTCTGCCACTAATTATCCAATGGCTGCTTTTACGAATGCAAATGCTTTGAATGGTTCATTGATTATACCTAATTGTCCTATATCAGCAAAGGTAAGCGGCTTGTATGTGTTTGTGTATGTATGCGTGTTTAGATTTTTTTCATGGATATTTCTGGGCACTATGACTACAATGATGATTTCGATCATAATTTTTTTCCCTATAATAGTTTTTTCTATTAATCAACAATTTACTGTGAATCGAACCACTTTTATATGGATCGATATTACTTTGAAATAATAATTTTAATAAATTTATTATAGCTATAATACCACAATAAACTAACCATTATTATTTCACTCTGTGTATATATTATATGTGCTCACCTTACCTCATCTTTATAGGCACCGAATCCTTACCTGACAAATTTGTCTGCCATAGCTGCCGCTTCATCTGCTTATGGAGCTGCTGCTTATACGACAACACCAGCGGCTGCAGCTGCTGCTGCTGCCATGTTGATGGCACCCGATCAATTTGGATCGTTTGGATTAACACCACCACCGCCATCAGCACCATCGGCACCAGTAGCCACACCACAATCGATACAAACTTCAGCAACAACAACAACATCGGCTTCATCGACTAATAATCATTTGGCCACAATGAATAATGCGAATGCAAATAAAATTCGTGCAGCTGCAGCAATTGCTGCTGCTGCTGCGGCTTCTTCCGGTGTTAATGGTGTCGGTAGTGTTGTTGATTCATCAAATGGTACAGCAACTAGTAATGCTGCTTCGCTCGAGGTACGATACCTTGTAAATGCACAATGACACACACACACACACAGAATATTCATCACTAAATGGACAACTTTAAATTCAAAAAAAAAAAAAAGAAATTCAATTTCAAATTATTAATAACCGTCTATATTTTTTTTCTTTTTCTTTTTTTATTTATTGCAATTCATCAAATGATACAATATATTTTTTAAAAAATGTCGAATCATGGCACGGCCTTCGCCTGAAACAAAACAAAACAAAAAAAAAAATTACCATTGCTTTGTGAATGCTTATGGTTATTATAATTATAATATATCAATCAATTGATGATGATATTGAAATTTTGAATGGCTTCGCACTTTCGATGGACTTTTCACAATCGCCTCTGATTGATTGATAATGGTGATGATATTGATACATTGTTATTATACACGATATAATGAAATGAATTCATTAACCTGTCAATCAAAAAAAAAAAATTTTTCTTGGTCACATAAAGCCACCGGCACATGTATTGACGGAAATTAATGCTTCACCAATCAACACTGCTGCTGCTGTAGCTAATATTGCAGCTGTAGCTGTTGCGGCTACCAATGGACGCAAACGTACACGCGAATCAAATGATGAATTATTAATGGTCTCAATTTAAATCAATTAATCATTTAATTATCAGCTCTTTAATCATCATATATTCTTTTTATTTTTCTTTCAAACAGCAAATTTCCGGTGCATATCCAATAACAAAACGTCCAGCGTTGGATAAGAATGGTACACCATTATTTCATAATGGTATTACACCATCGTCATCATCATCAATACCATCACCGGTATCTGTAGCACATCCAAATGCAGCAGCGGCCGCAGCAGCATATGCTGCTGCTACATCATCATCATCATCATCATCCACAACATCATCAGACATTTGCAATGCCACAACCATTGGTTCCATTGTCTTGTAAGTTTTATTATTTATTTATATGTTTGATCACAACTAATTTTTATTCTTTAATTTGCATATCTAGTCTATTTTCCTCTCATAAGTCAGACAAATCAGATTCCTCGATATTGAAATAAGAGAATCTCAACATTTCAAAACAATACGAAAATATCCTATCCCGGAAACGTGTCTTGTTTTTTTAATCGTTATTGTCTTATCAATCAAAAATATACTTAAACCTGACAGAAAATGTCCAAGTATTTTTCATTGTTTGTCTTTATGTTCTCTTCTCTATTCTTCTTTTCTTTAAATCGTCACCAGTTTAGATCGATTCAATTTTTTTTAGATTTCATTTTTCAAAAAAAATATGTGTCACTTAAACTACACAAAAAATTCACTTTTGCCATTCGATCGTAATCATCATCATCGATCGATAATATTATTGTGCTTTGTGAATGAATAACTGCATTTTTTTCAATTTTTCATAAAGATATAACGATTCAACACTATGAAACCATGAAACCATTTCATTTCACACGACAAAGAGACATTCAACCATCATCCATACCGTTCACATGTCTGTTTTACTGTGATATATTATTATATTATTATTGTATAATTAATGTAAACGCAAAAAAAAAAATTTAAAACAAAAATGAAATTTAAATGTGACAGCACTTTTCCCTTCATCTACCTTATCATCATACGAAATCAACATACATACAGACACAAAGTCAATTCTATAGAAAATTGTCTTGAAAAAAGAATCAAAAATCAAAATCAAAATCGAATCGCCTTTTCATATGGAAGGAATATTCTAGTCCAAACAGTGAATGAAGATTGGATGGTTGTGGTAGTCGTGGTGGTGGTGGTCGTAGTACAATGAACCAATCACCAAAGCCTTATCATCCATTTGACGGGTCAACCAACCACCAAGTAAACAGTCATAAAAGTCAACCCTTTACAAAAAACAATTTTCTAGTCTTTTCTTTCTCTCTCACACATCAACATGGACACGAAAGAAAATCATACATCACTTAAATAATTAATGATGATGATGATGATTATAAATGCCTTTTGAAAAAAGCCTACCGAATTTTTTTTTTCATTCTCATTCTCTGCCTATATTATATATGATGATGATATATGAATTTATTCTGAATTTCAACGAAAATTTGTATTTTGTTATTTCAACTTATTATGATTTATTTATAATTTTGAAAATTTATTTTCAAACAACAAGAAAAAATTGATATTTTATTACATGAAAATTGAAGTTGTGTGTGTAAACCAATGTTCCTTATGCCATCAACACACCCCAATGACTATTTGACTTAAACTTTTATCACTTTTATCTAAAATTCTATTTGTTTTTTGTTTGTTTCACTTTTTTTCAATGATGATGATGATGATTGTACAAATTAAAAAAAATGAATACTGATTTAACAGATAGAAAAAAAATTGAAAATCTTTATGTTTATGAATTTAAATTGTTACAAAAAAAATGTATGTTTGTGTTGGCCGGGTAATATTATTTTTTTTTTTTTTTTTTGGATTCTAAAATTAGAACAATACGCATGATCATTTCGATCACACAATAAGTGTTGGGTAATTTGGACAATTTTTTTTTTAATCACCATCATCATCATAAATTCATAAAATGAAAAAAAAAAAAATCTAAACAGAAAAAAAATGATAATGACGATGATGATGATGATGATGAACCATCAGACTAATAATCTGAATCAACCATTTATCAATATAATGAGGATGATGATGATTATTATTGCACATATGATGAGAGATTATCAAATTGGAAATGGTTTTTTTGGAAAATTTTTTCTTTTCTTTATTAGATATATATTTTATTATTTTGAAAAAAAACCATTGACGACAACAACAACGAATGGTTGTGATTAAAGATTCGTATCATTATTTTTTTTTTTGGTTGTTGTTGATTAAATATGGTCGAATTTTTTTTTCGTTTTGCTTTTTGCTTTCGAACAAACAAACAAACAAAAAAAAAGTTGGAAAATTATATGATAATGCACACACACGACATATAATTTTAAGTCAAAAATGAAATTTTTTTATTGAGCATACCAAAGCCATTGCACGTAACAAATTATCTCATTGTCACAAATTCTACAATCATTCAATGATGATGATGATGATGATGATGATAAAATAAGAGATATGACAAGGAATTATTATTATTTTTTTTCGAATGTTCGAATTTGACCTCTATATATCGTTCGAATGTCGACCTATCGATATTGAAAAAAAAGTCGTCCGTCATTTGATTTTCATACATTCGAATTCGAATTCATGTCATTCCTGATCATCATTGAATTGACATCTAGAAATATTAAAAAAAAATTTATACAATTCATTAACAACAATATCCGGTGAAAATGTGAGACTCTACATATGTTTTATAATAAAGAAAAAAAAATCATCATCATTGGGGAGGCGAACATCATCATCATCATCATAAACTTCTGCCGACTAATAATTATTATCTCTCTTTTTATTAGTTTATGATAGATGAAATGATTTTCCGTTTTTTCCATCAACAATAATAATAATGATGATGATGATGATGATGATGATGATGGCAATGAATGGATGCGACCATCGTCACATATTGAAAACACCTACTTTTTTTTCATTTCAAAATGAATGTGTTGCAATTGGCTATCATAACAACAGCAACGATGATAAAGACCATCGAGATTTAAATCAAGAAGAAATAAAAATGTATCAATCAATCAATCAATCATTCGTTTATGGATATAATGGTGCCAATTGTAAATATAAATGAGAAAATTTGAATCATTTAAATTCAAAAAATACCGAATAACAAATCACACAATTTAGCCACTTTTTATTTTGGGCAAATTTTTTTTTTTTTGAATTGAATGGCGTCGGCATCATCATTGGAGTATGCGCTGAATTTTCTTTATTTTGAAACTTTTTTTTTCTCATATTCACGTTCTGCATTCACTGTGTGTGTGGTATGTATGTGTGTATATATGTCGAATGTCCTTTTGGCGTCCGAAATCAAATTGCAAAGTCAGATTATTATTATTAACAATTGTTGTTGGTTGTAGAGGCATTGAGAAAAGGCATAAATTGATCGACCATATATACAGTGGTAATAGCATTTAAAATAATTATACAGTTAGAATTTGATCCCACCTTTCAAAATTGTAATGGGCGCCTTCATTTTTTAGTTTATATAAAAGCAATGAAAATCATTGTAGTTCTCTTTATAATCTCCTGTTTTTTGGCTGTATATTCGATTTTGTTATTCGTTTTTGTTTGGTTTTTTTTTCATTCGAAAAATTGTGTTTGTGTGTATGTCGAACGACAGCAGCAGCAGCAGCAGCAGCAACAACAACAGCAGAAGCAGCATATTAGAATTCATCATTCAACAACATCATCATCATCATCAACAACAACAACAGCAACAGCAGCAGCAGTAGCAAAATAATAACGAAAGTCGAATTCGAGGATCTCTTCTTGGTGTGTTTTGTGTTTGTGTGTGTGTGTGTGTGTATAGGTTCTTTATATATTTCTTTTTGTCTTTCAAAAAAAAAATAATATTTCAATTCTCTTCTTTTTGGTACTCAGTTTTATGTGTGTGTGTGTGTGTGTTTCAGAATATATATATATTCTTTATAGATTTATCATTGAATCATTTTCTCGTCATTCTTATTTTTTTCCGCATTGTGTTTTTTTTTTGTTTCTTTTTCAATCCCAAAAATAGGAATCGAAATTGATTTAGAACATCAAAAATCATTATAAAACATCAATATAAATTTTAATATTCAATTTGTGTAAATCAAGAATCACAGAAACCGAAAAAAAAATGGCAAACAAAGAAGAAAAATATTGTGACAAACAATCCGGATGGCAAAAATTCTGTAAATTTGTATGGAATTCAGAAACTGGTCAATTTTTGGGCCGTACTGGTGGTAGTTGGTGTAAGTTATTTTTTCCCCATTGATTGATCATTCTATCTCTATTTGTGTTCAATTTCCCTTTTCATAATCAATGTCCTTCAATAACCGTTGACTAGTTGAAAAGTTTTTTCAATTGTCGAACGTTTTTTCCCAAATGACATGATATTTTAATTCGACCTTGATGCCAATACATTTCGGCTATTAATTTCCAATCATCATTTTTTTTTATTTCTTTTCTCTTTCAATTCAATTTTCATTTGTAGTCAAAATCACCGTTTTCTACATCATTTTCTACTTATGTTTGGCTGCTTTCTGGGCATTAATGTTGTTGATATTTTACCAAACTATCGATTATCGATCACCAAAATATCAATTAGCAGAGAGTAGAATCGGAGCCAATCCAGGTACATTTGAATAATTCATCGTTTTATGATAGAAATAATAAAAATTTCAAATTTTATCATTTATAGGACTCGGTTTTCGACCAAGGCCAAAAGATGAGAACATTGACAGTACATTGATTTGGTTTAAAAATGGCAACAACGAAGAAAACTGGAAATATTGGTCAGAGAGTCTACAAGAATTCTTAGAACGTATGCATTTTTTAAATTGTATTCAATGATTTTCTAATTGACCATCATTTTTTGTTGATAAAAATAGCATACAAAAAATCAACTATCGATGCTGGTGCTCATGTTGAAAATTGTGGCGATAACCAAATGGCTAGTGAAGGCAAATTCTGCCATTTTGATGTCAATGCTATTCCAAGTCAATGCTCGGTAGAAAATCATTTTGGTTATCAACGAGGAGATCCTTGTGTTTTGATCAAATTGAACAAGGTAAAAATATTCAACATTCATGATCAATGAACCGATTAATTTTTTATAACAAATTGAAAATAAAAATAGATTTTCAGCTGGAAACCCGAAGGATTTACGGATGAAGAATTGAGAGATACACACATTCCTGATGTCGTACGAAAAAGCTATCCAACTCGTCTCAATAACGCCAGTCAATTGATCTATATCACTTGTGAAGGCGAAGTATGTGTTACATAACCTTATATTGAAATTGAGAACACCAAATGTTAATTGTACACTTTTTAAAATTTCATTTTGTATTAGAATGCTGCCGATAAAGAAAATGTTGGTGAAATTGAATATTATCCACAACAGGGAATTGAATTCAAATATTATCCATTCACTAATCAACCTGGTTATCTATCACCATTTGTTTTTGTTCATTTCAAAAAACCACAACCCGGTGTATTGATCAATATTGAATGTAAAGCATGGGCACGTAATATTAAACATAATCGTATGGATCGTGAAGGAAGTGTTCACTTTGAATTATTAGTCGATGGATTCTAAATTATTTGAAAAAAAAGAATAACAAAATTCTAAACTCACATACAACAATAATAACAACAATATATAAACAATTCATATTGATGGCACTTTTGTTTCACACAACTTTGCTCTCTTTTTCTTTCACTCTATAATATATATCCTTTCTGTTCTGTTGTTCAATTCTTACTATATACTTTATAAAGTTCGCTAATTATTATTTCTTTTTGTTGATGTCAAATTTTTTTTTTAAAGAAAAATTTGATTACCGCCTAAAAAAAGCCCAATCAAATCAAATCACACACACACATACACACATTCAGATCCACTATCCAATCAACCACTTATCAGACGTATTTGCTTTTCATTTTTTTTTTTTCTTTTCAGTTTTATTATTGATTAATTGAATTTCAAATCATATTTGAAATCACACTATTCTCCCCATTTACCTATTTCCTAATTTTATTATTATATTATCAAATTTTTTTTTCCAAAACACCGTATATATATATATAGAATTTTAATAGATGTTTTTTTTCCTAAATAGAGAGCATTGTTATTCATTTTTTTCTCATTTTATTTTCAAATCAAAAAAAACGTTCATTATTTGCATGATGACCAACAACAACAACAACTGATGGATGGATGGATTAAATTATTAGATATCGTCGTTGAAATGTTGCCTATCAAGATTTAAATATTATAATTATTAATTATATTATGCACAGTTATTTGTTATAATTCGCAGCAGTTTACATAACAAAATATAACACTTACAGAATATATAAAATTCTTTTGAGAAACATTTGATGATTCACACATGCAAACACACACACACACACATATATACAGATAGAAATGTAAATAAAGAAAATGACAAAATTAAATCTTTTTTTTTTTTTTTGTTGTTGGAATCCATCAATGGTCAATGAGTCAATCAGTTCCGATTTTTTTTTGTGATTTTGTGTGTGTACCAGTGTCGGTGTGTATAGATTATTATGGGAGGACTATCATTAATTTGTTGGAAATCCAAACAACACCAGAAAAGAATGGTATTTTATGATCACTGTGAAACAAATGAATGAATGAAAATAAATTAGAATTGAAGCAATTATTCATTTCGGTTTATTTACCTTTTTTTAAGGTCAAGATGTGTTTCATTCGCACTTAGAATGAATAATGGAAACAAGAATGCAAAACATGCGGTGTTTAGATAATAATTTGGAAGTGAATGTGTGACTAAAGCTAATGGAAGTCCAAATCCAAAAAAATATGGCCACATTCGTTCAATATAATGAAGTCGTTTATATAATTCCCAGCCTGTATTTTTGAACAAACAAATTGATTTTCATTTTTTTTTCAATTTTGATTTTTTTTTTGATCTTACCCATATTGAACCATTTATATTCGAATGAATAAAGTGAGTATAAAAGGCTTGTATGTAGAATACTCAGAATTTGACCGATAAATCCAATCGGAAAAAAATAGAATAGATTGGCCTATGAAGAGCAACAAGATGATTGAATTTGATGAGATTAATCAATTCAATAATCAAACCTGTATCAAAAATAAAATCTGTATCAACATGCTGAACAATGTATCAGCGATTAATTTTGAAATGCTTTTGAAAGCTTGTGGTCTGCCTCTGAATGAAATATCGGCTATATCCTATTTATAAAGAATTTGTATATAAAAACAATTTTTTTCTCAATGATAACTAACTTGAAACCATAAGGCAGTCACTATACGACTTATAAATATTAATGGTAAAACCCATAATGCCGAAAAAAGTGTGGACAATGTTGATTCAAGCCATGACCATGTTGCACCATGTTGTTCTTGTGAACCAAATATAAATGTAACAGCCATATTTAATAGTATTAAAAAATAATTAAAAATCATCATAGAAAACTATTTATGTGAAAAAGAAATCCAATGTGAATCATTATTTATAATTAATAATTTGAAAATTTTACCATTAAAAGGCCACCAAGTAGGCAACATTGTCGTATACGTTTAAGAACATTAGTTGATTTTGGACTTTGATGTTGTTGTGTCAGTACGGTTGTTATCACATAGATACCAAAGAATATTGAATCATAAAGGCCATCTTTGAAACCACATATTATTAGCTATTATGAACAAGAACAAAAAAAAATTATTATTATCATTCATTCATTTGGGAAATTTGTATAGATTATTTACCTTTAAATTATCCATATTAAAATTCGCCTATTCAAGCAAAAACATTCATCCATTCAATTATTATCATCATTATTATTATTATTATTGTATTGATTATGAGAATTTTTGTTTTTATTTGATCACAAAATGTTCTGAATTTCGAAACACGATGAACGATGAAGAAAAAAAGTCGAAAACAAAATAAATCAAACAAACAAAAAAAAGTAAGAAAAAATAAATCAAAACAAAATAAAACTACGTCTGTTTTTGTGTGTGTGTATGTATTCAACCTCAAACACAAATGAATTTTCGGAAAAAGTTTTTCTATTAGCTACGACATTCGTTTGTATGGAAACTTTTTTTCGTTCAGTAGATACTTAAAATTGTCATCACATCACATGTCGATGATGATGGATTAATGATTGATTTTAAATAAAAAAAAATCATTAAAAATCCCATTAGATTTCTAAAAATGCGTATGTCATACATTCTATGTTCGTCATCATCATTATTACATCGACAATCGATAAATAAACTTAATTTGATATCGAAATTACGTTTTATACATCAAAATAATCAACAACATGTAAAATCATCAATAATAAATAAATATGGAAAATTGGTCAAACCATTTTTGTTTACAATAACTGCATGTGGTGCATCATTCACCATTGCAACTATAGCTCAATATGAAAATGATCAAAATGATTTTCATAGGAAACAGAAACGTTTTCAATCATGGAATCCATATAATAGTCATCAGGAATTATCATGGTTTCAACAGGTTTGATTTAGGTTTCCATTAATGTTGAATCATGATCAATCAATTTGAATAATTTGTTTGATAGATGAAAAATCTGTATTGGGATTCACGTAAAGATGGTTTTAAAATATTTTGCTGTATTGCCGCATTGAATGGCCTTGCATTTCTATGTTGGCGTATACCACGATTAAATCCATTGATGACCAAATATTTTATCTCTCGAATAGATACTGGTAAGTTTTACGGCAATGAATTATTGATTCGATTATCGATAATTAATCAGTTGTTTTTGTTTCATAGGTTCGATACGAATTGCGCCAATGATTTTATCAAATTTTAGCCATTATTCAATTACACATTTAGCCATGAATATGATTGTTTTGTATTCATTCTGTGATCTTGGTGTACATCTTTTTGGTCGAGAAAATTTTCTTGCACTTTATCTTAATGCAGGTTTGTTGTTCGAATGAATTCGAAATTTGATATTTCATCGTCAATTTATCAATTCATACAGGTATAATATCATCATTTGCAAGTTTTGTACATAAAGTGATTATTAATTCAACCGTACCTTCATTGGGAGCGGTAAGCAATATTTTCATTGATGGTTTTTTTCTGCTACATTTAATTTTCATTGATTTTTTTTTTAAATAGAGTGGTGCCATATTAGGTGTATTGGGTGCCACTTGTCTTGAACGGCCCGATATCCAATTGATGATCATATTTCTACCATTCTTTACATTCTCATCATATACGGCACTTAAAAGCATTCTATTACTTGATGCATTAGGAATCATTTTACGGTGGGAATTTTTTGATCATGCAGCACATATGGGTGGTACACTTTTTGGAATGTAAGTTAAATTCATAAATTTTACCACATTTTGAATGATTGCCACATTATTTTTTTTTAAATCACAGGTATTATTCAAGTTCAATACGGCAATATTTTTATGATAAAAAAAGGATAATTCTTAAACAATGGAAAAAATTTAAAAATCAATTTTAATATATCGTTATTATATAAAAATTAAAATGAAATTTATCCAATATTTTTGGCATAATTTGAATTCCAATCACGAAGAAAAATTCTTTGAATTTGATTATACAATGATGTTGAATGTTTTGAATTAGTAGTAGTTACATTCATAACGATACCTACACCAGCCGTATTAACAAAATAATCGGCTGACCAATTTGATGTGCCAATATAGACAACTTTATCGGTGATCATATATTTATTATGATTAACTTCAGAATATGGAATCGGATTTTTTATAAATGGACACATTGGAAATGTAAATAATTTTGTTTCAATCGAACCATTCAATGTATTTTCATTATCACCACCATTCAAAGCCTGTAATGATTTCAAAAACAATGTCATATATGGTCGAGTATCATTCCAATGGCTTGCCAATAGACGAACATGAACATTTCGTTCCCAAACGGCACGTCTCAATGCATCATCGATAATAGGCCAATAATGAGATTTTTTTTCATATAAAAATAATGGATAATAATCCATGACTGCTATGTAAATGAATTTTTCTGCTTCATTGATAATATCAATAATAGCATCCAGATCATTTGTACGAGTTGATGAACAAAATTGTCGTGGTGATGATGTCAAAAATATGCTATATTCATCATCATCGGGATTTATTTGATTTCTATATGGATTAGTAACATTATATCGGGCATCATAGATTGATGGCCATGGTGTGGGTATTACCGAATTTTGTTCACCCATCGACCAATAAATATCGAAAATTTTCAACAAATCTTCAGCTAATTCTGGATTATTTTGTATTATGATTCCCAATTCTTTGACATGTGTTAATGAACGCCAATCCATATTGGCACTACCGATGTAGAAATCTTTTCGATCAACAATAATAAATTTTGTATGTAATACACCAGCACCAATCAAACGGACAAAATTTACTCTTCGTATTTGTGAATATTTTTGTAATAATTTTAAATCTTCATTGTTGTCATTGTCATTGGATTTTTCATCATTAACAGCAATTCTTAATCGTATGGAACGATTTCTAGCAGCATCAATTAATGCTGCAATGAATTTTTCACCTTTTTTACTTTCAGGAACAGGATTTTGCATTACATCTTTACCGAACATTGTCCAATACATTGATGCAATATCAATTGAATGATTAGCCGAATTAATCAATTCTAACCATGCATCAGCTGTTGGTTTGGATTTATTCTCATCATTATAATTCAATTCATGTGGTAGTGTTTCAACAATAAACGAACGACGAATAAACAAAGTTCCAGAAACTGGAAATATTATCATCATCAAAATTAATAATATAAACGAAACAATTGTCATTGGAAACATGATTGTTGTATACAACTGATCTAACATATAAATATCGTTCGTTTTTAAATTATTGATTTTCATAAATCAAACATTAATTATCTTATCGCTTAAATACAAGTGCGCGGAATGTGATAATTCAAAAAAAAGAAAGAAAAAATATTTATTCAATTTAAATAATATAATAATATATGTTCACATTTGTATTGATATTTTTTTCCCCCCACTAATTTCTAATCATAGAATGAGTTTTTTAAATAAACATTGCCAACCATCCTAAAATGAACATCATACCACCAATTGGTGTGAATCGTACGACCAAATTATTATCAGTGATGGCATTACAATAACATGTTCCAGAAAATATGGCAATACCACCAAGGAATAGACTACCAACCTGACAGAAAAAAAAAAAATAATCATTAGTAAGTCTTTTGTTTTTGTTTTTGCAATCAAATATATTGCATTCGATTAATTTTTTTCATTTAACCACATACCAAATTAGATCTACGTACAAACGGTGTTGCCAATAATGCCAACGAATGATAAAAATGATATTTATTGGCTGTTTCATAAATTGCTCGTTTTTCTGTATTTTTCAATCCTTTAAATAAAAAAAAAATCCAATTAATAAATGATGAGTAAATAGATCCATGATTTTAAATTACCATGTGCTCCATATGCACCCATAACAACGGCTGCAGCACCGGTAATAGCAGCAATTTTTATCCATGGTGATGATGAATAATATTCGGTAATTAATTTGAAATCCAATTTAGGTGTTGCAGATTGTGTGGCCATTTTTTGACTTGAATAATTTAGATAAGAAAAACAATGGTATAATAGATCTTTTGGAATATTTATGTATGATTGAAGAGACGACATTTTTTTATGCTCGCCAATTTATTTGTAAGATAATCCTCGTATTTGTTAGCAACAATCAAATCAAACAAATAATGTGATAAATAAAAAAACGCCACACAAAATGATGTAATAAATGTAATCAATAAGTGATGAAGATAATCGCTTGTTGATTATAAAATTGATTTTGATTGATTAATGTATGGATTTTTTCGAATTGTCAATGAACAACAAATATATTCATTAAAAAATGAGTTTGTGAAACTTACGGAATTTTAATCACTTTTTTAACGTAATTGTACATTTGACAGTGATGATATTTTAAAAAATGGATGGAATGATGGAAAAAAAATTATGATGAGCAAATAAATGATGATTTCGATTGTATCGATTATTACAAATACAAAAATTTTTTGTTTTTGTTATTTGAAACGCATTGAAAATAATTAAAAACGAACAACATCAAAAAAAAAATGCCACTGACATCTGGTGAATCTATTTGAAAATTGAAAACACGTGAATTTAGTTTACATCCATAGGTATTTTTTTTTTTACTTATTTTATTTTATAATTATAATTTCATTAGATTAAAACATATCAATTGCAATCTGTTACACCTTTAAATGTCTCGAGATTAACACGCCAAAGAAACTGGATTATGGAAAAAATGGAACAATTATTGATTAAATGAATTGAGGACAATAACACAAACGGATAATGCCAATGAGTCAAATGACTATCCAGGAAAAAGCTTTAAGTATTTTGAAGAAAATTTGAAGAATGAAGATACCGATGAATCTGCTGAAGATGTCATATTCCAAGCAAGCCAAGGATGGTTTAAAAAATTTAACATTAAAAATAGATTTAATTTGCATAATTTGAAAAAAAATTATGTATTGTAAAACATACACATATTTTATGTAACATGAAGATGTTTCATTTTTGTTAAAAAAATAAAAAGATAAAATGCATTTTGAATGATAAACCATGTTACAACGATTTTCCGCAACCGGATATTGGGCAGGGAAACCGTTTGTTATCATGTTTGATGGCAATTTGATAATTACATTGTCGCAATTTATTATATTTTTTATCACACCCCTCATAGGGACATGAAAACAAACCGGTTATTCTTTTCGGAATGATTGGTGGTGCTGATGATGATGGTGGTGATTGTGACTCGTTTTTATGCACCGTCTTAAGATGTCTCGAAATAGTGCATGGGTAGCTATAATATTTTCCACAGCCCGTTATCAGGCATAAAAACCGTGTTTGTTCATGTTTGACCAACATATGATTATTACAATTCCGTAAACTTTCATACTTCTTATCGCATCCATCATAGCCACAGAAAAACAAATATATGAATGATTGGTGGTGGTGGTGATGACGATGATGATGTTGATCCAACTGGTGAATTGCTACCATGGTTCTTTAATTCTTTTTCTTGAAAATTATTATTTTCATCAAAATTTTAATTCTAATAATGTTGCGAATAAATAGATTTATTGATAATTTAATAATAGAATTGAATAAGATATAGAAATGGTAAATTTGTAGAGATGCAAAGAATAGATTAAAGAAACAGAACATTCAATGGATGTGTTAATGATTTTGCAACGAGATCTGGAGTACATCACATCAAAACATAATGCCCTCTTCAGCTCTTTCTTCGCCTTTATATCGCTGCTTCTTTTCCAGCTGATTCGATTGATGATAGTCATGTTCATTAGGGGGTCCTTCAAACGCGCTGTAATGCCTTGACATTTGCACTAAATAATAATTATCATTTGAGTATAAAAAAAATTTGAATACATACATTTGAATAAAAAAAAAAGATTTCACAAAGAAAAAAATCCAAATACTCACTTGTTTATGATGGTGATGAAATAATCAAATGCTGTGCTCATACCGGTAACGGACATATAACGGAAAAACGAAAAAAAATTAAAATTGACTATATCCACACTAGAGGCAAAAAATCGACTATATCCACACTAGTTTCTTAAATTTCTTTTTTCTTTCGAAAAAAATTCAATGATTTGAATAATAATTTGCAAAAAACTCAAATTTTCTGCAAGTTGAATATTTTCATGCAGACATTAAAGTATTCACATTTGTACTACTGCTGGTATTCTGAGAAAAAGTTGTTATCAAAGGACATTGAACATCAACTCATAGTGAATCACAAGGATCCACAAGTTGGCTGGATTCATTGATCAAAAAGTATGGTAGTACCACCAACAATCATCAAGTATCTGTGATTTCATCGCAAGCTACAACAACAAAAGCAACCGTAACAAACCAAACATCAATCATATGAAAAAATATAATATGAATTATATGAAAAAATATTTATACATAAAAATTAAAAATTAAAAATAAATTAATTAATTAAAAATTATGTGGATAAGTTCTTCTTCATCATCATCATTACAGTGAGATAAATTTGAACAGGATGAGCATATGGACAAAAATTATTTCCGATAATTCTTCCACACGACCAGCACCATTAAAAGCGGTACAAAGATATTTTCCAGCATCCGTATATTCAATTCCATGAAATATTATACGACTTATCGTTTTCGATCGAATACCACCATCCCCATTACCATCGATCTTTGTAGTTCCAATTGTATGAGAACCATCATTTATGATGTGTTCCTATATGTCTATGAACGGATCCAAGAGTGGTATATAATTTTTTACAATCACCAATCCAGCACATAAACCGTTTATTTTGGTGTTCGTTTGCCACGTGATCTTGATAGCTGTACTTGCAACGATATTTTTTTTACAGCCTTCATATGGACATAAAAAATAACCGTCTTTTTCCGGTTTTAATAGTGGTGCCTGGGTCGCAATAAGATTTTTTACAACCCGTTATTGGGCAGCGAATCCGTTTTTGTTGATGTTTTGACATCATATGATTATTACAATGATACAACTTTTTATATTTCTTATCACATTCCCTCATAGGGACAAAAAAATAAACCGTTCCGGTTCTAATCGGACAGCGAACGCGTTTATTTTGATGTTTTGCATTCATATGATTTCGACAATCGTAAAGCCCACAATATTTTCTTTTGCAGCCATCATATGTACATCCATAATATCCATCAATTTTTTTGGGTGGGGATGATGGTGGAGAAGATGCTGGTGGTGGTTGTCGCTGGGGCTCATTATGATGCACCTTAGCGAAATGACTTTAACGCTCACCGCATAAAATGGTGTTGTTGTTGTCAATAAAAAAAAATATTTCACCAAAAAAACCAAAAAAAAAACGAATATTTTATGATGATGGACACTATGATGTAATTTCGAAAACGTTATTGTGCTTCGACTACAATTGCAGCTCAATTTTTCATACCGGACTTATAACAAAAAAAAACGAAAAAAAATAAAGCCGACTATATCCACACTAGAGGCTAAAAATCGACTATATCCACACTAGTCTCTTAAAATTCATTTTACTTTCAAAAAAAGATATCGTATCTGTAAAGATATTGGAGCAAAATTAAAAACGAAAAAATATGTATAAAAATATAAAAAAATAAAAATAAAAATAAATTTATATAAATTTTATTAATAATCGTTTTTGAAATTCAATTACTGTCAGAGCAAAAACGAGACTGATCATTTTATTAAACATATACATTCAATACAAAAATAGAGGTTATTCAGAAATACAATGATAGTAATAATAAACATGAACATGAGTATAGTAATAAAGAAAATCATACTAATAATAATGTTTTTCTTTTAACAATTACCCAGGTATAAGCAGCTATTTCATCAAATATTTTGTTTTTTACCCTACTATAGTATATCATCCAATTTGAGTTTGAAAACTGTCTATTTGAACCAAGTCTGGCCGATCCGATGCAATTTGGCCGAATGAAAGATTTTCGACGATTTTCCGCCAACTTGGGTCGCATGTAACAGTGATGAACCAATCCGGTTTTCCATATCTCGTTACTATTGTCATTGCGTTTTGATATGAAGCCACTATTGATCGTGTGGTCCACCTTGATACGTTGATGGCAGAATATATCGTCTTCCTGCTGGTCCTTGTTCTTGATCACCTACCATATGATATAGGATACAAGGAATAAACATCATCCTTGAAAACGATCCTGACTAAAGTTTCTCGAGGAATTAATTCAGCCATTAGCTGTTATAAAATAGCCAAATAAAATATATTGAAAATAATAAAAATATTTGGCTATTTTCTGCCTTGGCTATTTTCAGTTTGGCTATTTCATATCGCAACCGTTATAAATCACTGAAAAACGAAATAGACAAGAAGGCAAGACAAACAACGTTGGACAATTTTTTTAAGCCAGGTCCATCATTACCAGCGAAAAATGATGACGACAGTGATCTGCAGGTTACCATTTCTTTATCGTTTTAAGATTAAAGCCATTTAAAAAAAAATTATGTATTGTAAAACGGATAATGCCAATGAGTCAAATGACTATCCAGGAAAAAGCTTTAAGTATTTTGAAGAAAATTTGAAGAATGAAGATACCGATGAATCTGCTGAAGATGTCATATTCCAAGCAAGCCAAGGATGGTTTAAAAAATTTAACATTAAAAATAGATTTAATTTGCATAATTTGAAAAAAAATTATGTATTGTAAAACATACACATATTTTATTGTTTCATTTTTGTTTTTATAAATTATTGTTGGTTTTTGGAGTATGTTAATATTTTATGTACAAATGTATGTACTTGTTATGTATGTATTTTTGATTTATAAATGAAATAAAAAAAGATAAAATGCATTTTGAATGCATTCATAAACAATATAATATCATTACAATACGTTTTAGAAAAAAAAAATTTCCATATCCGTCATAACGAATATGAAAATCGAATTTTCTAGAATTTTTTTTTTGCCAACCATAGATGGCAACACCGTAGTACGATTTATTATCCAATCAAAACCTGCCAAGTTGTATTCTTTAATAAACATCGTCGTCGTCTTCTCTCATTCTCAAACAACAAACTTGCAGACGGACATTATATTTGACGAGTGATTTTTTGTATGTGTGTGTGTGTGTGATTCTATAGGTTTAACAATTCTCAATTCAACATATATATTATATACCCGGCATTCTTTTTTTTTTTCTCTTAACGTTTCAATTACCTGGCCTGTTGTTGATTATCTTGATCTTGATTTTACTTTTAAATATCTAATAAATTTCCAAATATTCCAATTTGTTATTGTACATCTACAAACAAACACGCGTGTGCTTAAAGCACATGTTATTCTCATTAATTTATTGCTGTCATTTATCGTTGTTTTTTTTCATGACACGTCAATATTACAACATTGAATTTGTTTATATTTTCAAATCCATGTTTTTATAATATATTAGTATAATAGACAAAAGACACAGACAAACACAAAACCACAGCAAGCAATCGAATAAATGAATGAATGAATAAGTGAATTTAGTTTTTTCTAAAATATTTTTAAAATTTTTATTCTGTATACCAAAAAAAACAACAAAACAATTCTATCAAATATGAGATTATTATTCTCATTGATACAACTATTTTTCGTGATATTATTCTCATCTTTTATCATTCAAAATGGTATGTCATTTATTTAGTTTATTAAAATCGATTATTAATTATTTTAAAAAAAATCATTGGCTCTTTATAATAGTCACATGTGTGGCAGTTATGTCGGTTGATCTTGGATCCGAATGGATGAAAATTGCCATTGTCAGTCCGGGTGTACCAATGGAAATCATATTGAATACGGATTCACAAAGAAAAACACCATTAGCTGTTGCATTCCGTGATGGTGAACGTTATATCGGTGATTCAGCATTGAATGTTGGTATACGATTTCCGGAGAAAACATTTACACATTTTATCGATTTATTGGGTAAATATCGTATCGATTCGATTGCTGTACGGAAATATCTGGAAAGATTTCCTTATCATACGATTGTTGAAAATGAAAAAGATCGAACCATTGAATTTGTGATAAAAGATCAAGATCAAGAATTACGTTTTACACCCGAAGAATTACTGGCAATGATGCTCAATAAAGCTCGACATTATGCTGAAATTGCATCGGCATCATCATCACCTACTGGTCAGGCACAAACAATAACCGATTGTGTATTAACGGTTCCGCCATATTTTTCTCAAACCGAACGTAAAGCTCTAAAATATGCAGCTCAATTAGCTGGACTAAAAGTTTTACAATTGATCAATGTAAATTCAGCTTTTGCATTGAATTATGGAATATTTCGACGTAAAGATTTCAATTCAACAAATCCAACCAACATTTTATTCTATGATATGGGTGCCGGTTCAACATTAGCTACTATTGCCAGCTATCGATTGGTTAAAACGAAAGAACGTGGCTTCACCGAAACTGATCCACAATTGACAATCAAAGGTTTGATAATCATCATCATGATAAAAAAAGAATAACTTTTGATTTCGAATCATACACACTAGGTGTCGCCTTTGATCGTTATCTTGGTGGTTTTGAATTACAATTACGTCTTCGTGATCATTTATTGAAATTATTCGCTGAACATAGTAAGAAAACTATCGATGAAATCCGAACGAATAAACGTGCAATGGCAAAATTATTGAAAGAAGCTGGCCGATTGAAAAAAGTTCTATCGGCTAATCAAGAACATAAAGCACAGGTTGAAAATGTGATGAATGATATCGATTTAAAAGCAATGGTTACACGTGAACAATTCGAAACAATGGCAACAGATTTATTGAATGAACGTTTAATGAAAACATTGGATGATGTTTTCAAAAATGCCGGTATAACATTGGATGAAATTGATTCATTCATAATTATTGGTGGATCGACACGTATACCTAAAATTCAACAACAATTGGAATCATATTGGTCACGTGAATTGAGTAAAAATATCAATGCCGATGAAGCCGGTGCATTAGGTGCTGCATACCAGGCTGCCTATCTATCTAAAGGTAATGTTTTTTAATTGAAGTCAATTTTTTTTGGTGAATAAACTCATCATTTTTTTTTGTTACAGGATTCAAAGTAAAAGTATTTCATCTAAAAGATTGGAATCAATATCAAATGAATGTGGATTTCGAACGTGAAAATGCTACGGATAAAAAAGTTGTATCACGTACATTGTTTGCACGTGGTAATACATTCCCACAGAAAAAAGTCATAACATTCAATAAGAATCGTGATGATTTTGAATTTAAAGTTAACTATGTTGAACCGAGCATTCCGCAAGATAGTAAATCGACCATAATGAAAGTTTCATTGACAAATGTAGCGGAAATATTCGATAAATTTACCACAAATTCTAGTGTTGAATCAAAAGGAATTAAAGTACATTTTCGTATGGATGAAAGTGGAATTCTCAAACTAGAAAGCAGTGAAGCATCGTTCGAAGTGGAATATGAAGAGATTATCGAAAAGGATAATTATGAACAGATCAGTAATCTTGTTGGTGATGCTATATCGAAATTTGGTAGTAAACTTTCAAGTCTTTTCAGTGGTAATGAGGTAAGTTACAGTTACTTTATAGAAAAGAAACAAACAAACCAATCATTCATTCCATTGATATTGTGCACCTCTACTGAGCTCTTTCGTTTTTTTTCCACATATAATGATATTGAGTTCCAACTGGGTGCTAAATTAAATGTCATTTGCTTTTTTAGAGTTGATGTTTTATCTCAGATTTTTTTGAAAAAATCCTTACCGTTTAAAATATCATAGTTAAAAAGCAAACATTTCGTTTAATTCATTTAACTTAACATTTGTTTTATTTTTGATGAAACAAAAAAAAAACGTTAATTCCTTTCTCTCTTTTTTCGACAGAATCTTTCAGCAAATGAGACGGAAAATGTTAATGGCACTGAATCGAAACAAGATGAAGAAACACTGAAAGCAAATACAACAAATATTACCGATTCTGGATTGGAGGAAAAAATCCTAAACAATACCAGTTCGAATCAAAACAATTTTACAGGTACTAATGATACTAATAATAGTCAGAAGAATGAAAGTTTGAATGCAACGATGGAACTGAATCAAAATGGTACTACCAAAAGTTTTCAAAAAGAAATTAAGAAAAAAATTATCAAAGAAGAGATTATAACAAATGTCGAACAATTATTGGGTGGTGATTTTCAATTATCATCCGAAACGATTGCTGCATCACAACAAAAATTGGATACATTGAATAAAAGGTTTGTATTTCTTTTTTTTACTGGAAAAACAATTTAAAATTTTTTAATTCAACCAGAGAAAAAGATAAACTTAAACGTGATCAGATGAAAAATGCATTAGAATCATTTATACATGAAACAAGAGATAAATTAAATCAAGATGATTATAGCCAATCGGTTACGGATGATGAACGTGAACGCATTGAAAATGAATTACGTACCGTATCTGAATGGCTTGATTATGAATCGGATTCTGAACAGGCATCAACATTTGAAGAAAAATTGTCCAAACTTAATGGCCAGACAAAAGAACTATTTGAACGTGTACGTGAACATAGTGATCGTCCAGAAGCGTTATCATCATTGACGAATATGTTGAACATAGCTGATATGTTCCATACAAACGCCATGAATGTGTCGAAAGATGAACAAATTTTTAGTGATGTTGAATTGTCTACATTAAGAAAATTGATTGATGATACGAAAACCTGGATGGATGATCAGATACGTGAACAAGATTTGTTACCACGTACAGCGAATCCATCTCTGACCGTTAGAATCATTGTGGAAAAAACAATGTTGGTTGATCGTGAAGTGAAATACCTGTTGAACAAAGCTCGAATTACACCGCCAAAGAAAAAACCCACAACAACAACAACAACAGCCGATTCTAATGAAGAAACTGGGAAAAATACCACTGAATCAACTAATGAAAAGGTATACTTTTTCCTTTTGTTCAAAGTAATTGTTTTTAATTATGATTGTATTTCTTTTACAGAACGATACAATTACTATTGATGAAAAAATCCGAAACGATTCAATGAGTGAAGAAATAAAGACAAATAGTGATGATAAAATTCCAGAAGAATCGAATACAATTGTTGATGATGAACAGACAATCAAACCGGATAATACAAACACTGATTCTGGTCATTCTAGTAAAACTGAATTGTAATATATGCACACACACACATATAATATTTCTTACTTATACATTCTAAATAAAATAAAAAATTTCTAATTTATCAAATTAAATTGATTCTCAATCGTCATTTATTCATTTTAGAATGTCGATTGAAATTAAAAATAACGACCTCTATCGACTATTATTGTGATTGATCAAAATTGCACGTGTGTTTAAAATTGTGTTTTGTTTATATCGATGTGTGTCAAAAATGGCAATCAATATCGTTGATGATGATTCGATGATATTAAAATCTGAAAATGATAATACTCGATGGCAATGGTCTTCAGTACGTGGTGAAACGCGATCCAAAATTGCTCCATATAATATTACGAAAAATTCGAAAACAAAACTTCAAATAACAGAATTATTTGAGAATGAATTAGAAAATAAACGTTTTATGAAACGAAATCTGCGAAATTTACGAAACAAGAAGCTCTTGAATCAATCGCTTAAGAAACCGATTGCAGATCGTATTGTACGAGAAATAAATTTCAAAGAATTATGTAATTCCATTGAAAAGTATGATGAAATCGTAAATCAAATGCGTCATGCTGATCAATTAATTTTTCCGGCTGATGATTGTTCACCTAGTTTTGAAAATGAAATGAATACAATGCCAAAAACATCAACCAATGGTATTGAGCAGGAAATCACAGAAAATTTTCGGGATAAACATTTTAATGAAGCTATTCTTGATGAAAACGAAAATCAATTATTGAAATCTTTAAATCTAAATGAAGCACGCCGATTACATCGAGAGATGCAAAGATTACGTGTATTAATCAGCCACAATGAAGCTAAATATCGTCGAATAAAACGGATAAAATCTAAAAAATATCATCGTATACAGAGAAAGAGAAAAAATGCTGACAATATTCTGAACGGAATAAGTAATGTTGAAAATACGATTCAAGAATCTGATCGATTACGTGCTCTTGAACGTGCCAGTTTGAAACATACGAATTTAAGTAAATGGTCTAAGCGGCAAAAACGCATTGTCAATTTGTTGAGCAATCTCGAAATGCATTAAATGAACAAATTAATTTCAATAGAGTTTTGATGGCTAAACAAACTGAATTTGCATTACTTCCATCAGAAAATGATGATAATGATTCAAACGTAGAATTAGATGAATCAAAAACAATTCCATCCAACAACTATTGTCCATGGTCATCATACAAAAAAAATCATCAACCGATGGAAAATCCAAAAAATATTCGATTCGAACCAAATGCCATTTCGAAATGTAATGATTTTGATTCAATGGAATTCGGTGAACGAACAGAAAAATTGCATCAAATTTTTGGCATCGAATATGAAATAGATGAACAGATTATGACTCAAAATGAAAATGAAAATAAAAATCAATCCGGAACTGAACAACAATATTTACCTGGATGGTCAACAAAACGATGGTCTGGTTTCGGTATCAAAGAGACGAATAAATACAAATTAAAGGCAATAAAAAAACAAATCATTCATCAGAGTGAACAAGATGAACGGATTTGTCGTGCAATATTTTTTCAGAATGAAGAAAAAAATTCTACAATTACAGATAAATATAAACATTATTTAACAGCCAAACAATCATTACGATTATTGAAACCAAACGGTTCGAATTGGAATCCGGTGTTAATTGAAAAAAATTTAAATGAACCACCGGTGATTATACGTCAAGGAAAATTGATTGAACCAATGAAATTTTGATTTGTTATATATTATCATTTTCATATTATTATCATCATTATTGATTCATTATTAATAATAAAATGAAATGAATAAATGCTACTGAAAAATTTAAAGAAACAAAAAAAAATCATAACATTTCATGAACATTATTCACGAACTACTTTACGATATAATACACGTAATGGTTCATATAATGATTTTCCTTTATATTCAGCATCGGTTATTGGTGGTATTTCAACATTTTCACATTTATCACGATTATAATCATCGCATACGATCGATGTCATTTCGAGACGAATTTTTTGTTGCATTTCACGCATATAATCGATATCATCTTTGGAACAAACTGATGATCCTTTTGATCGCATTGCTTTACCTACACATGGTATTGTTTGACGAATTTTGCTAGATTTTTTTTTTCATATATGTTGTCGTTATAGGATAAGGACAGGAAAAAGAATGAAAAAAAATTGTTAGAAACAATAATGTATACACACACACACACACACAAGACATGTTGGACATGTTCTTTTTTTTCTGTTGGTTTAGTTATTGTGTCGTTGCCATTTTTTTCTGTATATTCATTCTTTCTTTTTTTTATCTGTCTGTGTTTCTTTTCAGGATTTCTTTAATAATATTCTTGAACTAACGACAACGAAAAAAAAGAATGAAATTGAAAAAAAAAAATCTAAGGAAAAAAAATGTGAATGACATGTAGTCCCAAAAGGATAACTGTCATTTGGATCACAAACACACACACACATATATATATAGTTTTTTTTCTCGGTGAAAACATCCAAACAAAAAGACAAACATTGACTATCTGTATACAACTGCAGTACTATGTTCAATTCACCAATGCGATACATGATTTCCAAGGAAAAAATATGAAAATTTTTTTTTTTTGTTTGTTTGTTACTTACCAGCAAAGAATTCGTAGAATTTTATGTTTATCATTAAATTTATTTGCTGCAAATACTAATTTCTGATAATCACCAATACAACGATATGTATCATCAACAACCGAATTAGCACAGCCAACATGTGTAAGTAATTCTTTATTATTGATTGATTGTGTTTGGTGATTGGTAAATGAATGGTAGCAAAGAAAAAAAAACATCGAACACATTAAAAGAAATCAATCAATATGATAACAAGAAGCATACCTTTTTTACGGCCATTAGTTCGACATAAACGTTTCATAACACGATTAGATCCTTCCAAAAGATGATTCAATATACGTTCTTCGAATGTATTATCCGAACAACGATTAATGAAATTTGTTGCACATTGTTCTGAACGTTTCAGTTCATTACATTTATCATTCAATGTTGACATTGTTGTTGGAAATCCTTGAAATCGTTTTGCATTCGATTCCAATAGGAAACCAAGATTTAAACATTCTTGAATGGCTTTTTTAATATCACAATCCGATGTTGTACGTAATGTCCATGTTGAGCCTATATTTGATTAATTGATTTGATTGATTATAATATAATTTGTTTATTAATTTAAAATAATTTACCAATAAAAACCGCTATCAATACAATGTATCGGGCAAACATGATGATGGTCTAATTTAATCATGTAATTCACGTTTAAATTTTTTTTTTCAATTTCCAATCGATGATTCCAAATGTGATAAATGCAAAGAAAACTTTGTAAGAAAAATTGGCTATTTATACCAAATTAATGACAAGAGACAAGAGAGAAAGTTATTTAAATTTTAAAAGTCATTCGTTTCTTTTCTCTTTTTATTTTCCAAATCATTAATTCTAGAAGGTCAGTATTAAAAATTGATAATTGATTGATTTTTTTTTCATTAGAAAAAAAATTCTTTCATTTCATTTCATTTATCGTTGATTGCACAGATCAAATGACAATAATTGCAATCAATCATCTGTATATGTTCATTTTGTGTTCATTTTTATTTTCTACTACCTTTCACCATCATCACCATCAACATCATTGATCGATCAGCATAAACAAGATACATTTACTACGTCAATTGAATGGGTTTCTTTTAAACCAAACAAACAAACAAACAAACAGCAAAAAAAAAAAGAAAAAATAAAATCTCATCATCATCATTATCAAATGTTGCCCAGTTCAAATCAATAACCAATCATTTCAACTTTTGAAATGTGTCTGATAATGTATGTAATTTTTTTTTTGGTGTGTTTGTGATCAATTCTTACCAACCAACCACACACACACAAAAAACTGGGAAAAATTCGCTTGCATCCATGATGATGATGATGATGATGAAAAGATTTTCTAATCAGAAAAAAAATCTCATTTTTTATTATGTAATTTATTAATTTATAGGTACCTTCTAAAATGTATTTTTTTACCGATGTTTTTGATTGATTGCAATCGATTAGATTCGATACGATCGATAGTGGGGATAAGATAGTGTATTGGCGATGATCAATCATCGATCATAACAATCATCATCATCATCATTATCATCGGAAACAATGGAAAATATAAAAAAAAAGACTATTATCATCACACAATATATTAATCAAAAGCAGCAATCACAAGCAACAGCAACAAAAAACCTGAATAATTAACCAGGAAAAAAAATGCAACAACATTAACAGAAAAAAATTTATTGATTGATTGATTCTTGATTTGATCATTTCATTGTTTTTTGTACGTTTAAATGTTCATCATCATCATCATCATCATCTCTATATTGAAAAAGGAATTATTGTTATTTTATAAATTCAAAATCGATATATATATATCAGAATCGTATCGATCATTTACCATACGTCATCGTCATCATTGATTTCTGAATTTGATCCAATATTTGGATCAGAATTAAACATTTTAGATTTGTACTGAAGAACAAACAAAAAAACAATTCAACCATATGAATTCTCAAAAACAAATATATGGGTCATCGTCATATTTGTTTGGAAAATTTTTTATATGGAAATCTGTCTTGCCTATGTTTCATCTTCGGAAATGAAGAACACACAAATTTTTTTTTATATTCCTCATCATCAATAATAATCGAGTTCAAACATCATATGGATAGATAATTTCAAGAAAAAAAAAGATTTCTGTGGATTTTTATCCAACAACAACATATTTGGTTATTACTATTATATACAATGAATCTAGTTATCCAAATAAATATAGAAATGAAACATAAATTCAATATAGTTCCATGGATCTCAGTATATTAAATTATCATATTTTTTTTTCTTCTCTATCTGATATCATCATTATTTCATTCATTCTTCATCTTCTCATCATCATCATCATCATCATCATCATCATGATCTTACGGCTGAATTGTTGATGATCGGTCACATACACACACACACACACAGATTATTGACAAAATTATTATTCTGTAACCGAATTTTTTTTGCTCGATAATTTTTCATCGCAGTCATTCACAAACATTTTTTTTCTGTTTGATCAAAATGTTTCCATACATTCCAAGACAACAACTGTGTGACGACGACAACAACAACAACAAAAATCGAATACAAATTGACCGTCTTGATATTCTTCTAAGAAATGTTGTTTCGCTGATCATTTCAGTCCTGTTCAAAAACAATGTTCACGAAACAAAGATAAATTGATACCACCACCATCATCAATTATCATCATCATTTTTTTTATAAATGAACAAAAGAAACAAAGATAAAATTACCTGTGTAAAAAAAAGATTTGCAATTTTCATTCAAAACATTGTTGAAGAATTTGAAAACACAAGAATCGTCAAAAAAATAAAGAATAAAAACTTGATGATGATGACGAGAATGATGGACAGAATCTGGAAGGAAAAACAACAACAACAAACAACTATAGTTTGTTAAATGAATGAATTATTTAATTTAATTAATTACAATCTTTGCATGGAAACAATTTTTTTGTTGCTAGAATCCATTTTACCATTACATCGCATCAATTTTTTTTTTGTTTCATTTCATTAATCTTAATTTATAATAATAATTATGCACAACAAGAGAAATAAGTTTACACGTTTTTCTGTTTTTTGTTTCAATCAAATTTCAAGAGTAAAAAAAATGGGGATTAAAAATTCCAGTTCATGATTGAAATTGATTAATTAAAAACGACGGTTGTTGTCGTTGTTGTTGTTGTTGTTGTTGTTTCGAGAAAAAAAAATCGTAAAAAGGCTTGCCTGAAAATTAATAAATTTTCAAAATCATCATATATGGTTTTGATGGGCTTTCATACCAAAGAAAAAAACGTTAAAAATTTTGAAAAGTTGCTCGAGATGTTTTTTTTTGTAATGTGTGAACAACAAAAATGATGATGATATACAAGAATTGGGATGAGCCATCCATACAAACATACAAATCATCATCATCGTGTGTGTGTGTGTGTGTGTCATGACCAAATAATCTCAATTTGAATGAGTGAGAAAAAAAAATTTGAAAACAAAAACAAGACGTACGAAAACAGTTTAATTATCAAATTATTTTTTTCCCTTTCGTCTAGCAGTGGAGAATTCAACAATTTTTTTGATTATATAAACGAAATTAGACCAAAAAATAAAATAAAGACGATAATCATGGATATGGTAATCACAACAAGATCAAGATTGATTAGGCTTCAAAATTATGTAATGGTGAAAAAAAAATGGTTAAGCCCTAAAAATCATCATCATCATCATTCTGTTGATGGCGATGATGATGATGATGATAATACCCAATTAACGGGAAAAAAAATTCTTTTGTCTATCTCTTTTGTTTTCAATATTCTGATTTTGGTTTAATCATCATCATCATCATCATCATTGTCGTCATGTTTGTTCAAATATATTATAACTCATAAGACAAAAAAAACGAACGATGAATATGAAAATTGAACAAAAACGAACGAAACAAACTTGAAGAGATTAACTGATAAAAAAGAAAAAGTTTCGACAATAATAACAAATTTTTTTTTCACATCTTAAATGATGATGATGATGATCGTGATAATGGTGAAGAAAGTTAACATGAATGAAAATGAAATCAAAATGTGTCCATGTCAGAATCAATGGCAGTTTTTTTTTTTTGTTGCTTTCTCGGAACAATGAAAATAATCGAAAAAGGAAAAAAACACACACACACACACACACACACATACAAACAGTGAAAATGAATTTGCATAATGTGTCTTTCGATTCTGTGACGATATTTTTTTTTTTTTGAACACACGCACACAATGAATGTTTCATAACTTTTTTTTCTATATTTTCTGAACAAAAATTCTTGCAAAAAGAAATTTGTTTAAATGAATGAATGAATGAATGATTGTATTGAATGATATTCAAATGATAAGAATTGAAAATGAGAGAGAGAGAGAAAAAAAATGTAGAAATAAAGTTTTACTTACGTGATTTACGAATATATTTTGATTTATATAATTCTGTCGATTTTTATTCTATTTGATTCCTTCATCATCATCGTCATTCTTTTTTGGATTCCAATTGATGATTTGTTATGTGTGGATTTTTGTTGTTGTTGTTGTTGTCTGCAATAAAAGAAATATATGAAAAGAGACCGTTCCGTTCCGTACCTTTTTTTTCTGTGCCCAGGTTGCTCATTCTGTATTCAGAAAGCGATGTTGTTTATCGAGAAAAAAAAATCTAAATGAAAAAAGCCGAAAAATGTATGCTTTACCACATGTTTGGCTTTGATTCATCATCATCATCATCATCATGATCATTTTCTGGCTCTTCTTCTGGTGGTGGTTAATTTTCTACTGTAGCAAAGTTTGTTCGTTCTGTATACGAAAATTTTATTGAATTGTCGTTACCCAAACGGAAATAAAAGATCTCTGAGAGAAAGAAAGAAAATGATTTTGATTCAAAATTGAATTCCATATAATTTGGTTTTTCTTGCTCGATATTTTGTTGTTTGTTGTTTTTTTCTTGTTAATTCACTCAAACACAACAACAACAACAACGACGATAACATTGATTTCAATTTACATTTTACATGACGGTCAACGTGGATCGTGAAGCGGGTGCAAAAAAAAAAGAACTACAGACTATCACTTTTCACTGGAACTTTTAATCCATGATCGGGCAAAAAAAAATGATCCATTTTTCAAACATTAAATCTTATGGAATGTGGTGAACAAAAAAAAAAAAAATAAATGTCGACATATAAAAACAAACAAACAAAGTTTTGTTTTTCTCACTCGTTGAAATTCATATAGAATGATAAATAACTTATTTTTTTATTTTTTTATTTTTTTTGAATTGTCGGTCGTCGGGTAAGTTTGGCGCTAAATACCACAAAAAACAAAACAAACAAACGAAACACAAATCGAAAGTTATTCGTTATGTACAACAACAACAACAACTGATGGCCTCAAATCATGGGCAAATAAATATTTTGTGTGTGTGTTGTCTTGTACTATGGTTAGTATACTACACTAACCTTTTTTTCCAGAAATGAAAATGAAATGGCTCATATTTTTTTCCGAAAAAGAAAAAACTTTTTTTTCAAGGGAAAAACAATAAGAATTTTTTGTTGTTGTTGTTGTTGACTATCCGTATTGAATATGAATATTTTTACCATTCATCTGCCCGAAAAAAAGGTGGCTGGCTGTTTTCGTATCGGTTTTTTTTTGTTCACAAACTTTTCTATTTTCGAACCAAATAACAACAACAACAACAACAAAAAATATTCGGAATTAACAACAACA